TTATTATCATGCTATTGTTAACAAAAGGGCGTGTGAAGTCGTTAAAATTAACAAATACGATCTAGTTCGCAATATTGATCAAACAAAAGTTCCTATAGCTTTTCCAACACGGAAACGAACATAGAAAAGTACACAGGTAGCTATGTATAGTTTACACCCTCCAGGTGCTTTATTTACTGACTTGAATAATGGTAGGGAGTGTTTTATTTTCTAGTTACCGTATTAATACGATGATAATGAGCGGTAGATTAAAAAAAATGTAATGACTATTCAAAAGTGCTTCAATGTAAGTTTATTTGAATAAATGATTTTCTATTCTATTCTTCTAATAATTATAATAATAATTATTGTACTTTCTTCTACGGGTATTGTACCCAAAACACTTCAAAATAGTCTGCAAACATTAAATATTCATCCATCCAAAATATATCTCCTACAGAAAGCCACAATATTAAATACCTGTCGCATAACCCGAAAATTCTTAACCTCCTCAACAATATCTTCACCCAGCACAACCTCTCCCACACTTGGCTAAGGCCCGTGTAGGTGAGTATTACCTTCTTTTAAATTCATAAAAGAAGAGAAAAAAAAAGGAAAAAAAGAAAAATAATAATAATAATAAATTTATTTCATTAACCTAGATGTTTTACAATTTTTTTTATTTACATGTCAACAATCACATATTCTTATTTATATATTTCCTTAAGCCGGGGCAGGGATCTCCTTGTAAGCATAATTAAATACTTGTAATAGGAGATCACGCTCTTCTAGGGTTATTTATTATTATATTAAGAATTTGTTTCTACTGTAAAAGACGTGTGTGTGTGTGTGTGTGTGTGTGTGTGTATGTATGTGAGTGTCTATGTGTGTGTGGAAGGATGTTGGGTGCGAATGTATGTTTATTAAAATATTATAATCATTGTATACATATTACATTGTGACTACATTCCTCAGGACTACAGTCCAATTGCTCATAGACCACTCTGTCATCCAGAACTGTACAAAATAGCTTCAATTTAGTCATAGTTTTTAGATTTTAGCCATTTTGTTAAAACTTTTTTACAGGTATAAAGATTCATAGGGTAGATGTTAAGAATTTTATTTACAGCGTTATAAATATAAGTCGATTGTTTACCAAACTGTCTTACAGCATAGGTCGATCTAACGGGTTGTACAGGTGCTACATTGTGCTTCCTTCTTTTGCTTAAAGATTTGGAGTCATAAACGAGGTTTTTACTCTGTACTCTTAATATTACTTGGATTATGTAAAGTTGCCTGGAAGAAAGAAGATCAGACATCTGATAGAGCTTTTCCGTAGGAAATCTATGTTTCTGGAAATACATAACTTTTAATAAGGATCTCTGCTTAGTCTTTGCTTCTCCACCCCAGACAGGAATACAATAAGTTAGAATAGATTGAGCTATTGATGTATATATTTGATTTAACAATTCCTTATTTGTTACTTAATGTTCTAAATAGCCATACGAGTTTATGCATTCTGGACATTACAACATTTATATGGGCATACCAGGACAAACGCCGAGGTACTTTACGCTTTCTTGTCTTTCAATGACGTCACAAGAGCATATGTTATAACTGTGGCTGTTATCTGTATGAATTTTAATTTGATACGTAGGGGGTGGTTGTGTATTATTGTATTTAGAAAAGCATATGTAATTAGTTTTGGAGGCGTTCAATGTTAGGAAATTTGTATTCAGCCATTTGGCTATTTTGGTAAGTCCAGTTTCGGCAGAGATACGCACAGCATCCCAAGTGGGACCAGAGAATACCACCGCAGTATCATTATATTGATTTTTTTATCACAATTAACTATACATATACAAAAATGTTATTACATCTTGGTTTGCTTGGCTATATTAGTAATAGTTGTATTGCAATTCCAAGGAATGTACAGACAGTACGCCCAAAATAAATACGTGTAACTTTGCGTGCCAATTGGTACCAACATTGCAGAATAAATATTTTTTATTTATACAAAAACTTCAGCTAAATTTTGCAACTAATATAACAGGTAGCTATAATAACCAAAGAACAAAAAAGGAATTTATACATAATATTATCACATCTCTCTGTCCATCGATCCTATAGTTTGTTTGTCACAACAACTCAGTTTACATTAAATTATACTCCTTAATGAATGGAAACGATATTTTATACAAAGCTACCATTTATAGTACCTAAAGATAAAAATCCTCTCATTAAAATGTATGGTTGCAGGGATCTTCTTAAAATTCACCACTACTCTGCTACTTGTAGACGTATTTATTTTTACAAGCTCATAAAATTTAGTCGCCAACTAAACTTGCCAAATAAACACAGTCACATTAAACGAGGCACAGACACAAGGTTACCAGACCGTCGCACCCTCCGAATTACCGACCTCCCTGTTGGTTACTGAATGCTCACCAAACAAGGTTTGCCGTCGTATAAAGTACAGAATATAAGCAACTTGTTGTATGTTCATGTAATGTTTTAATATCATGTGATGTATTGAATGCATTTAAACAAGGAAAATTGGATATAAAATTTTATATATAGTCGTATATACTAGTCGTCTGTCCTAGGTATCAGTAGGTATAGTAGCTTCGACAATTTATGTCGAAGCTACTATACCACCATATATATATATATACTATACCACTGAGACCTAGGACAGACGACTAGTATATACGACTATATATTATTTATCAAATATGTCATTAATGAGTATAGAATGTTTATATAGGTAGAAATCATACAAATTAATTTTGAAATCTTTAACTGAAAGTGTTATATTTCGAAGAAATTAAATTATAACCTCAATTTTATTATAATTAAAATTATTATTAATACGATAATGTCTATGTAGACAAAGGATATATAGTGTCACTAAAAATAGAGAGAATATCCACAACCCATAACTATCTGAGGCCAGCTGTTTTACAGTAAATAAAAAACAAATAACCGTTGTCAGTTCCTCGGATTGAATTCTATCAGCAGTTCTTTTCAAAGTGCAAAAAGACATTACAGTTTACTGTTAACTCGATTAACTTTCAGAAAAGGCTCTAACCCCTCGATCGGGACTCACACGACATCGGCAATAAGTTACTTTAAGAATACTTAAATGCAAGCACGACCACGAACAATATTTGACTTTCATGTAGACTGATACTAAGAACTTTTCTTTAGAATAAGGCTTTTTTATTTATATTTTATAATGACCTTCATGTTTCATGATTAGAATGATAAATCATAAAAGACAAACTACATTATCACAAATAAGTTGAGGTTGCATTAATATACTAAAAAAATATGTGTATGATGCTGTTATGTAAGCGTATGTAAAAGTGTTTTATTTGTTTACCATGTCTATCCAGCTGTTATACCTCATTTGTATATATATTGTTACTAATAACAATCATCTAAATATATATTTATTTATACGGAATTTTATTGAAATATTTAGATGATTGTTATTAGTAACAATGTATATAAAATAAATAAAACAATATGTATACTGTATATATAGTAATACAACTTATAACTATTCTTTTGTATTTTCACTTGCTGATTGTGCTGATAACCTTTTATATTTTGACAATACTTCAGTAAATCACTGTTCTCCAATATTTATCTTTCTTTGTTTTTATTAAATATATATACGATACTTTATAGTGTTTTTAGAATATGTATACGAATATTCTAAAAACACTATAAAGTACAGTACATTTAAATATTTATTCAATGGCTACAATATGTACATTAAAAAAAATATAATAAGAAGGAAATATAATAATTTTGGATATGGAGATCGAATTCACAGCTACTGAGCGAGCCAGTGTTAAAATACAACACAATCAAGGCCATTCTTTTAAAGTTATTTCCTCGGTCCGTACGCCTACTCTATAAATAAACATACATTTGATTATTCTCGTAATCATTCACTTATGCCAATTCAAGATTCCATATATAATCATAGTAACCTTACTAGTATGTTGAATAGTAATCTCCATTTAAATAGAATGTCATTGTGCATTGGATTCTCACATACATTGCATATGCATTGCGATGTACTTTGTAATTCAGGTCATCTCGTAAGGAATTCTTTTTATCTTTCCATCAACAACCACGATTCAAACCTACTAACATTTATGAAATTTCATTGTGTAATAAATCTAAATTCACTTATTATGTCAGCGTGGATGGCGCATAATGATTTTCGTAATATAATAATACTCCCTGAACATCGGGGACTAATGAAAAAGCTTGTAAGCAAAGTAAATGTCACGTGATAAGCATGAATTTCGTGACCTAGAAACCCCGTGGTACACACCTAACCCGTCTATTGTACCGCCCCCATTTTTCATTCTGTTAATAAAACGGGTTCTCTAAAGAATAGACGCTTTGTTGATCAATAAAAAAAATCTGTTGCCTAAATGTATAGGAACGGTTTAGGTACATAAAAATTTGTCAGTGATAAGTGATAACTCATTGTATACAAATTACAAAATGAATTAGCTTTTAACACTATGCATTAAATGTTTTAGATTTAAATAATTCATTAATTTATTAATTAATATAATTAATGTCCCTTTCCTTTCCTAATTTATTTCCATTAATATCTTAATCTTATTAACGTGTTTGTTTCTCTTTCACGCAAAAACTAATGAACGGATTTTGATGAAAACTTTAAACGATACGATGAAACTTTACAATAATATAGCTTATAGGTACGTCAGAATAATACATAGGCTAATAACGTTCAAGAAACAGTAACAGCGTGGTCATCTGATTAAAAAAACGTGTAAAATAATAATTTAACAAACCAAACTGCTAAAACGACACACGTTTACATTGTTTCTTATGAAACTATACAGTAACAATTACATACAATAAAGATTTTACAATACAATATATTGCTGCTCCGAAATCGAGTTTCGAAACGGTAGTACCTAAATAGATTTTAACAGTAACTTACCAGTATTTTTATTTATTTCCAGATGGATGGCCCCAGTAAGTTTAGCTATACATGCACCAGGTGCTGATATAATGCCTACAGTTAATAGCATCAGGTACCTTCGGGACTGTTCCGGAAACGATCTCATACGCCAATTCGTCACTTTCCATGTCTTCTTCTCGAATAAACATATACCAAGTGACGTAAGTAAAACAACAATATTATTTTTTATTATTATTATAAACGCGGAAGTTTGTGAGTGTAGATGGACGGATGGATGGTAATATGATTGTAGTAATAATTAATGAAAATAAAAAGAGATGCTTATTGATGTTTATTATAGCAGAGTAGGTCCAACACTTGTTAATCTTTCACGCAATAAAATACTGAATGTATTTTAACGAAAGTTTACAGTAGTATAACTTATACATTAAAATAACACATAGGTTATAAATTTCACGCAGGTGAAACCGCAAGTACTTAACTGCTTACGAGATTTCGATTCTTACACATTGCAATATACTTGATTCTGTTAAAAAATATACAAATATACAAATGCTTATAATAACTATTACCAGATGATACAAGGATTATAATCAACAGTTCATCAGTATCCCGTCTATTCTTTATGCTAGATCTCTTAAGAAATTAAAACTATGAACGACGCATTAGGAACGATACCAGCACCCTGAGAGTACGGAGAACTCTGTAATTATACTTGACATGACACCTTTATCCTCCGGAATGGCAACGCTTGTGTGCCACGGGCGTTTTAAAGTTATGATGTAACCGTAGATAGGCGAACGATAGGCGACTGTTGCCATTTATCGTCAGCTTACTTGCCATTCCAGTATACAAATGAAATGTCCGAGTATAATGTAATTACAATTATTATATTAGAATGAATAATAATATATAAACCTTTGTTATTGCAGATTCCCGACCCAAACATATTTCTGACTACGTCATATAACTGCACATTGCCGCCGCCCTTTTCGAATGTCAATGTTTCAACGACGTATAAACATCAAAAGGGATTACTGTATCCAGTCAATGTCGCTCGGAACGTCGCCAGAGAGGCAGCATTGACTCACTACGTACTGGCTTCTGACATAGAATTGTACCCTAGTCCTAACTTAGTTCCTCGATTTTTAAACATGATTGCCAGAAATGCCAAACCTTTGAATACTTCCACTAATCCCAAGATATTTCCAATAAGCATATTCGAAGTTGACGCCAAAGTCCAAGTAAGTTTTCAAAGTTTCTTATCTAACAAATCTTATTTGTTAAGTCGATAATTCAGGGAAGGGAGGGGAGGGGGAGAGGTACAAATTTTGAAGACGAAAGGCCACAATTCGTCCAACGTCATTATAGCCATGCATAAACGAAATATCTCCTTTGGAAAGTATACAGTTTATCCTAAGGAGATAAAAAGCATCGGTCCGAAGAAAATCCGGCTATTCGACGACGAACGATTCGAACGACGAGTCAAGGTAACGAACTTTGGGAAAGGACGAGTTCAATAGATTTATGTAGGTCGCAGTGCCACAGGTCTTAAACACATGACAATAGCCCAAACCCCTCAATAAAAAACTCATCCATTATTGTGTTGTATTGTGAATAATTACTACATGTGTGGCGTAACATAGTCCTCAATATTGTTGTGCTGTTCATGTACATAGGCTTCGATATTTACAACTTATCAATCTACTTGTTAACCACTATAATTGCTTAAAAAATATTTATGTTACATTTGTATTTCAGGTGCCATCGACTAAAACAGAGCTCCAAGCCATGCTGGCCAATAAATCAGCCATTCCCTTCCACAAGTATGTGTGTCCAGATTGCCATAATATACCTGAAGGTAACCAGTGGATGAAAGCAGCAGAGACTTCCCGTAAGTACCATATTAATACCAATATTATGAAGAGGTAAAGTTTTTATGTTCGACGTGATCTCCGGTTCTTTCACTGATAGAAAGGTGAATTATTCACAAGTGGTAAATTATTTACGTACGACAAGAGTGGAGCAGCAATGAAAAAAGTGGCAAATATATACATTTTGAGTGCTTCCGCTGCGTGCGCTGCGTAAACGGTTAAAGTTAAGCAAAAAATAGTATGACGATTGTACGTCGTCGATCGTTTAAAAGTTCTAAAAAAAAGTTCACGACAATATTTATAATACACATATGTGTTAAGATTAACTCAGTCTATATTTTTTTCGGTAATCAAATTTCTAAAATAATGCAATAATGCATTTTTTGCGAAGGTGTTTTTATAAATATGATATTTATTATTATCCAAACAAATACATTATTTATTATAAATATTTATTTTTGAACGTAATTATTATGTATATTATTTGATTTCAACGAACACTTTAGGAGATATTTAGTTCTAATAAAACCTCAAATATTGGGTGCGTGCGAAGCACTGTGCACAGTGCTATAAATAAACACTCCCCTCTTATTGACCGCCTGATAAATCAATGTACTTCTTAAATTGGGTGTATGTATATAATTAAAAAATTTAATGCAGATTCTAGATATAGATACTCATATATTTCATACGCCATACATTTCAATTTATATTTAAAATACGCACTGAAACGGTAGAACCATCGAACAGGTTCGCGCGGGCGTATCCGAGGCAGTTGGTCGAGCTAAATGTAGGCTCTATCGTGCTAACTGTAAATTAATTATATGTAAAATTATATACAAAATGCATACAGAATACGAGAGTTAATTATAGATATATTCAAACTTCAAAAGCTCTTGTAAAATGAATGATTGAGATAACACGACTCATAACAAAGATGTAATTACTTGTGTTATAATATTTTATACCATAGAGTTATGTGCAGTCTTGAAATAATAGTTTACCTTGCTGTTATATCTTTACATCAGTTTTATACACACAGCAGCCCACCAGTAGTGATGTGTAAATTTATCGATATGAAAACATCGATTTTATTATTCTATAAAATATAAAATCTGAAATATACATTATGAAAATACATATTTTTTATCAATATTAACATTTAAAAAAATTAATTACTAATATATTTTGCAAAGACCATTTTTTCATACACAATTGCCTAATAAATAAGACAAGGTCTTGAAAATAGATATATATTCCTTTACTCATATTCAAAGGGGTCCAAAAATCGGCTATTTTAAGATTAATTAATAAAACCAATTTATATTATTATTATTTTTCACAAACGTATTTTTTTTCATCCAAACAAATGGCCAAATAAACAAGACCAAGTGTCTTGGTCATCAAATTTGTTTAATTTTTTGTTATAGAAATATGTACAAGAATAAGGTTCATATATAAGGAAAGAAATATTTATATGCATTTAACCAAAAACCAATTTAAATATAACCTAAACGGTCGAAATCTGAAAAAACCGACTAATTTCTAACCGAGACCTTGGCCTATGAGTGTCGATTATTTTAAATCTATTTTTTTTATGATTACTCTGCTAATAAAAATAGTCCGTTTTTATGTATAATGTAACATCCCTACTCGCCAGTCGTTACATATCATTGTTCAGTTCTCGCGTGTATGCCTCGACCGCTCTCTTTTACTGCCAAAAAGTGTCGAATTGGCGAAGCTTGTCGTCTGTCGTGATGCAGTAGCAATTAATCGCGGGTGCTTATAATGCGTGAGCTATTTATGCCGTCTGTGGCATGGCGTGGTCGTCGTATGGGGCATTCTAATTGCGTATTATGGTTCAACGACCGCGCTTTACCCGCCCGTTCCCAGACGACCCGAACGGCTCGAACTTCTTACGCCAATTTGTAAAATCGCAACAGCATCGGCTGCACTTTGCGTAATGTCCGTAATTTCATATTTACTTATACGATAAAATACTATTGCTCATTTATTATTTTATCTCGCTTCCTCTATTATACTGTCACGTTTAAGTGGACACAGATACTGTTACGACATTGAATTTGTATTTCTCATAATTTATATAGAGGTACCTGTTTCGAATAAATCAAATCTGATAGATTTAACCAAACAGCCAATACGCGGCGTTTGATTCATAACTGTCAATTATTTAGGATATTTATTTGTATGTTGAGGTATCAATCATTAACTTTGCTATCTGTTTTATAACATGTAATAGATATTATATCATTCTCACAGATCTCTCTCATTTTAGTTGTTTTTTTCTATTTTGTGTACCTCTCCAACTATATTAAATTTTATAATTCCCCAAAAATAGAATTTAAATACGAATAATCAATCTAGATATGATTCAATTATGTGAAGATTTGCATTAAAAATCCATAAAGCCAGTATGTAAAGATTTACATACTGGCTGAACTGAAAGTACTCTCTCTGTAATGAACCTAAATTCATAATGCACATAAATTAATGAAGACCTTATTATATATTAAGCTTATTAACTTGTAGAATGTAATTATTTTTACAATTTTCAGAAATGGATATATTTCACGTCGGTAAAAGACAGGGAAAGTTTGTACATTGGGAACCTATATTCATAGGCACACACCAAGATCCTGATTACGATGACCGACTTAGTTGGGAAGGCAAGAAGGATAAGATGACCCAGGTATGGTGTTATGACTTTACCATAGACCACCTAAATAATTAGAATATAATTTGTAAATTGCAATCCAAAATGTTCGTCCCTAACTGTATTATTTTTAAAATATAGTTCTATACAGTTCTACTATTATGTATGAAATATATTATAAAAATTACATACACTATTCACTGCCTTGTCTCACCGTCTATTGAAAACACACATTACAAAACATGCTTCGTGGTGGCAGAAACACATAAGACTGAGGTAACCACGAAGACGTATTAGTACAAAAATTACCCTCAATAAAACTATACTTATACCAGAAAACTTTGCTATTCAAATATACAGGTTTTAATGCTACATTTTATATTTACAGGGCTACATCCTCTGCGTTAAAAATTATGACTTCATGATCTTGAATAATGCTTTCTTAACACACAAACCTGGCATTAAACATTACGTAAAGAATGCCAAGAGGGACCAACTTGCGGGTAAACAAACCAGTTTTGTGAATAAAGTTATCATGCCGGAAATTAAAAAACTATTCGGGACCAAGTCGGGTTGTGCTCTGTGACGAACAAATTGGAAACATTTGATAAAACGGCAACGAATTGGATAAAAATGGCGCAAATATTGTGAATCTGTAATAAGTTAAGGTATTACTGAACATATACATATCATGACCATAAATCAGAGAGTCAAAATAAATTAGAAGAGAAGGGAAAATATAATATAACCGATCCACAAAATATAGGTACACTTGATTTATACGCCTTAGGAATTAGAAATTTACACCTTACATTAGAAAATTTATAAAAGTGCAAAGAATAGTTGTTTATCAATCTTCTTTAAGATACGAACAGGTATTTCAATTACATTAATTTCGAACAATGTTCATTGAAAAAGACAATAAGTACATATAATTGCTTATTTATTAAACTCCTCATTATTTCATCAGGACAAGTAAAAAATCCAAATCTCTAAATCGAGACGTTAGTAGTGGTTGGAGGAAAAAACATGATTTTACAAAAATATCCCTGATGTCCCAAGTACTTATAGTCGCAAATCAATAATGTGGAGTAGTCCGATAAAAATATTAATCATAACTGTTAATTAAGTCCTATTTATAACTAACGCATTGTAGATAGGTATGCTATTACAACAGCGTTTCGGAACTACATCTAATCCTTTTCCATATAACGCAAATACTCGTATTTTAAGTCAAAATGAAGCATTTAAGTGTTCATTTAATCAATAATAGGAATGATATTGATAATGAAAGGTGTAAATACGAGTGCTACCATGTATAACTATTTACGATTTTATTCGAAATTTGAAGTACTCAACGATTAGTCCCATTAAAATATGTTAACATACTAGAATAACAGCTCAAGAAAATATACCAAATATTGTAAAACTAACATTGTTTGATAAGATTACAAATCTTGTCATAGTGGCCTTATAATGTGCACATTTTTATGTGAAAAAACTAATAATGTGTAACCATAAAGAACAAAATACTTTTTTTCCAATTGGCCTATTACTCAATGTGACCATTGAGATATTATGGTTAGTACATGGTACTTTAATAGTTACAACGTACATATATTTAAAAAATATACAAAAAATATGTCCAGATACTATTGCTATAGTAATGTCTGTAAGGCAATATTTTGAGAAATATTTTTTGTAATGTATGTAAACATTTAAAATTACTATAGGAAATATATCGTTTATAAAACTTCTTATTGTATTTTAATTATATATGTGCAATTGACTTAACGAATGGCCTAATCACATATCTTTTAAAACAATTAACATTTTGTATTTATATTTATAACTTTTTATTTAATTCCTTATTCAAATGTAAATATGTATTTTATAAATGTAAATTAAATGGATATCCATTTAATGTAAGAAAGTACTTGATGTTGTAAGTAGTTTTTTTTTATTTCTTTTATTACGTGATAAGTAGTTTATAAGTTTTATATTTTAGATAAATATATTACTGTACTAGTTTATCAGAAGCTAGTTATGGTCCCACACGGCATTGTTCCATAAATGAGTTATAAACTCAGCAATGCTATTTCCCACAACAGCATTTCTTTTTGCAAATACGGCTATGTATAACTTATTCTATAATATAATGACTTATATTATCACTGTCAGTGTATATTAGATTTTTTTTTATAATTGACATACTGAGGTATGGTATGCAAAAAAATATTGTAACAATAGGCATTACAATATTGTTGTATTATTTTCAATTCATTAAAACAAATTACATACGTCATCGTGCAGTTTATATTATTATCACCTACATATAATTGGCGTAATTAAAGAAAATAATATTAAGAAAATTACTTTATATATGTAGTAGTGACTAGGTATATATTATAGACCCAGCTTGTGCATAAATTATAGCAAAACATATTACGTCATATTATTTTTAATAGGAATCTGGATTGTGGTCGTATAACGGTTATGGACTGATGAAAGTATATTAACGTAACATGTCTTACTATAATTTATATGAATTATATGTATACATATAATGGCCTTAAGATTTTGCTAGTCTCCGCTTATTGATAAAATAACGTGAATTCTAGCAGTACATAATAAATTTTATAAAACAAACATATAAACGCAACAACTTTTAATATTATGACTGAATATGTATTTTTAAGCTGTATGCAAATGTGCCTACTGCATATATAGTCTATAATATGTATTCTTAACCAAAACATATAGTTGGTTAGTAGAATGACGCCATTGTTTCAGAGGTTATATTTCGAGCGACAATCTAGTGTCAATAAAAAAAACTAAATTTTGTTGAAAAAATGGCGGGTACTGAATTTAGTACCTATCTATTTAATAGGTTAAGAAACTAGGCGTATATTTATTCAATTTTCCGACTTCTTTATACTGTATATTTCTAGAAATGTACGGATATATTATAACGTGCATGGTTTAGTCATTTGAGATGATTAGAGGTCTTGGATTAAGTAAATTTGTCACTTAGTACACACCTACAATATTCTCTATCTTTTACCTTCATTCTTATGTCTCGAAGTTTTATATATATTTTAAAATTTTGCAAGGTAATCTATTTGCAAAAAAGAGTTTGTACTATCAAATAATTATAATTTTCTTTAAAAGGTAAACCATAATCTAAAATACTTACTAATTTACATTTTTTAAAGAGATTGTTACACTTTTGATTTTACTAAACTTCAGGCTGCCCTTGATCAAGAGTGCAGGTCTCGTCTGCGATACTTGTTTTGTTCCCTCAAGTATCTTTTTTATTTTTGTAAGCGTGTACTAAGACCGTTTATACGTAAAGTGTGATGGGCCTTAAGGTATTAGTAATGCTATGATGTGTAATATAAATTATTCCAGTGATTAAACTCACCACGTTCGAAATAATTAGTTTTATTTAGTGTTAAATTTTGCTGTTTCTTATTATTATAGTTGTACGTGTAATTTCCTGTTTATTTTGTATATAGCTTAGAGCTTTCTGGACCAATATATCTAGTAGTGAATTTAAGTAGGCAATTGATTTATTTATACTTCATTTTAGTTTAATATTAAACTTGCAATATTGCAATAATATTATCAGTCGCTTGCTTCCTAATTCTCATTTACTTTATTATACCTAAACAATTTTGTACCTTGTCACAATAACAATCAACTAGGGTAATATGTAAAAATGAATAATGTGCCTGTGACAAAGTACTAGTGTTTATGAGTCGTGATTATATTTCATAGTTAATAAGTATTGGGGTTTGGTAATGGAAACGCATGTGGTGAGTTTTCACTATGGCAATGTGCCTGTAATCTAGCTTGTAAGTGAATAATGTATGTAAAAAAAATAATGTGATCATTTACGGATGCCTATTTATGGAATGATGTAAGTAATATACCTTTTATATAAACAATTTGATAAAAAATCAACAGAAACCCTTGTAATCGGTAAAACTCAAAATAAAAGGATTTCAAATGTGTTTTGTTTTTAATTCTAATACCATTATTTCATTGGTATGAGATGACTAGTTTATAATTGGAGCATACTAATCTGTATAAAAAAAAACCTCAGGCAGTGGTTTGGGATGAGCACCAGTCCCTTTTCAGGACCGCCGCGGACAAAGTAAAGATCGCCATAATGATCGCCAACCTCCGATAGGAGATGGCACCTAAAGAAGAAGAAATCTATACAAAATTTATAGCACGCGAATGGATGGACAATTCATATCAAATTAAGTTCACAAATGACGTAGAAAAGTTAAAGGGTTGGAGGGGGGAGGGTTGACAAAGGGTGGTATTATACAACAAGGGACTTGAAAGATATAGGAACATATCGGAGCAGTGGATTTACTCTAAAATTTATCGAATGAATTAATATCGATGCAAATAGTACCTGCCTCTACTCACGGTGTCATAATCTGTGTCAGTTACTGATCTAACCTAATGAAAATTAAACTTATTCTGACAATACAAATCCAAAATGCATTGATACCAGCAGCTATTAGAATATAACTAAACAACAATGATTGAGGCGGAAGTGGATTGTTAGTAATGTGGATTAATAAGCTCATTGCTATCAATGTTCCATGGCAGGGTGACCTCCACGCAGTTTCCCTTGGAAACCATTATGTTAAATATCTGGAGAATTTACCAAGATGGGCTAACTGACCTGGCCTCATACTCATCCTGGTGCCCTGCCAGCGTATACCATTAACGCTGGCGAGCGCTACATTGTTAATTTTTAAGGGATGCCAATGGACCATTCCTTTATCATGCCTTAAAAATTAACAATGATAAGGTAAAGTCAGGTGAATCTAATGTTCAATGAAATAAAAAATATTTCACAACGTTTTATTAAGAATTCTGGTATCTTAGTACTCACATCAAAATTGAAAAAATACTATACATTGTCTAACTAGCTTGGACATTATCTAATTTAAAAATTAATTAAATTTTGAGACGTCATGTGCAGATGATATTAAAGTTATTTATATACCAATTAACTGTAAACTAACTATCAAAGCAAATATAAAATAATCTATTTTCCATATATTATTATTAGAGCGTCTATATCCCAGACCAGGACCGGGTGGATAGTGACTATCAGGAGGTCGGCTAGTATTTTTAAAACGCGCAAATTCATCGTATGTTTCAATACGACTTCTTTGCAGAGGCTCTACTTCTTGATCCCGCTGATCTGCTCCTTTTTCTTCTTTGCTAACTTCTTTAGAAGCATCCTGTGCACTTTCCTCAGATTTCTGTTCTCCATTGTTTTTATTTACATCACTTGGAAATTTAAGCAATGCATTTTCATAATATCTATCAGATAAACGATTTTCAATAGGCAATATAAACTCTAAAAATGAAACCAATTCTCTAATAGAACTAATCATTTTTGGATTTGGAACTAGGGTTCCATTACATATACGTGAAATTATTAATTTGTGCAACATATTATAATGTGAAATTATTAAAAATAATATTAAGTTTGGAAATAATAACGGACATACATCTTTATCTTCAAAAAGTTTAAAAACGAATCGTTAATTTTGCTTGATATAAATATAATATTATTATCGTTCAGAAAAAAATATTAGCTATTAATTTGTCATCAAAGCGCATTAGCATACATCTTTATCTTCAAAAAGTTTAAAAACGAATCGTTAATTTTACTTGATATAAATAGATATTATTGAAATGAGGAGAAAAACACGAGAATAAAGATAAAATATAACAACCAACGGCGAAAATCCAAATTACAGACAACATTCCAGACAAGCGACTTCACGAATACAAATAAGCTAGCGGGCAAGATAAGGAAGTTGATCTCCAGACGGGACGTGATTCGCATTGCTCAGCTCACGGTACGGTTTTCCCCTATTTGGCTGAATTTACTCACTGCAAGTATAACGGTAGGTAGACGCAGTCATAAAATTGGTTCCGTTGCATTGCAATTAATTTGCCAATCCTTTCAAATACTTAACAGAGAAATTGAATATGTTGCAGAACGAAGATATTCTATATCCGGCAAATATTTAAAACATTTATAAAATCAAATTACTGTAACTACGAAAATAATCATAAAAGCATACTAGGCTGTACGGTCTAAGGATCTTTGCCTGTTCCATCACTAAAAAGGAGATGGACTAATATGAGAAAAAAATTCCACGGTCTAATCACAGACAACTATACCCCTAGTATCTAGACCTAGATATATAAATATATAATAAGAACTAATACTAAAACTCTTTTTTTTTATAATTGGAATAGCAAACAAGCTGACGGCCTGTATAATGGTAAGAAGCAACCGACACCTAAATACATGAAGAGCACGAATCAGCACGTCGTATATTTTTTGTCATCGTGTGAGCGTGACGTTGCTATTCCGTAGTAAAAAGTACTGTACAGTTCAATCAGTTTAGTCTGTCTGTAAGAGATTTCAGTTTTTACTATTAACTTATCTGTACTATTATGTCTTACTATATTATATTATATTACTGTTATGCCTCCGTAATCTATAATTTCAACACAGCTTAGAAAGCAAGCTACTTTCCAGCTAAAATAGGTAGACAGAGACACTCGCAGTTGCCTATATACAAAGTCTACCTTAACATTTTATGTAACAGCGATTGATGTTAAGCCACTAATAGATAAAATTGAAAAAAAGTCCATTAGAAACCCATAAAAGCCACATAAGCCAAGATAAAAAATCAATTTTCTCATTCCATATTTATCGTATATAGTAACTTAAAGATCGATGTTTTGTTAATAATAACGATAATAGTACACAGAAACAATTTCGATTTTCGTTCTCCAAATATCGGTCATCCTTTATATCAATTTCAGTAAAGAGTAATATGCATTAAATGTAGTTTATGTACAGGCGTAGAACTCGTACAAAACTACAAACACAAACAAGAGTTTTAATCACAACTCCATGACTACTATATTTTCATTTATAAAGCAGTATAAGAATATTATTCTAATCTGCTAAGTCAAAAATACTATTCAAACCGAAACACAGCTACTGCATTGTTAGCTAAAGAGTTTAGGTAGTCTAACGATATATCCATTCAATGAAAGCGAAACTATACCGCCATCTATATTTGCCTCAGCGCCATCTAGTGACAAATGTACGTATTAATTACTACAAAAATGTAAAATGTTTGCAGTATTCATATAATTATTTAAAGTATATTAAAAATAGAAAACTCATTTCTTTTTATACTTATCACAAACAATAATATGATAACAAAACTACATCAACAATAACTCGGCCAGTTATTTATTCATGAACTGGATGGCGTTTCTCGTAGTGATAATTTTTCAAAAGAACGAAACTAAAATGGATATTCTAACCCTTTTTATGTAACAAAAACCTATATACATGAACAGCACTGCCGTCTTCACGTCACCATGTGACGTTTCTGGTAGTTCTCATGCGTTGCTATTGCAGATAAATAAGACGTACTACCTACGTAATTTCACAGTATTCAACCGAAATACATCTAGCAATGCAAGTTGCACTTAAGAACAAGCCTCATTAAAAGTCTATGGAAAAATCTATGTTCAGCAATAGAAATTACAGGTTACGAGTAATATCATACTAGTCCTCTGTGGTCGCAACGCATGGTACGCACAAGCCACGCTAGTAATTGTCCCACTCTTCGAGCACTGCAACTAATAAACTTTTTTTGGGTAAGATCCAATATGCTGACCTGTACCTACACAAGAGCATTGCGTTCTATAATAAATAAAATAAGAATGTATCTATCTTTATATAGTTAAGTAATAGTTTTCAAATATATCTAAACGTGCTGTCAATTAGCTGTAAGATAATATTGTATTAATTGACTAAATAAATAAATGAGTGGGGTATAGATACTATGTATCACCGGTGTCATATGATATTGTGTTGTCCCTAGTGACTATATGTATGTACTATGTAATATTATGTTATCTGTATGAACCTAGCTTGTTGTTGAACCACATAATGGTAAAACAACATCAACCATTGCAGAAATGACAACTGAATATTTTTAATAGTTAATATGTATTTAACAGTAGACTTAAATGAATTTTAATTTGATTGTATGTAAGATTTAAATATTACTTAGAATCGAATATTAGAACTAACAAATGCGTAAACACGTCCTTGACTTTAAACCACCTTTAAACAAAGTTGCTTCACTGTGACAAGTTGAACTTGAATCGTTAATTATAATGTCATTATAAATCATAACATTACATTTATATATGAAATGGTGAGGTTTATACCGGGTCACTTAGCACCTTATAATAAAAGCCACGGTGATTTTTTAAAAAGACCGCGTAGAAAATAATAAATCTTATATCCTCAGATCTTCTCCACCCACAGCATATAACTTTAAATAATACCTAATCAAAACATTCGCTGTAGGTACATGAGTTTAAATTAGTCAAAGACTCGATTTCCGGGTAGATTATATGTAAAGAAGGAATGAAGTACAGAGACTTTTTGTGTTAGTGTTATCTATATATATAAAAAGAAAAGTGCCCAAAGAGGTGTTTATATATATATATAACACTATATATATATATATTATTTTCTAATTTCTAAATAGCGTCATCACTATATATATTGATAGTAATAATAATGTAATGCATTGAAAGACAACTATTCAAACCGTTACCTGATAAGTATTAAGATTGGAATGATAAACGTAAATGGTAAAAGTATCATAACAATATGTAACTTATCAACCGCAAACGACAGTATCTGTTAAACATTACTCACTACTACTATTTTTTTTTAATATTTCTACCCTATAACCGCTAACTAATTTTTTTAAATAAATTATATATGTGTACTAATTTTAGCCTTAGCAGTAAAAAAATGCATCAATAAAAATAATTTATCCCTCTAAATACTAATTCACATATATATATATATATATGCATGTTGAATAGTCCTTAACACCGATATTACACCGCCAACGAGATTTTTATCTAAGGATATAGATAAGGATATTTATGAGTTTATTTTTGATAGTAGCCACAATTTCATTATAGTTTCAGTTTATACACCTTTTTTATATAATGGCCCATATTATAAATACCATATAGACTAACATATATTTGTAATAACAATATAAATAAATGTAATGTTTTTAAATAATTACGTATGGCTTGGTCGAGGTTCCAGATGTTCCTGATATTCCATCTGCCTCCTTAATTCCCTTCCCTATCAACCATTTATTAAAAGGCCAGCAATTCTCCTAGAGTGCGGCAGTAATCACTTACCATCAGGTGTGCCGTAGGTTCGTTAGCCTCCAATGAAATAAAAAAAATGTATTGCCTACATACAATATGAACCGTAAATATTGCTTCAATGCAGGATTGTTGTCTGTGCTTGTAGATTTAGCAAGACAAATGTCACCGACGGCATCATTGCGTACGAGAACATCACTCTACCGCGTGGTTAAAATATATAAAGGTCAATGCACACTACACAACAATCACTCAAATATAACGATAGTATAATTATACCTGTAACAAACAGTCCTACTAATCCATACTAATATCATAAATACGAACGATACGAACACAGCTTACAAAGCAAGTTGTTTGGGCCTGAAGTAGACACAGATTCCCAGACAAAACAGTTACCCCGCGACTTCGTCTACTTTTTGGAGATAAAACATAACCTACATTCATCCTCATGATACAGTCTATCTTCATGTCAAATATCATTGAGATCTATTCAGGCATTTTGCAATGAAAAGGTGAAAAAAGAATAAAATAAAAACAGACACGATTATAAATTCCTAATATAGTATTTAAAAAACTGTCATATCATGCAGTATCATGAGAATTGACCTTAACACTTTAAAATTGTTAGCGTTATTTAATGACTTGACTAAGTTTGTATAAAACTTTTGTAAGTCCGCATATTAATAGAACTTTTATGTACGTAATTATTGGGTCATGACCTACTGATATTTTATTAAATATACTAATTATTTGATAGTTAGTGAGTTGATTATTAAATTATAATTATTATCGATATATTATAAAATTATAGTACGTTTCATTTAGAAATTAGATACTGTGTATCTTAATAGGTATACTTTGTTTTTAAACATATGGTGTTGGAATGGTTTTGTTCCTGCTTGTGCTATGGTAGGTATAGTGTTCATTACATTATACTAGTCAAAGACGATAGCATAAGAATAAAATTTGTTAGCCAGTCATTTACAATGACAGCAATTAACATGAACAGCAACTAATGTACAAAGATTTTATCATGATGATTTTCAGAATGGACCACCTGAACATCTATCTTTCATGGCATATTGCTAGCAAAAGACTACAGAGTAACAGAAATACTATAAGGAATAAAAAATATTTACTAAAATGGCCTACCCTCGCTATTAGGACAGTGTGACCATGATATTCTACATGTTTACATTATTATGACCGTTACCTATTACCAAATCAGTCGTAAATATTTTACCATTAGGTAGGTACCTACCGGAGAGGTAGTCAGAATTCTCGTCATAATATTTTTGATGATGGTCAGACTTGATATTACTTTTTTAGCCGTAATTACAAATCGAGATATTAAATCATTATATTTTATTGTCTTACAAGTAAAAACATACAATTGGCGACCTCGGTGGTCTAACGATTTACCATTCTGCCTTGCTTCGGATGGTCGCGGTTTCCATTCCTTACACGATACAAAGATTTGTGTTCATGAGTATGTTCGTTTGTATCGGTCTGAGCTTTTTCTATGTACATTGTGTATGTATTTATAAAACTAATGCATCTATATCAGTTGCCTAGTATCCATGATACAAGTTCCGCATATCTTGGGACTAAATGACTCTGTGTAAATTGTCCTAAGATATTATTCATCATCATCATCATCTCAGCCCAGAAGACGTCCACTGCTGGATATTATTAATATTATTATTAAGTATTATTATAATTAATCATTTAACAGAGTAAAGTAAAACATGTCGCTACGCTTAGTTAGGGACTGGCGTTGTATGAATTGTCGAAAGAAGTTGTATTTCGCTGCAAATCCGCTAATTAGTCTATTAACTGAGTACAGTAAAACATGTCGCTCTGATTAGTTTGGGACTTGGTGTTGTATGAATTGTCAAGAGTAGTTTGTTAATTATTTTCACTGCGAAGAAATCCTTAAATTAGACACATCTTGTAACCTATACGGTGTATTATACGGGTAATAATATAGACAGTCGATCATTTTCGACCATTTGAGAAGGAAGGTCAAATACACACGTAACATTTGATTTGGGCCTTCCTATTCGTCCTGTGTGAAGCCCGAGACACGTAACCACCAACCCAGGTAAGTTGAGGTGTGGTCGAGATGAGACGTGGTTTCACAACAACTCGGTCTGTCCCCAAGGTCGAGTCCCATCAACTCTTTTGCATCGCCATTCAGTGCTTGTCCGAGCTTTGTGCGAGCGTGTTAGTTTACGAGTACATCCAAAATGGGCAAGGCTTTTGTGATAATGGCGTGCTTATGCGCCGTCGGTAAGTAGACATTACCTACATCCATTGATAGCATGATACCTACATGCAATTCACAAAACATAGATTTTGGTGCTAATGATATTAATAATCATTATTAATATGTTATATTAATAATGAAATTAATTAATGCATCTACTATAAATTTAATCAAATAATACTACGCAAATACGACGTTAGAAGTCTAAATAACGAGAAGTAAATAAAATTTATCTATATTATTTTTCCTCATCAAGATATTTATTGTTCGTTGATTGAATAAACACAAATGAAATTATGGAACATCCAAATGATAATCTATTTCAAATAACATGTAGGTACATACCTAATTAAATATATAGTTATTGCGATAAACCTAAGACACATCATGAGAATCTAATTAGGTAATTACAACTTAATTAGATGTTAATTAAAATTTTCTCACCGCCGGTGCTGAAACAATGGAAATATTTAATTTTGTAAAAATAGACGTTAGAACCTAATGCGTATATATCTACCTACATATTTACCTATAAGATTTCGCCTTGTTATATTATTGGACATAAAAATAAAAGTTATAACTCTAACATATAACTTCATATATTACTATAAATTAAAATTATAAACAAAACTATAAAAAAAAACATTTGTAATTGAGGGAATTCCCTGTTATAAGAGAGATGTTTAAGCGAAATTCTCAGAGGAGTTGGTGGGTCAATATTGGCACCATATTGACCCACCAACTCGCCTAAGAATTTCGCATAAACATCTCTCTTATAACAGGTACGTCCCTCAATTACAAATGTTTATGAAAAACTCTATGCATCATAGGGTTCCTACTTTATATCTCGGTCAATATCTATAACTGGGTCACGTGGACGTAGAGGATAAAAACTAATATGAGAGAATTGAACCTAGAACATCAAACTATGAATTTCCTAATATTATTTTCTTCTACAGAAAAATATACACTTCTACTATAATAGTTAACGAACATAAAATAGGAACATAAATATAAACATAAGTTCAGAAAATGCTTGAATTTTAAAGATGAATATATAATTGAATGAATAATTGAATGGCATATATTATATCTACATCTGGTGAAGGTCTTTTCAAACAAATATTCACATTTCCGGTGCCTTTACAGGCATATAACTTTAAATAGTTATTAAATTCGTGTTATGTTGGCATACTTATATTATTAAATTAAAATTATATAATTTTGTCATTATTTTGAATATTTAAGTCAATGGATTTGGATATGCAAGTCAAGTTTTATATCAATATACCTTTCCCTGTCGTGTAGTTTTAATTAAGATCAAATGGCAAAAACCTGAAATGAATTTGTTTTTTAAGCCAATTTGTAATAATGAAACCGCAGATAACAGTAGAATAATATGTATATTTAATTATGTTACTAATCCACCAACCAACATTGTATCAATAAATTACTTTTACTTGGGCTTTATATAAACGATCGAAATAGTTAATGACCTTTATCAGGTTTTATATCCGTTTATAATATTGGAGAAAAAACATTCAACTTGTCCTTCCGAAATTGAATAGGACCTCCAATAATGTTAATTCATTGATTATAATATGTTAAATTATTTTATAAAGTCCGTGAATAGAAATCTTTTTTTTAAATATGATATACATACTTAAAACGTTTTGATAATAAAAAACCAATTTAAATATGTATAAATTTTGCAGCGTACGCACAATTTGGAAATTCCGGGTTCCAATCACAGTCTTCATTTGGACAATCTTCTGGAGCATTCGGGCGAGGTCAAACAACTTATCAGCAAACTGCGAAACCTGGACAATACCAACAAAGCAGTTTTGGCAGCCAAAACCAATTTCAACAAAACCAACCACAACGTAATCAATACCAACAACAAAGCAGTTTTGGCAGTCAAAATCAATTTCAGCAAAATCAACCACAACGTAATCAATACCAGCAAAGCCAGTATCAGCAAAATCAAAATCAGTACCAGCAAAACCAATATCAGCAGAATCAATATCAACAGCCATCAGCAGCCAAGCAAAACTTTGGTTCCTGTAAAGACAAAGAACGTTCTCCAGTGTCTGGTAGTTGCGACAGATATAATGAATGTGTAGTAAGTACTCATTTGTATATACAATTATGTATTTATGTATAACTTTACTTACAAGCGCACCTACAATACATTTTATAAGATCACATTAGTATGATATGTGTGTACGTTGTTGGACAAAACGCCAATGTAGGTCTAAAAATGAACATTGCCGGATGCAAAGTCACCTTCAAAAATATTTGAACTGTTCCGAACAACCTTATTTTGTATATTACATCTTATTATGAGTAAGACAAACAATATAAAGGTTACGATCGAAGATAAAAACTGGAAATTACGAGGGTCAGATAGCGTCGATATTTTTAGTAGGAAGTTATAGGTTGCAAGAATGATTTGTTATGACTAATAATGTGAATACCAATTGTAAAATATAAATATACGAAAATGACATGATGTTTCAGAATGGAGCAATAGAAGAGAAATTATGCCCTGACGGACTCAGGTTCAACCCCAGCGTAAGACCTGACGTCTACCCTTGTCAGTATCCCAGTGAGGTGCCATGCCTCGAACGCTCGTCGCTACGTGAGTACCATTTTAACACAACCATACATCAAAATGAGTTTGCGATCCGTACGTGGTCGTCTCAGATTATAATAATAATACGAATGGGTACGCTTAAGACCTTCCACACATATTAACATTTTCCGTACACTAGTACTATGTGCTGTTTGTATTGATGTTAATACAAGCGTTATTTAGTAATTGTTTTATACCATAAGTAATATAATAACATTACATATGTCAAGGATATTTACAAATCAGCATCATTGACTACAAATAATTAAACTTTAACGGTTGACATGCATTATATTATTTTGTTTCAGAACTAGCTAATTTCGTACCTATAACTTTTATTTTAATAAAATAAACACTAGTTTTAAAGTGAAGATTACCATAAAAAAGTGGTAAAAACCGCACTCAAGTCCATTTATCCTTTGCTGTGATTAGTGTGCCAAAGTACTGACAATCAGACAAAAACTTTAACAAATTTCATATTGCGTTCTATTATGTTGATAAATTCCATCTATAATATTTTTTCTAATATAAATCTCATGTACTGACAGTGATCACTTATATTTTTATTATGTACAAAACTTTTTTAATATCCGTAAATAAGGGGCATAATGATTGATTATATATTTTGTATTATACTGAGGACACGATAAAAAATATATTTTTTCTATTGTGTCCCCAGTATAATAACAATTATTGAATAAACTTAACAATCATTGAATATACTTTGGTACAATGTCTTACAGTATCCGTGTTAAATCACCAGATGATTTGACAGAATTTCACATTGAATTGATTATCCCTTACAACATTACTAAGATTATAAATAAGCGTTTACTTTAATAATTTGGTTGGAAAGATTTGGGGTAGTGGATCTTTTGTTATAGGACTAATTAGTAAAATTCAAAATATCTTTATTCATTTTTAAATTCAAATATCATACTCATGAACGAGTGCTGCTTGTGGGGGAGTGGTCTGTTCGGGTTACGAATACTGATTAGACTATATTGCTTTTGCAATAGCATATGCTGGTAGTCACTCTATTCTCCCAAATTTGAATTTAAAAATGACAAAATACTATCAGAATATACAATTACAACTCATAATAAGTCTATTAAATTTCTAGAACCTGCGCAGCCTACGGCAGACTGTCCACACCAGTTTGGATTATTCAAATTGGGAGATGCCCGTAACTGTAGCGGTTTCAGAAACTGTGTCAACGGAGTAGGTTTCGACTTAACTTGTCCTGAAGGCTTGGCCTTCAGCTCAGAGTCATACCGATGCGAATGGCCCGATGAGGTCGCTGATTGTGATGCTGAAGGTAACTATGAATTTTGATTATTTATTTACTTATTTTCTACATTATCTTTATTTTTCACGAACTCGGTACAGGTTTCAAGTAAAAAAAATCAGCATAACTGAATTCATTTATATAAAATTTGTCAGAGAAATACCGAGTGCAAGGGCCGTTATAAAATACTAGACTAGCTGTAACGCGCGACTTCATCTGATTATTTTAGATACAAGATATCTTATGTCTATTCTCGTAATTTATCATCGTGTCATTTCATTAAGAGTCGTTCAGGCATTTACTTGTGAAAAGGTAAGGAATAGACAGACAAACACTCTCTCGCATTTATATATATATATAAAAGTAGGAATTGGATGAATGACATTTGAGATATCACACGGACAGTTCTTTTAGAAATTAATTACTCCTCAATGCTATACGAGCATAAGCGCGTACTAGTTGTAATAAAATTGGTAGATAGTTTTAAACTCACGCATGTCGAAAGACGAGCACTTCAACTTACAAACTATTATGTAACAATAATTTTATGCAATGTGCTTGTCAAGTCCACTAGACAATACTATCAATGTAAATAAACTAACAACTATATATATGGTACGAATATGGTAAATATTGGTGGGATATTGTAATTTATGTGTTTTTTCAGCTTTCCTTGGCTTTCGATGCCCAGAAGTGCCTGTATCGAGGGAACTCGGACCACCTGTCGGATACAGATATTACAGGTAAATTAGTAAATATTATTCTTTCAAATAGCGAATTATTATATGGTAGGTATATCAATGAATTAAATAGACATTGAAAATGGTTTGACATTTATAATTTAAGAAGAAATCTCAGTGTCTTCATTACCTAGATAGCATTTCTAGCGCCAAAAATTTGGCTGTGATAAAACGGAACAAAAAGTAACTAGGTTCAGTAAATTGAAATTTTCAATGTCAATACTGAATATTGTCTACGGATTATTTTCCAGAACGCGACCACCTTTCAAAAGTTTTTAATATTTTACAGAAAACCGCGTGTTAAAAATTCTCAATGCGCAATAAACTTCACAACTTTTACTTTTGTACAGAATTACCTGTACATTTGCCTAGTTCACTTGATATTTATGAATCAATTGACGGCTGAACAACTAGTTGCTTAATGCGGGACCGGTCGGTCGGTCAGTCGGTCTTCTTAATGCCAGCAGATGATCGTTGACCTTGCATTATGTAATATTTATTAGAAATATCAAGCGATCGCTTATACGGCCTTGTGTATGTGTATGATGTTACATACTATAAAATGTATGTATAAACTATATTAAAATATGATCATTATAATTATACAATCCATTCTTACTTCCCGTAATGTTGAAATAGATGAAACAGCGGAGCTATTTTTGTGGTAATCGCGAAATGGAAAAGACTAGTCTTTAACGTTTTCAACTTCCCATTCTTGTAATTATACACACATAATTTAAAAATGACCGACCACGACAACGTACCTGTCCCGTCTACATTACGTCACTAAGGAGCAGGACATAGTCGATTATATCCGTACCAAGAGTAACCTAACATTGAGGGTGACGCAGCTGAAGTCGAGTCACAATGCGAGTTTAAAAGCGTTTGTGATCAGTGTGTCAGATTGCCGTCTTCAGTGCCGTGATCACACAGACAATATCAATGTATTAGTTTTTAAATATTATATTATATGTATGTTAGTCTATAAAGTATTTATAATATGGGCCTAGTTGCCTGAAATAAATAAATACATAAATAAAAAAAAAATATTTATCATGATAACATCATTTAGAAGTTGTTGATGTTTGTAACTCACCACGACAAACTTTAAAACAGTGTTCAAATATTTTTTTATATAGGAAGACCAAGAGATATATCAAAATCTAAAATTTTCAAAACTTTACAGATCAGACACCAATTGCCAGAAGTACTTCATCTGTATCGAGAACCGTCCTCGGGCTTTATCCTGTGGCGGAGACTCGGCATTTGACGAGCTCACATCCACCTGTGTTTCTGCTGACGAAGTGTCCAGCTGCCCTTCGGAACTTAGAGCTCTGGCCGCGCGGTCCAGAGAAGAAGAAAAGCAACGACTGGCAAAGGAAGTGTCTCTTAATGCCAAACCTCTACAGCAAAAAAGAAGATACTGAATAATTTAATTGTATGAAGTCATGTACAGATAGTTCATAAGCTTTTTAGACCATAAATAAAATATCAAAATAAAATTATTACCTAACACAGATCTAATATCTTTTTTTGGTAGATACATCAGAATAAACACCTAAACTATTCTGGTAATATAAACTGGCACGTCATATCGCTTATTCACTCATTGTATAGTCTTTCCCATTGTTATCTAATTTCACTATGTAAATATGAGCCCACCAGATGAAGTGTCAACCCATCGCTTATAAACATAGCCATGAAGAACAAAATACATTATCTTCTCCCATCCTAAGAAATAGGGGTTATTCGATAGTACCCAGCAATTTAGTTGCCTGCTTGCACATATTATTTTTCAAATATGAAGACAGAAATTATTAAGGCAGGTATACCTACCTACATAGACTACTTTGAACAAAGTTTTCTTCTGATAAAAAATATTGCATAAAGTATATATATTGTACCTATATATTTTTTGTAAGGATAATTTTACCTAAATAATTCCAAATGTAGATATTCTCTAATTACAGAACAGTTGCCGCCGTTACTGAAGTTATACTTGCGAGTATGGAATGTTTTATTCCAAATCTGCTTGTTGCTTCAGGGGCGAAAAAGCGACCATGGTTTAATAGGTCATACAGAGAAGCCGGACAGGCTAAATAAACTGGTTATCAGGTTTGGACCATGGCTCGTTCCAACAGTGATTTTGGCGTATCTGATGCAAGGCGGAATTTAAATGCTACATCCAGGTTTAATAAGAGGGTAATTGCTAGAGCCAAATTCTACTTCGTCAGTAAAGTTAGAGAGCGACTAGCACGACATCCTTCTGGAAATCGTGCCTTTTGGTCGCTTGCCAAAGCTGCCGAAAGAAACTTTAGTCTGACACTTAGCGCAAAAGAGAAGGCCGATTTGTTGTGCGCTCTTTTTGCCTTGACTTTGGCCGCCAGGGACACCATACCTACTACCATCCCCTAGTGTGGTAACTCTATCCCGGAAATATCCTTAACGCAACGGCGAGTCCGGCGAGAGTTACTGTCTCTTGACGTCCACAAGTCGAATGAGCCAGACGGCATACCGGCATTGGTGTTAAAGAAGTGTGCTCCGGAGTTGTGTCTCGTGCTCACGCGCCTTTTCGCGCTTTCGTATTCCTCTGGGCTATTTTTGTGTTCATGGAAGACCACCCTTGTGCATCCTGTACCAAAAAAGGGCGACAGATCAAACCCATCGAACTACAGGCCTATCGCATTTCTATTCTCCAAGGTGATGGAGCGTGTAAATAATACACTGTTAGTGGGATAGGTACATTGCCGTGGTCGAGGTTGCGGCACGTAACAAGAAGTTGGGCCCTGTCACTGCTGTGCCACAATGGTTTCGATTGAGCCTCTTTGTACGCCTCTTCTTTTGTACCGTGACAAAACCATCAACGTCACGGTCAGTGGACTTAGTACACATCTCATTTTCAAAGTTACTTTAGGCTCATGCCGCTGAGCAGTTGGTTTTCCAGCGGCGACGGTGGCAAAATCTCGGCGCTTTGATTGCACCGCGGACTTTGCTGATGCTACTTCCACTTGCAGCGTTGGACGCCCGCGGGGTGCGGGCGGTGCACCCTAAAATACAAGAGTAACATTTTTGTTTGGGAAATGGCTGCTCCTAATACAGACTTTCTGTATTGAGAATATTCTCTGCAAATCATGAGTTTTAGGGTGATTTTTAACATTTGGTGGGTAAAGCAAGATGGAGCCATGAGACTACGGACATCGTACCTAATAGTAATACGATACACTCTTCGGTACGAAAAATCATAGCAAAAGACAAATACTGGGCTATTGATGACACTTAATGTATCTTGTTATGACAATACGCTAATATTCAAATGTTTTTAAATAAACGTGTTGTATTAATATTATTCATATTTCAATGTTAACAGTAAATGAAAACGTAGATAGATATTAATTACACAGAATTTATATTCGGTTGAGGAAACCGCAACATCTTAAATAACTTTGATATGTAACTAGTTTATGATATTGTAAATACAACATTGAATTTCTTTTATTTTGAGGAAGTATCTAATGCTTCTGAAAGTAACCACAATATTCTTTTTATAATTGTAGAATCATTTACGGTGTCATTAAATGTTATAAATCATTAAACTAAAGTAACAAAGAAAAGTATAAAATAGAGAAGTATCGATATTTCAATATCATTCACATAGTCGGTGTCTACACGAGAAAGTAGGAAAAATATCATCAGCAAAAATGGCTTTCAATTTCATCGCTACCTTCACAATTTTGTTCATAGCGCGTTGTAAGTACCCAACTATCTATATTTTTATAACCAACGTTAAAATACTTCCTTTCTACTGTTCAAATTAGTTCTGTCGATCCAGTTTCCATTCTTTTCAAGTTTCTCGAAGGATTAAAAAGAATATCATATAATACTGCCATATTATTCTATTCATTATTTCAAAATTGTTAAATTATTACAGGTAGTGCCCAAAGTGAAGGACTAGAAGAAAGAAGTGTTTTATGCAAATCACGTAACGCTTATTACGGTTTGGAAGGAAGCTGCGACACTTACTTAGAATGCATCGTAAGTACCTGCTGTAACACGGTTTGAATATTAACGGCGTTTACGCTGTAGTTATAATAATTTTACTGGATTTATATATATATGCAAAAAATCTATATTTATCACAAATATCATGTAACTAAATATACTAGAGTACTATATGTAGTATATTTTCATGTTCGTCAGATGAACCATATTGTGCAATATGACAACATTTTCGGCATAACGATACAGGAAAAAAAAGCTACAATACATATATTTACAGATTCCAGTCATAATTATTTTTTATAAACATAACTATTCAAATATACTCAGAAACCGAACATACCATGTTTAATAAGAGAATGGCAACATCATATTTACATTACAGACATTTAGTCAGTTATAGTCCCTTCTAGATCCCTTAATCAGTTTTTTTATACTTTGAGCTTAGCTGGAAGACTTTATAAGATTTATGTGTCTCAGTCATATGTTTATTCTTTATTATTGTCTAATTTCAGAACTACGTGGCCAATAAAATGACTTGTCCAGATGGTCTGCATTACATACCTGATACTGTTTGGCCCGGTTATCCCTGCGCCTATCCGTCAGACATGACCTGTGATGGACGCAGACCACGTATGTACATTATTCTCTTGTGGTGAACGTAACACTTGACATGCTCACATTTTTCACGGTATATTTGTATACAACGTGGCAGAGGGTGAAGCTGTCTAGCGGATTAGTTTGCTAGCTTGTTATCGGTGTTGCCGTCAGCGGAGAGTCAAACCAAACAAGTTTATATAATAAATTTATATATCAAATTGGCCATTAAAATTCTTTACTGTGGGCCAGATTTAATTATGACTTTTCGATCTATCTCAGAGAAATATACTATAATGCAAAATAGGCTACAACGCCACGCACTATTAGAAAGTGTTTTTTTATATGAGATTAATTAACGATGTCTGATAAAAAGTGGTAAGAGTTTATCGGATTAGTTATACTGTGTGCACTCCTAAATTAGTCTACTAACTATTTAAGTCAGGTCAAAATACTAAGAAAAACTGATTTCACTTTCAATATTACAGAACCAGCTAAGCCAACAGTAGAATGTCCTCATCAGTATGGGTACTTCCCATCTCCAAAGGCGACTCCTACCGACTGCGGCCATTATTACATGTGTACCGAGGGACGGGCTCGGGATATGATGTGCCCCTCAGGACTAGCCTTCAGCCCCGACTCCGGTCGTTGTGAATGGCCTGAAAACGTACCATTTTGCGATGCTGGCCGTAAGATCAAATATAATAGTATTTGATATTTTTTTAATATGAGATATTAATCAAAGACAATTATTGTGTTATATATATTAACATAAGCTATTGAACCAAATATTGTCAGAGGGAGACTTTGTACCAATTATGTTAATGGTTGTGAAATTATTAGATACGATGTATCTATAATAATAATAATATAACAAAAAACGTTTTTAAGCAATGAGAATGACAAACAAGCTGACGACCCACATGAGGATAAATAGTAACCAACGCCTATACATATGAATAGCACTACAGAAATCATACGGCTGCGATAATCTTTAAAGAGCTCCTTTCTGGACGACTAAAATGCCTCTCATCTTATAAATTTACTGCCTTATCAGAACCCTTCAACCCAAAACACAGCGTAAAACAAGCTGCTTAAAGTAGGTGGAATTAAGGGGTGCCTTAATTCCACATACTTCAAGCAAACAATTTTTGGTAAAGTAATAATAATTAGAAATTAAGTTAAATACTGAAAGCAGAATTTAACTTAACATTCAAATTTAGCAAAATTCTACTGCCTATAGGTTTGTCAGTGTTAAATTAAATTATAGAATACATAATTCAAAAGTTTGCCCTTTAGCTAATATATGGAATCTACTATCAGACAAATTACGCAGCAGTGTGAAATGTCATGTGAACCCGGTCACAATTAGTGACATTGTAATATTTTGTATTTCGTTCTCTAATACTACCATTAAAATTTCATGTCACAAAATCTTATTCCCCCCGGAAGAAGTTAGATTTAATTACTATTTACAGGAAGTCTATGACAATGTCACACCAATGAATTTCAAATGCAAGCCCCTCCCCTCGAGATTGATCGTTTTGTTCCTACTAACCTCACATGTTAGCAATTGAAGATGTTGCAATACACAATCCACTATTGGTTATAAGCAATACTATTTTTTTGTAACAGGTTTTCTTGGCTTCACTTGTCCACCTACTCCAGCCGGAGCTGATCCTAATGACGTTTTCAATTATAAGTAAGTATTTATTTTATTGAGAAAAATCATATAGGTACTGTTCCCTGTGTTAACAGTAGTAACTGACTGAAGTGTCAGTGATCGGATGAGTATAAGTTAGTCTGTTACCACACAGTGGAGATTTGACCGGGAATTAACTACAACGATTACCAGGAGGGAATTATTTACCGTAAAACTTGATCTGCCATATTGCTGATCCCTTATATATTTAATTCGATTAGAATATATATTTTGATTCCTAGTCTCTAATAGTAATTTAGAATACTGACGTCGGCATTTAGGGACCACACCTTTAGTACATCAAACGTTCAGGGGGTAGAGGGTAGACAAAGTGTGACATTGTGTGACAAAGAGATGAAAGGATCCTAAATACTAAATTTGGTGAGGTCACATTTCAAAATTTAATATCTAAGTAATAAAACCAAAGGACAATTAACAAAAAAAGTTTAAATGTAAAACATTAATAATACATTAAACATTAAATATAAAACATTACACTAAGTCTAACTAACTCACAAATCTGACTAACTGTAAAAACAACTCCTCGAGATCACAAAATTTGTGTGAATTTTTGTATGCACCTTAGAATTAACACTTAATAATGGCGTCTTTAATCTTTATTCAGGTTCCCTGGAAATTGCTTCGCTTTCTACTCTTGCGTGAAGGGTCACGCGCGCCTACTAACCTGCGATGCTGGCATGGGCTTCAATGAGCACACTGGCCGTTGCGAAGATGCAGACAAGCTAAACTGCCCCTATTGATTCAATATTGTAATTGTTAATTATGTTTTAATTACTAGACGTTTTAAATTAATAAAGTATACGATTTCAACGAGAACTTTCACCGAATATACACTATTACAAATTTGGCTTTATATGAAAATTCGCATATTATGTACAAATAATGAAAATAGCCTATAAATAAATTATAAAAAAATATTGGCAGCATATTATTGCAATGAATCCTTGATATTATTTGAATTCATAATTTTCAGCATCATAGTAGTATATATGTACATATATATATACATATTTTAATAAAATACTACCCTGATAAAATAAATACATTTTTATAGATTACTTTATTTTAATCGATTAAGTATTTTTTGAGAGTTTAAAGTAAGTATTAATAATAAAATATTTCTTTTTAGATTTATTATTAATACTTACTTTAAATTTTAAAAATATAGAGGGAGATGCAAATTCACATTTTAGAGACTCCGCAGACTTAGGTAAGACGTCATATTTAGTGAATCTACTAGGGCTGGATTCTAGAACTCTATTGCAAATTATTATATTTGTAATTAAAATTAAATAATATATAATTATCCTTTGAAACACAATTTTTTATATGAAATGTGCACTCTACATAATTTATCTCTAAACTATTTTTTTATAAGTGTACAAGGTCAAGCAAGCTGGACGGTCTACCTGATGGAAAGACTGATATGCCCGCCGCTAACCTCTTATTCCTATTCCTAAGAACTAGAAGTATTTTTATTTATATACAGTGTTTTTTTATTTATTTGTATAGAAACCAACAACATACACAATACATAAAAACAATAATATCGTACAGTCTAATAGTTAATAAAAAAATGCAGAATATCGATAGTGACGCATACTAGGAATACATTCCTATTTTCCAGGATGACATGTCTGTAAAATATGTGTGCTCTTAGAGCAGTAATCGTCGCATACGGCAGGACAGATAATATTTATTAGTATAACATAGACTCAAAAACTCTGTATATTTTTTTATCATATATAATCGAGAGAGGAGTTGTTAATACTCTAATTACGACTAAATAAGTACGATAAAATATTTAAAAACAAAATAATTATTTTTTTCATGGTACCTCATTAGGAAATACGAAATATTCAAAATTAAATAACATTTGCATCCAATATGAGTTGTTGTTTCAACGTGACATCTTAGGTAACCGCATACCAGCCATAACATTATGTGATAGTTTAATTATACCTATATACAAGACTTAATCATTTACACTTAACCACAATCGTGAATGAGAACGTGATTTATTATTAGGATATAAAAGATAAAGCAAAATAAGAATAAAATAATAAGTATCTCGCTTATTATTTTCTTCTTATTTTAAGAGAGTGTAGCGCCGTGGTTATCCTCATCACTGTAGCGTTATATATGTTGTGATGAGGTGGCGCTACATAATATATTATTTATTGTAGTATATAGGTAAAATGATTGTACTATTTATTAGACATTATTTAGTTTATTGGTAGTGTGCTACATGGTTTATTAGTAACGCGTACAATCGACGCGGAGTCGGGACGTAGACTCATTTTACACTTAACTTAAACCTATGTTAGTGGAGACGTAAACTAATGGAAGGGTCACAAGTGTCGACAGAAATATTACAAGTATAGGCACAAGAGTTTCGATTCTGTAAAAATCATATATCTATGTTCAGAACACAGTTATATAGTTCTCAGTTATATCTTAATCAAAGTACTTACAGTAAATATTTTATGTCTATAACTCTATATGTCTCTCACGTAATTAATAATAATATCCTACCTGTTTGGCTCTACTCATACTAGCCTTATAGATACCTTATACCTACTTGTTATTATTATAGGTAAATTATCTATGATGTTAAAAATATATACCTATATAGCATAGGGGACAGAGTAGCTTACTAAGGTAACGGTTTCAGTTAAGTTGACGGCCTTTTAAAAAAAGATAGGGATAAGGAATTGAAGTAGGAAAGGAACAGAGGGAGGAGGATTAACGTCCGGGACCTAAAGCTGTATTTACCGGTTGGAACGGGGTAATTTGTGGTACACACGTATACCACACTTACAACGTATTCCATCATTTACATAAAAAATGACGGTTATCTATTAACCAAGCTAAAATAGTACAAGTATTGATTAATTATTAATGAAATATTCCACATAATATTTATGTCATTTAGATAAATGTTACTTTGATAGCCGGTTGTATATTTTCAATGTTCCTCTTTGCACGTATATTAGATATATATAATTTCTAACTGCATTACACATAACTATACAGTTATCAATCAACGATTAATGTTTAAAAATTAGATGTGGTAAGCCACACCGATCGCTTCTAATTAATTTAGAACTATATATTGATGACAAATAATATTAACAGCGATCTTTTCTGATAATGTATCGATATATTAAAATGGTTATAAATAGTTCGACAACAGTGTTGTGACAAGTGTGCAACTGTAGACTTCCCTTTATCTCTGTAATATATTAAAGAATTCACAAGATGGTATGGGCCAAATTGTTGTTTCTACTACTACCAATAGTTGCTAATGGTAAGTTGCGTTGGAAATGAGATCATCATGTCTTTTGTTGTCTTTTGTTTCACTATGTTTCTAGTGAGTACGCCGGTTATATATCTAATAACAACAAATTATATTTCTTCTCCAATTATAGTGAAGGCGGTGGAAATATTGAACGAAAGTAATACATCTCAACTACCTGAACAGAAATGGCAGGGCAACTCAAAGGAGATCCAAGATTCGAGATCTATTCGACCACAGTGGTTACCGACTAATCCAGACAGTGCAACAGTACCAGCAAGAATATTAGAAAGCCCCTTACAACAAAGTTACGAACAACAACCTATATTTAAAAGACCTTTACAACTTCTACAACCAATTTCTATTAAAAGCCCTGATATACCTGAATCAACGATCATCACAGTGACAGAGCGACCAGCATCCTTGGTAACTGTCTATCAGCCAAGTGAATCTTCTTCACCCTCGTCAAATTCAGACAGTGAAATAATATACTCGACAAATAAATACTACGATACGCCCAATCCCCCAAATTTTGAACGTATCGTAGAAAAATACCCAAGACCACAGCTTCCCTCTGAGGCTTTAAAAGATAATTCTCCAACAAGAACAAAAGAAGATGACGTAGTTAACAATGTAACTGTTCCTTCAGATTTACAAACAGAAACTTTATCCTTAGGCTCTGCAGAAATATCTTCATATCGTAATATTGATAATGAAAATCCTGAAAACCTTATGATGGTATATAATGCCCAGACAAATGACGTGAGTCCGCTTAATGAAATAACTGATTTAAGTAACTATAAATGCCCAGGAGTTAACGGATATTTTGGAATCTACAACGACTGTGAATCATTTATAGAATGTAAGGTAAGAATCAATAAAAAAGTAAAATTTACTTTTGATGCATATCATATATTTTAAACAAATAATTAAACATTCTTTTTCTTTCAGAACAATAAAGCAAGACTTTATACTTGTCCACCAGGATACTACTTTGATCGTGAAATGACTTGGCCAAAGTATCCATGCAACTTAATGTCAAAAGTAGACTGTAAAATTTTACGTCCGATAATTCCACTAACAACTGAAACCACAATAGTACCATCACCAATTACGAATGTATATGATTACTTATGCCCAGAACGAAATGGGTATTTCGCTGCTAATTCTTGTGAAAAATTCATCACCTGTAAAGTAAGTTTAAATCATCACTTTTAAAATAACACACATACATCCAATTACATACAATTCTATTTCATTGCTTTATCTAGCGACCCCCTCCTGCTACGCATGGACACATTACAAAACATAATTTTCAATCACATACATCTTTAAATATCTCTCTTTTCTGTACTATAATATGCATGTATTATATATACCTTCAATCACTCTATCTATTGCTGTGAACTGATAGTGGTGGAGACTTTGTTTTATACTATGTAAAGATTTACACCATCTGCTTATTGAGAAGATTCTTTTCAATTTGATATTATTATTAACTATTTATATACTTTGAATTCCTTGCAGGATAATTTAGCTGTTTTATATGAGTGTCCACCTGGGTATCAATTTAATCGCGGTGCTCTGTATCCAGAATACCCTTGTGGTCTAGAATCTGAAATTAAATGCAAAATAGAAACTAATCACATATCCACAACCGAGCAATCAAGACCATTACCGGTGATAATCATCAAGGAAATGTATGACTATCAGTGTCCCAGAAGTACAGGCTACTTTGTTCATGAAAATCATTGTACAAACTACGTGCAATGTAAAGTAAGAAAATAAATTTATTAATTTATTAAAAACTTATATCGTGATTATCTATGGTATACCCTAAACATTTGATGTTTTTTCTAGGAAAGTATTGCTACACTATATTCTTGTCCGCCCGGATATCAGTACAATCGTATGGCAACGTACCCTGAGTACGCATGTGGTCTAGAGTCAGAAATACTTTGCAAAGAAGAAATCATTGTGATACCCCCAACTGAGCCCCCAAGACCATTACGACCAGCACCCATCATAATAACTAAGGAACTCTATAACTACCAATGTCCAAGAAGTAATGGTTATTTAAGTTATGAAAACGATTGCGTAAAATTTGTCGGTTGTCAGGTAAAAAAATTACGCCTCATAAATATCACAAAGATACGTATATAAAAACAAAGTACGCGGTTAAGTCAGTTACTGTAAACCAAACACTCTGGACGGATTTATAATCAACTCCATTATATAATTTGTTTTTTAGGAAAAACTCGCTAAACTCTACTCTTGTCCGCCTGGATATCGGTACAATCGTAGAGCTGCATGGCCAGAGTACCCATGTGGTTTAGAGTCAGAAATTCAATGCGTCATTGATGCCAAAATCATAGTTCCGACGGAGCCACCGAGACCTGAGCCTATGATAATAATCAGGGAAATGTATGACTATCAATGTCCTAGAAGTACAGGATACTTTGTTCATGAAAAGCATTGCGGAAACTACGTGGAATGTAAAGTAAGAAAACCTAATATTTTATTAAAAATGTATATGATTGAATACGATAGAAGTGCTTAAATATTTGATGTACTTTTCAGGAAAACATTGCCACACTTTACTCCTGTCCGCCCGGATATCAGTACAATCGTATGGCTGCGTACCCTGAGTACGCATGTGGTCCAGAGTCAGAAATACTTTGCAAAGAAGAAGTTATTGTAATACCCCCAACTGAACCCCCAAGACCATTACCTATTGTAATTAACAAGGAACTCTACACTTACCAGTGTTCAAGAAGTAACGGGTATTTCAGTTATCAAAACAACTGCGAGAGATTTATCAAGTGCGAGGTAAATAAAACTAAATTACTTATTTCAATAACATTACATCAATTTAAGTAAATAAAAGTTAAAAGTAGAGACTATTGCATGTTCTGTGAGACTAGTTATTATTAAAGGTAGTTTACCGTAATAGTACTAATCTCAAAGTAACACTTGTCTCAATAATATGATGTCCTTTTCAGCAAAATCTGGCGACCCTTTATTCTTGTCCACCCGGATATCAACATAATCGTAAAGCCGCTTGGCCAGCCTATCCATGTGGTCTAGAATCTGAAATACGTTGTAAATCAGAAACCATATTAACTCCTTCTATTGACACATTAGAACCGTCGCCTATTATCATCAGCAAGGAACTCCAAAACTATCGGTGCCCACGACACAACGGTTACTCTGTTTATCAAGACGATTGTGTGAAATTTATCGGATGTCAGGTATAAAATCTATTATGGCATTGCAATAATTGCATTTTTAGTTTTTTTAGCTGCTGTAATAGTAAGTCAACTTTACTTTTTAGCAAAATATGTCGACACTTTATTCCTGCCCATCTGGATATCGATACAATCGTAATGCTGCGTGGCCTGACTATCCATGTGGTGTAGAGTCTGAGATACCTTGCAATACTGTAATCATCCCTCCGAGACCCTCACCCATCATAATTTCCAACCAACTATTTGACTACCAGTGTCCAAGGCGCGATGGATACTTCAATGTGCAAGACGTTTGTGATAAGTTCATCGAATGCAAGGTAAACTATTTTTATATTTTTTACATTTATGATCACATTATATTATTTTTTCATATACGTATTCTTGTCACCTAACTCTTCCACCTAGCCTAAACGACGAACATGATGCAATTTTGTCTCCATAGGTATTTTAATTGAATTTTGGATGGTTTAAAATAATTAGACTCGGAGGTGGTCCTTTTACCGAAAAGGACGACGCCTGCCGGATCCACGTGCAATATTATATTAATATTTAATTATAAACTTGTCAGTCAGGTTATTAAAATTACAAATTTAAACTCAGAAAAAACAAAAAGACAATACATAAAAATTAAATTTATTTTTGAAATCTTTATTTACATTTTTTTCCCTGTAAGTTCAGTTTATGATGACTATGGGTGTACATCCAGGTTTTACTATATATTATCAATTCATTATATAAAAGAAATGCAGTCACTAACCATACATACCTATATTTTACTCAATAAAAATGTCTGTCTATCGTGCCATGGATACTTGACAGATTGATGATGAAAAACCAATTTACATTTTGAAACATTATTATTAAGGCTTTAAACTAATTTCTTAAATGTATGTTAATATTGTTTTCAGCAAAGCAATGCAATACTTTATTCATGTCCTCGTGGATATCAATACAATCGTAATGCCGCATGGTCCGATTACCCATGTGGTCTAGAGTCTGAAATTCGGTGCAGTGCTGTTGTGGTCCCACCCAGACCCCCACCTGTCATATTTATCAATCAACTATTTGATTACCAATGTTCACACCGTGATGGTTACTTCAATGTCCAAACTGATTGTGAGAAGTTTGTTGAATGCAAGGTAAAAGAACAATTCTTACTAATTATAAGCCTGGTGGATACGATTATGGCATGAAAATTGTGATTTTACAAATTACAAAAAAATAATATTACGTTTGTCGCTTTATAAAAATTTAATACTTTACTGTATCAGTTTTAAAAAGATATAAACATTGATAGCCATAAAACAAATATCAAACATTTATTTACCAGAGGTACCTACATACACTGTAAAAAGTAGTATGTATTAGTATGTTAGTAAGTTATTATAGCCGCTAACCTGTGTGTTTAGGGTTACGGTTGTAAGGTGCAGATAGACGGTGAAATTACTGGATGAGATTAGCCCTCTGGAATAGAAATTTTTAAACGAGCTTTTAGTGATTGGCTTGCTTAAGTATTTTCCATATCTCCAGATATTCATTATAGGTGCTCTCATAATACTGAGTGGCGGAGTGTGATAATCAAGTAGCAATATATTGTTTATATGTTATTTGTTCGATTTCAGCAAAACAGGGCAATGATGTACAGATGCCCGTCTGGGTATCGTTTCAATCCCAGATCAATACTGCCAGAGTATCCCTGTGGCCCCGTATCAGAAATTCGTTGTGAAACCAACAACATGAAAAGTAAGTCCTATTAGTATTGACTCATCTACATAATCTTGATAAAGATTTATTAGGTATAGAGAAACGCGTATCAAACATTATTTATCAATTCAATATTCTCAAATTCAACACCATAGTACTTAGCTACCTAGCTATTACAGAATGATAAATTATATGAAACTCAACAATAATGATTATAGATATTTTAAACTTAATTATATCTTCGCTTATCCCGTTATATTTTAGCTTCTAAAAGTTCCTTTTCCCATGGCATTTGCAGCAGGTGGGACCGTGGAACGTCCTATTAATTCTCGTCCTATTAATTCTCGTCCTATTAAATCAGTTAAAAGGAACATTTTCAAAATGAGCGTTATATAACTTTAATTATATGTATGGCTTTGCAAGTCAAAGCCACACATATGATTAAAGTATTCTATTTCTAACTTAGCATATCACATATAGACCTAAGAATATTAACTAAGTTGTTCTTGCTGTATAAGGGTTTTTGGATGTCTTCTAAAGAATTGATTCGTTTTTTATGGATTTGTTTTGTCACTTTCGGCCGACTGAATTACGCAACATATACTTTTTCAGAAACCACCATTTAATTTTGTCAAATATATTTCAGAGCCTATAATACCTATCGAATGGAATGGCAACTGCGAAGGAATTTCTTACGGTATCTTCCCGTACGACAATGTGGAATGTAGTAAATACGTGATATGCGAACACGGTTTACCCACGATAATGCCATGCCCGGAAGGTCTTGCGTTCAATATCGAAAAAGAAACTTGTGATTGGCCTGTGAATGTTCCATCGTGCAATCCACAGAGTAAGTTATTCACCGTCAATAATCCTGTGCAGGATAATGAAACAATTCGCCTGCGTTAACATTATCCGCTTGCATAACAATGTTCGGAAATGATAAGAGGACAATGACGAAGTGAGAAATAAGTTAGGGCAAATCAGTTAACCATCCATAAGAAACACAATACAGCTAGGGGTACGAACCTCGGTTCAGGCTGTCGTCATTCCAATGCTGTAGTCCCTCCTCATCCCCCTAGACGGTATATACTGTCGTAAATACAAGTATATCTATAGTATATAGATACTTCTCAACTAGAAAATGTGGGGAATTAAAAACCCGCTTTATACCAAATGAACCACCGATGGAACTATTAGTCCAATAACATTTCTCCTTTAATACGAGAGCCCTGCTAAACTTGTCAATAAAAAAAAAACCCTCTCTAATTCATGTAAAGCCAATTTATTTACTTTCTTTTTTAATTATGAAATCATTGTATATATGTATGTATATTACCTATACGACGAGAAAGGTACATCAGTACATGGCATATTGAGGTGACCTACACGCAGTCCTCGCTTGAAATGATTTCTGTCGTTGGTGAATTTGCCACAACCTAACACCATTATCATCCTATCATATCATCAGCTTATATAATCAGTGCAGGCGACTGTACCATGTTCCTCTGTCCAACTAAATCTAAAACCATTCATTAGTTACTATTCGATAGACAACCGTAACGTATAATAATTGTCTTTAATATTTTAATCACAGTATTCCATGGATTCACCTGCCCTGCGCCCAAATTAGATAAAAGTGATGAACCGTCGGACTACGTTTCTAAATTCAGGTAATTACTATTATCCAAAATACTATAAATGACTAATAAAATTTCCACGTGCACGTTTACGTTTACGATAACAAATTGTATCAATTCTTAGTTTATATTAATTAATAATATTAAAAATATTTAATGTTACTATAAATTAATAAAAAAACCTGTAAGTACACAACTACTTAAGGCTTAGCGGTTTCGCAACGCATTACTTCCGATAGTCATGGGTTTGACTCCTAGCACGTAACAAACATTTGTACTCATAAGTAGGTATAATTGTCTGTTTGTATTGGTCGGAGTAATATCCATGTACATGTACATATGTACATGGATATAAATACTTAATACTACATGTAAATAAATACACATACAGATTTGTACATATGTAGGTATTTATTATAAAAAATGTTTTTAAATATTTCTATCAGTTGTTCAGTATCCATAACACAAAATTAGCTTAGCTTAGTTTTTGGCACTAGAAGGCGCTGTGTCTACAATAAATACAGAAATAAAATTATATTCGCTACAAAAAATATCCGTTCATGAATTCAGTTAAAGTAATGGCATTAGACTTTTAGTCGTACTTCTCCTACTTAACCAATTACATTAGTTTAATGAATACACAATATCATTATTTTTCAGATATGAACAAAATTGCAGTAAATACATAGCATGTCAACAAGGACACCCTCGTCTCCTAAGCTGCGACCATGGTCTCCACTTCAGTGATGAGACAGAAAGCTGCATTGAACCCGACCTTGTACATAATTGCAGAACACAATAATTATTAAATTATCTTAGTATTGTCACAACTTACAACTAAGTTGTGTTGAAAAGATCTGACTACAAAAATATAAAATTTTATGACGAATATAGGTACATATTTTATTCCATATTCTTCGCTACACATATACCATTTCTAAATGTACCTAATTGTATACTCTTTGACGACACCTTTAGTACTGGCCAAGTAAGTAGCCTGAATAGTTTGTGATAAGTAGTAAGTTTTTACTACTACATATTCAACTAGCAAGGGAAAGCGATTGTTAGTAATAGGGGCAAAAGTCTTAATTACTAACAGTTTTTCCTATCAGGTGGATACCCACGGGTTTCCATCAGAAAACAACAGCTACAAACTCCTGATAAACCCAGCATAATGGTTTATGTAACCTGACAAAAATTCTTTTTCATTATAATATAGTGGCGTCACCTAGTTGAACACGGCGTAACTTTCTTAACGAGTTATTATTTGTTCTTTGGTTAATGCAGAAACGTGATGAATTATAAATATTGTCATATATTATAAATATTTTATTGAAATCAACAGACATTAATAAAGTTGTGTATTAAGCTGTGATACTTTTATTTATGTACTTTCGGTTATTTGGCCACAATGCGGTACTTCCTTACTATAAGAGACACTATACTTAAACGAGAAGTCTCTTTCTGCCTTTAGTTTTGATCCATTATTAATCATATGAATATCAGTATGTTTTCTATGCCGCTTACAATTCTCCTTACTGCGATTGGATATTTATAAGTTAAGCGAATCATAAATTAAGTTTTTATTTTAACTGAATTTATTAACGGTATAAATTTCGTAATAGAAAACAAGTCTTAATTTTTGTGCGAAAGTAGAACGGTTTTGGAGCCAATTTTTAATTTAAATATGAGTTAACTCTGTTATCTTAACAGTCATTAATATTAAATTGTAAAAATTCCGCTTAAAATTAATAAATGACTTTGAAATATAAATCAATATGTGTACCTAATGACGAGGCAAGCCACAACTGGACGTTCCGCTAGCGCAGCCCTGACGGACATCGCCCCATTTGCCCCTTGGGTTTGGATCGAACGATTGCGTAGTCGCGACTATATCTGCAGGCCTTCTTTCTGGCCCTGCGATTATTTCAATTCGGCTATATTAGTGTAAATTCTAAATTTGAAATCAGTGTAAGACCATAATTTCGACAACATTGACACTTACAAAAGTTGATAAAGAATACGTATATAATGGAAGATTCCTACATAATCGCCAATTTTCATAGTTTGTGTCGATTATGTCTGAACAAAAGTACGTTTACAACATCAATATACGGAACGTCGCCTGATGATGAAAACAATATATCTTTAACCTCAAAAATAGCTGAATGTTTCGAACTACAGGTTATTTTCATTTGATATTTTTAAACATTTGTTAAATTTTTTGCACGTTTCACTTATTTATACATCTGTATTTTCACATTTACAGATTGATCCTAATGATGGGCTCCCTGGAAGGATTTGTTACAAATGTTTATTCAAAGTGGAAAAATGTTGTAAATTTAAGTTGCAGTGCATACAAAATGAAAATAGGCTCAGAGAAATAACAAACAGAGCAAATGATATGGATAACTCTAATTCATCAGAACAAAGCAGTTACAACTACAGCAGTCAAGAAGTACAGAAACCAAAACCTGAAGAGTATATTGTTGAGGATAGTGTTGTGATGGTTGTTGATCCGAGCCTTGATTATGACTCTTCTGAGGAATCTGAGAACATGGAGCAAGTTGAACAGGAAGTGACTGAGAGGAATAATACTCCTGAAGGAGATCCAATGCCGGAGTCTTTCTTCAAAAATGTATTTATGTGTCAATATTGTGACCAGGCATTTATTTCTCAAGAGAAATGTAAAGAACATGAACTCAGTTATCATGATCCAAATTTACCATACAGGTGTGTTGAGTGTAGTCTTGTGTTTGCAGAACGTAGCCAGTATGTACAACATACAAAACAAGTTCATGGTAATGATAAACCATACCACTGTCCAGAATGTGAAAAATCCTTTGGTAGGCGATCAGATTTACGAAAACATTCTATTGTTCACACAGGTATTAGGCCTTATCAGTGTCAATACTGCTTTAAAAGTTTCTCGCGTAACACTAATTTGAGTAAACATCTTCGTATTCATTCTGGACAGAAGCCACATGTCTGCCCTTTGTGTCCTAGAAGCTTTGTTGGTAAAGGAGATTTGCAGCGCCATGTACTGGTTCATTCAGGCATGAAACCATATGCATGTCCTAAATGCCCTTTAACATTTGGACGCAGAGACAAACTCCTCAAACATCAAGCGAGACATGGGCCAATGAGCCCAGAACAGAAATCCAGTGAATATGATAATGACCAAGACACACATGATATGGTTGTTAATGTTAATCCTTTCAACAACCTTATGACATCACCTTCTGAACTTAATCCTGAATCTTCAAATACTGTTTATGATTTACCAAGAGTTCCAGACCATATTTCTGGAGAAAGTAGTTTTTTAAATCAAGTCCAGAAGAATCCCTCCACATCTTCTAAGCATGTACAGAATTCACCTACAAAACAAAAGTCAGCTGTTACAAGTAAAAATAGACCAAAGAATATTAAGTGTCATCAATGCCCAAAAAGATTTTCATCACTTGATGCTTACAAAACACATGTGTCTATAGCTCATGTGGGATCAAGGGTGTTTCAATGTAAAGTATGTTTCAAGAAATTTGCAAGAAAAAGAGAGCTAGATCGCCATGCAACAATACACTCTGGTATGAAACCATTTGCCTGCAATCAATGTGATAAGAAGTTTACAAGAAAAGATAAATTAGATAAACATGTAGAGACTCATGAAAGCTTGGTTGTGAATCTGCCTTGTATAGAATGTGGTGCCACTTTTGAGAAAAAAGCAGACTTAGTAGCACATTTGAAGTCACATTTTTCAGATAACTTTGATGACAAGTGTCTGGAGACACAAATAAAAAATGAGGAGGAATCTGAATTCTCTTTAGGAGATAACTTCTATGATTTAGAAACTTGAAACATTTGACTAGACATTGACGAAATGTCTTATTGTAACAATGTAGTTAAATCATATATAATATTCTAAAGATGATTATAGCCAATGTACTTAATGTAAAGAGTTTATAAAATACATGGAGTAGCTATGTTGGAATATTATTAAAATAATTAATCCTTGATGGGGTAGAACTAATATGTTAATTGTTGATATTGTGGTGATTGTGACACTCACTCAGTTTGCTCAAATTTTATGGAGCATATATAAATCTAAATATTTACAGTTTATTATTTTATGCACAATACTGTGTCTTAGTATTTATAATTATTTGCACTTTATATGGTAAAAATGTAAGATTTCTGTTTGTTTCCTCTCAAATTGGCTTATTTTATTTCCAAGGGTAGGTTCAATAAAGATGTTTGTTATACATATAGATATAAAATATAATAAAGTAGCTAGAAACTAAATATATGGGGGAATTAAAACCTTATATATTATATAAAATGGTACTGTCTCAGTAGTCAGTAAATATAAAATTAATATATAGGTATTCCATTTGAGAGAGAAATTTATAAATACTTAACTAACCTTAACCTGCCCTTGTTATTGTGCTCCCTCTTAGTAAATTTATTATAGCCTTTGGGGAACTACCATTTTGAGACTAGTGAAAATGGCCAGGTTTAATATGTAAATTAGCAACATCAATAGTTAAACAAATTTTAGGTGTTATTTACTTTCAGAACACCATATTAACTGTGGTATTTGACTATAATGTACAACATAAATGTGACACTAATTATATAGATGAAAATATGCACATAATTTTAAAGATATTGTATTGTAATTAAAACTATTATATAATTATGTGAAGTTTATTATTATTGTATACAAGTTATGTTTGTCATGGTATAACAATCACAACTCCAATAATATAATTAATAAGCCTATACTGTTACAGCATTCACCAAAACTTAATGGTGAAGTTAATTGTTGAAAATAATTAAGTACTTAACTATTGTTGTGATTTTATTTAAATAATATTTATTTCACTAATAATAAAATATAAAAACAGTTTATTTTATTACTCATTCATATATGATACTAAATGTATGTTCTGTTGTATTATATATTATATTGACTTGAATTTTATGAAAATGTGAGCAATAAAAGTTGTCGTACTTACTATAATTTGTTTTTAGTACTCATCAAATAATTAGAAATTCCTACCCATACTTGGTTGTGGATATGAAGTACTAACTGCACTTGTTCTTGTGATATGCTCACTGCCTATTAGGCATGATCATTTTATCAGAGCCACAGAAAAGTAAACATGATAGTGCTATCATTATATTAGGTCCTACAGTTTGCCCCTCTGCCTAGAACTTATAAACATTTACATATATTGAAAAAGTATTAATGCCTAGCAGTACATACAATAATACTTATTACATATTCAGAGAGAGTAATTGAAAGATATAAGAAATCTCACCCTTGCTTTGTTTATGAAATAAATTTTTACAGTTGAGATTAAAAAAATACAAGAACCAGGGATATTTTCTCCAATTTAATACTTTTCAATTTGTTGTAATAAATTATCAAATAAATGCATTAAACAATACTTTTTTTATATTTAAACAATCAACCAGCTAGAGGATTTGCATGTATAGTTACTGATGTTATCCTTGCTTCTGTTAAAGGCCTAAAAGTTTTAGGATTTACTGACATCTTCTCTAAATCATCTAGAGCTTCAAAACCGTCTATTATTCTGCAAAAAATAAACAAATTATTTATAGTAACATTTTAGGATAAGAAATGATGCTATTAAAATTATATTAATAGGTTGTCTACAAAAATGGTATGAAAACAAAAGTAGTAGAAGTCCGTCTATAAAATAACAATTGATTATAAACCTTTTTTTTTTAAATAAAATAGTATTTTAATTATTAATTAGATTGTTGTATTGTGTGCCTTACCTTCCGAACATTGTGTACTTGAGATCTAAATGTGGTTGTTCACCATATGTAAAGAAGAATTGACTACCATTTGTATTGGGACCATTGTTTGCCATGCTTACAATGCCTCTTGAATTATGCTGTAATAGTAATTATGGTTATTATCAATTATACATTATTAGTGGAATATTTGAAATGTAATTCTAAAAATATATTTTTAGCTGAGTATTACAACAGAGTTGGTCTAATCAGCTAGAAAAACATATCTTAAATTATACTGTAGTACAATTTTAAACAAACATTTTACATTCTTACTTTACGAAATGCATAGAGAATGGTATTTTGTTTCTATGAAAGTTAAATAATAACTACTAATAAAAAAATTAAGGGACTAACCTTTAATTCTTCTTTAAACTCGTCTTCAAACTTTTTACCCCAAATAGATGTTCCACCTTTGCCTGTGCCTGTGGGATCACCCGTTTGTACTATAAAACCCTAAAATAAAAAAATAAACAATTAACTGAAAGATATAAATAAATTACCATATAATTTGATAAATTTTAATAACAAATATTTAAAATATACCTTTATATTTCTATGGAATATACAACTGTTGTAGTAATCACTTGCACATAGAGCTAAGAAATTTTCACAGGCTTTTGGACATTGCTCACAAAATAATTCAATTTTTATATCACCAACATCCGTATGTAATGTTACTGACATTATGATGTTAATATTTAGAAATTGGCTTTCACACTGTAACTAAAACTGCAAATCCGTTTTTAGTTTAGATTATTTCCTTTGAACTTCTCTTCACAAGTCCGCAACGGCACGGTACGATTAATTAATTATTACTGTTACAAAGAAGCTACAATAAGTACCAGTTTGGTATCATAAAAGCAAATATTATTTTATTTTAGTTAAAACAAAATTTATTCGTTTATGTATTAATTTGTTGCTTTTGTAACATAATATTAACCTATTTTCATATTTTGAAATGTCAAGCACAGATTAAAAAATGTCAAGCAACCAGACTATCCCGCGCTCCATCCAGAATCTATTGAAGAACCCAGAAACTTACAAACCCATTTTCGAGTACGTTATATCAACTTTTCAAGATTTGTAACTTCTGAAGACAATTATTAGAAAAAAAAATAATATAAGAAAATATTACTGAAGACAATGGCTGTATGGGCTGAATCCTTTTGCCTTTCCCTAAAAAAAGGGAAAAACCGAACCAAAAAAAAAAAAGCAACCAGACTGGGGGAAAAGCGCGGGAACTTTCAAAGCGGCTACACGTATTTTTTCGCGCTACTTTTGCAAAATTATATTTTATTGAGTTTTTTTTAGTCAAAACCAGTAAAAATGACGAAGAGGAGCGGGAAGAAGCGAAAAAAGAAAGAGGAAATATCGGATGATACATCCGATGATATTAATTTTCTAGGGTCTGACTCGGAATCGGTACCTGAGGATGTGGATAAGTATAAGGCATTTCAAATACCAGATTATGTTCGGTACTATCCTGAGGATGGTGGAAATTTTGAATACTTTTGTATTTATGGAGAGTACAGATAGTAATAAGCCAATCGGTGATAGGGATAAGATGTCCCTAGCTACTAATTTGAAAAAATACAATAAAGGAGTTAAGCAATTATTAAGGATGAATAAATTTAAGATCGGCGTCATTTTTGAACGCCCCGGTTTAGCTAATGCAGCCTTAGTTAATAAAAAATTTCTAGACGGATTTAAATTAAAGGCAAGTATACCAGCTTCAGCCACGGAAGTAACTGGAGTAGTTCAGCATGTTCCTACGCATCTATCGAACGAACAAATATACTCTAATATAACCAGCTCAAAAAATATTGTTTGTGTACGCAGATTCATGAGGCGTATTAAAGGTGATGATAACACCTTTACAATGCAGCCAACTAAAACCGTCTCCATCACATTTTCCTGTCCTGTAATTCCTGACACCGTCGACCTGAATAGCTGGCGCTTTGTGGTGAGGCCTTATATACCTCCTGTAAAGCAGTGTCTTAAATGTTTAAGGTATGGTCACATCGCTAAGTTTTGTAAGAACGCTGAAAGATGCTCAGTATGCGGAAATAATCATAATTTCAGAAACTGTTCGGCAAATATTAACGAAGCCAAATGTTGTCACTGCAATGGTAATCATATAGCCATTTCATCACAGTGTCCTATTAAGAAAAAGAAAATAGAGGAGAATAAAAATAAAGTACAAAGTTATGCTGATATTGTTAGAGAGAAATCATTTCCTCAATTAGGCAGTACCAAAACTTCACCTTCGGCACAATTTATATCCCTACTTAATTCTGACCAAATTTTAAATACCCTATTAGAATCAATTGTTAAAATTATAACATTGAATAGAACCAATGACAAAACAATATGTACAGGGGGCGTATTATGAACTCTTTAAAATCCAGTCAGTTTCCAGGCAGTTCAGTTTACGGCCTTAAACTGAATTGTTCTTTTTCGTATTATGAGGGTCCAAATTCAAACCGTATTCTGCCTGGATAGTTTGTCTCTGGCTGGTTAGTGGATTTTCTCGCGCTGCGTTCGGATACGCATACATTCGTTGCAACGTTAAGTCGAGTTTTTGTATGTCACTTTTTGGACAAAATATTAATTAAATAAATGTAAATTAAATATAGAAAACAGTAATTAAGATACAATGGTAGAATTTGTGTAATATACAAAAATATTCCAGACAGTTTTATTGTCTTTTTTAATAATTCGGATTTATTTGTAAAAAATATTTTCATTGTAATATCCAAACGAACTTTGTGCATCTACTTAAAATTCCGCGCAAAGTACTTAATTCTGATTTTAATGTACAATTTGAAACTTAGCCTTTCCATGACTTTATACGCAAGTTAAATTTAATAATTCAATTATTGTGAAAAATATACCTAATGTAACGTAAGTATTCCTAACATTTTCTTAGTAATGTTTTTTAAAATGATGCAAATATTTAACTGTTTATATTTGTATATTTATCTAACTAAATTGTAGATCACGGACTGAAACCCCTGGCCAACGTCGTGTATCGTACCGGTAATTTAAAATTATATGGGATTTTAATCAAAATCCCATATGGAAATGGCAAGTGGCTTTAATAAGTCCGCCCAAGAATACCATACCAATCGCTTGTGTGAGGACGTCGCTCAACAATTAAACTCCTTAGGAAAAGGGGGTTTTAAAGACTGGAAAGGATTGTCAAGTTTAAGTGTTATAAGGTAACCATCTGAATTTTAATTTATTTCATTTAATAGGAATCTCAGTAAAATCTGAAATACATGTATCTATGCAAATAAATTGAAGTATCTGTTTGTAATTTTGAAGTTCACCAGTTACAACAGCTTTTCAGTATATGCATACATATATAAGGTAAGATAAATGACATAAAAAAAATATATATTTGTCTGTCCGTTTGTTTGTTCTTGCTAATCTTTGAAACAGCTGGACCAAATTTGAGGGATACTTTCACTGTCATATGTAATGAGTTGTGTAAAGGAGTAACTTAAGTTACTTTTATTTGAGATATTTATTTTAACAAAAACTAGGTATGCCATATGGACAAAGTCATAGGTAATAACTAGTATATAATAAAATTATCATATCCCTTTAATTATAACTACCAATAAAAGACATAAATTATGTAGCTATATCATTTATTATAAAAACAAATAATTAAAACATTGGCCTATTAACAATATTATTATTTATAAATGTTTCAATTTCTTAGTTCCACAACTAAACAACATGGGTTTGTCTAGCAGCTAGACCTTCATTTAGTTCTCTATAAGAGCTCAAAGTACATGTAGGCATCTAAATCTAGAAGCCCAATTGTGCTCTCAATGATATTCCATGTTCTTCCAGTGTAATATGCTTCTTGTGGTCCTGGTATAGCATTTGAGATGGGAGTATACTTCTCTAAAGCATATCCTGGTTCTCCTAAAAAAAAAAACAACATATTATATACTATAATATTAATATTTATTTACAAAAAGTATTATTTCATTAAAAACACAGCACAATAACTGTTGGTGCTGATAAATAACTATGTTTCTAAATTACTGAAGTTTACAGCTTAGATGTAATGATGTTTGTAGTTTCATAATAAAATTTTGTGCTTACCAAGTAATCATAAGGATTTATTCCAGCTTAAGTCCTCTAGATGTTGCTTAGTGCCTCTGGTTTGCCCAAATGTCATGAGTAGCTCCAGTTCCAGTTGGCATCCACACTTATAATCTCCATGTCAGCATTACTAACCTAAATTTTTTTCCAGATTAATTACATAGATGAAGATTATTTGAAACATAACAGAATAATTAATGGATAAATATTATTTGAAACATATGAGATTAATTACATGGATACAGATTATTTGAAACATATGTCTAAGTGTTATGGTCATTTAATATTTAAGTAAACAATTTATTGTGAGTATATTAGTAGCTTTAGAGATGTATAATCATTAACATATTTTGCATGTCTAAAATCTTGTTTATTGTTAATTTATATAATTATATTAAAAAAAGATATTAAAAGTGCTTATATTATTAAACATGTCTTTTAATTTATATTTCACTTACCAATTATATATTTAATGAATGGTATTGTTTTCTACAGCAATATCTCTTCTTAATTTACAATTGGGTGGCATGTGTACAGTCAAATACAGCCCAATACACCCAGCATTCCAAATTCCAATTATAAAACCTAAAATATAATTAATTTAATTTAATTAATTGTCCTCGGAGGAAATTGCCGGAGAGACTGCACATCATCAGACTGTTGGCTTTACTTGTATGCATACATTTTACCATATATATTATCACTATATCATATGGTATGGTACATGGTACTCATAGATGTATTTGCAACAATAACAGTTGCTAATTGTATAGAAATAGACACCTTTGAATATTTATTATCTATCCTTTACTCAGATGTCCTTGGAATTTTATATATGTATTTACTTTTGGATGTTGGGTAAATGCAATAAATCGGTTATTTGCCATTGGCTGTGCTAGCGAATGGACAGCAATATCACTAGTAGGCCGTTGATAAATATGCCTGTAGCATAAATAATAATGCTACTAAAATCTGACATAGTCAGCTACTGATTTAGTGAAATAATTACAATACATTTTAGTAAAGTTATATATATACCTTAGTTTCCACTGGTAGGTCTGTAAATTTCGATGATACCGGCATATGAGTTCACACGCATATTACGCACCAAATCTTTATTGAGATTATAACGTTTTATAAATTGTTCATTGTCTATATCAATTGGATTGGATTGGTCGCGTAATCGCCGTCTTTTCACTTTCCTTCCTTCTTTTTCGTAGGGTGCACACATTTCCAAAAACTCCAATACTTCGAGTTCATCACACAATTAAAATTAAAACGAAACAAAAACAATCGAAATAACTGCACAAACATGTTTTAAACATAATAAAAACTGACATAGAAATAGAAATAATAACCAAATTACAATAATGAAGCTATAAATTAGAAAACAATTCTATAAAAGCTAATATGAAGCCACCGTAAACTGAATTGTTTTTAAACGGTCTTTTTGACAGTTGCGTCCGCTTAGATCTGTCAAATGAAACGCTCATAATACGAAATAGCCGGTCAGTTTTCGGGCAGAAGACGTTCAGCTGTCACGTGACCGCTGACTGGCTGACTAATAGCGTTCGTAATACGAAATTGCCAGGCAGTTCAGTTTAAGCCGTAAACTGAATGGGAATAAGAGTTCATAATACGGCCCCAGAAAATATAAAACAAGTTCTCCTAGAGACATTACAGAATAAAAAAACCCAGATTAATCTTTCTTTCTTTAATTTTTTATTTCTTTATGGACCATATAGTAATAGTCCAGTGGAATGCACAAAGTTTAGTAAGTAATCAACAAATCTTTACACATTTTCTATTGGAGAACAATATTCATATTGCTCTGATATCAGAAACCTGGGTAAAAGCCTACTATAAATTAAATATTAAAGGCTTTAACATTGTTAGATTAGACTCAGGCAATGACCATAACGGCGTTGCAATTTTAGTTCATAAAAGTATAGAATTCAGTAAAATTGATACATATAGTGATGATTCCTTACAGAATATTGCAGTACGATTAAAATATAAAAACACAGAAATGTCAGTTGTTAGTTTTTATAGCCCAAATAATTGTAGTCCACGTTTTAACAAAAATAAATTCAGTAATCTTCTTAATAGTATTCCAGAACCCATGTTGGTTGCTGGTGATTTTAATGCTCATCACACAGCATGGGGTTGCTCGTCTATTAATGCTCATGGTCGTGACATTCTTGAATGTATTGATGGTAACAACTTGGTCATCTTAAATTATGGTACACCGACTACAGTAGGATCACACAGATGGCAGAGTAATGCGCTTGATCTTACAATTGCATCCCCTTGCTTATCTCTTGCTTCAAATTGGATGGTACATAATGATCCCTTAGGTAGCTACCATTTACCTGTAATAATAAAAATAGTAATTAATAACAATTGCACTAGATTACCAGAATCCTCAGATTATCCCAAATTTCATAATTACAATCTTATAGATTGGACCATGTATAAGAAGACCACAGATAGTTTGTTACAAGATTTCACACTTTACACTTATAGTAATTCACCCCTGCAGTGTTATACTAAATTAATTGATATTTTCAATTTAGCTCTAGACAAAAGTTGTATATCAAAATCAAAACCCATAAACTCTACAACTGATATTCCTTTTAAAAATAAAAGGATTCCATTACCTTGGTGGAATGAAAAATGTACACTTGCAGTAGATAACTCTAAACAGGCATATGTTAATTTTAAAAATAACCCATCAGAGGCAAATTATATTACATTTAAAAGGTTACAAGCCAAAAAAAGTTAATACTTAAAAAAGAACAATCAATTAGCTGGAATAATTTTTGTGAAAATTTTAAACACACCACACCCATTTCCAAAATTTGGAATACTGTTAAAAAATTCAATAAAACTTATGTATATAGTCAGATTTCAAATAAAAATAACTGGATTTCTGATTTTCTTAAGAAATATACTCCTGACACTGTCGAGACCCAATTTAAATCACATTAATGAAAGTAGTAACAAATTAAGTTATTTAAATAAACCCTTCACTTTTTCTGAATTGAATGCAGCCATATCTACCCAAAGAGATACAGCATTTGGTCTCGATGGCATACCATATAAATTATTAAAAAACCTCTCTTATACCTCTAAAAATATTGTTCTATGTATTTATAATGCACTGTGGAAAGATTCACTTATTCCTTCCGATTGGAAAAAAGATTGTATTATTCCAATTTTAAAACCAAACAAAAATGCAAATGAAATAGATTCCTATAGACCTATAACCCTGACCTCCTGCATGGGAAAAATATTAGAGCAATTATTAAAACAAAAACTAGAATTCTACATAGAGAGTAATTGTTTATTACCAGCAAACCAGTTTGGTTTTCGTAGAGGTAAATCTGCCTCTGAGAGTGTTACTCATCTTCATATTGATATATTTAAAGCACTTAAATGCAATGAAGTTTTGATTGGGGTATTGTATTGTATGTTGGACTCCATTCTCCGCAATTAGCCTCTCATTCGGGCCGTTGTGCGTGTTTTGATTGGGGTATTCTTTGATATTATCGGTGCATTCAATAATGTCAATCATCAAATTCTCACTCTGGAACTTGTTTCTATTGGTATACCTGGAAAAATTATAAACTGGGTCTATAACTTTTTAAATGGTAGAGAAGTTTTTGTTAAAGTTAACAAGCAGTTAATAGGACCTCGTCTTTCTTATAAAGGTGTGTGTCAAGGTGGAATACTTAGTCCACTACTCTTTATCCTCTACATACACAAACTTAATTTAATTTTAGGACCACATGTCAGGAATCTTCAATTTGCAGATGACCTTGTTATATACTTTTCAGGCCCAGACATTAATAAAGTTACAGAAATAATAAGTAACTCATTGTTAAGATTAACAGATTACTTTAAATACCTCAATTTAGATGTAAGCCCTGACAAATCTAAAGTAGTAATATTTTCTAAAACTAATAAATCCTACAAAAACATTAAAATATTATATAATAATTCACAACTACCTATTACTGCTGAAGTTAGATTTTTAGGTGTTATTTTTTGTAGCAATTTGTCTTGGAACAAATATGTTGATTATTTACTAGGTAAAGCTTCCAAAGCATTTAATATTATCAAAGCTCTATATAAATGTGATCCTAAGATCCTTTTAATGCTGTACAAATCCTTGATTCGTAGCCACTTTGAATATGGCTATCTATGTTTTGGTTCTGACCAAAACAAGCTTCATAAACTTGAAGTACTTCAGAATACTAATTTAAGATACATAACTGGTGCAATGAAAACAACCCCTATAAATTCCTTACAAGTAGAGTGCTGTATACCACCATTAAACCTGAGATTCTGGTACTTAAAACAAAGATTCATCCTAAAATTATTATCCTTTTCCGAAGACCCACTCTTACAAAAGCTCAAACATATTACTTCTTTATTTCCCCTTTCTAATTCTAAAACAGTTCCTTATATACTTCATGATTTCTCTGACTCAATCAATATTGATCAGCAATACAAAATTCACAAAACCAATAGATTTTGGAATTGTTACCATGGACCATTTGAAAGTAAATTTCCAAATATTAATATTGTAATTGACTCTGAGTTAAGGACCAAACAAGAAGTTTATAACAAGTTATCTACATTTTCAACTCATCAATCCATATTTACAGACGGTTCTAAAAACGAATCGAGAACATCCTTTGCTCTATACTTACCAAGTATCAGAACCGGTCATGGAACTAGAATACATAAAGAATTTAGTATTTTTTCAGCAGAATCTTTGGCTATTTTAAATGCACTTTGTTATATAAAAGATGATATGATATGATGGGGCAATTGCAAAAAATGGTTAATTGTCACAGACAGTATGAGTGTTTTAACTGCTCTTCAAAGTAACAAACTACATTATAAAACCAATTATATCATAGATAGCATTAAGCAATTATTATATGAGCTCTCATTGGAGTGATATGATATTATTTTATTATGGACACCATCACATATTGGTGTTTTCGGCAATGAAAACGCAGATTTCCTGGCAAGAACTATCACCAACAATGACATTGGCGTTGTCAAGGATGTTGCCATACCTTATTCCGACATTCTTTCTACAGTTTACAAGACTTCGTCAAAAATGGGTCGAACAGTGGCAACTTTCGCTAAAGACCAAGGGTAATTGGTTTTACTCCATTAACAAAAATATTAATTCCTCACCCTGGTTCACTAAATCTAAAGTTTATAAAAACCGGAAATTTTACACACTCCTTATACGACTTCGTTTTGGTCACGCTAGATTCAATAGTCATTTGTGCCGAATGAAAATAATTGATTCAAATGCATGTCAAGAGTGCAATAACAGCAGTCAGACCCTAAATCACATATTTTTGGAATGTTCCGCTTATTTATATTCAACGCTTGGTCTTTATTGATAATTTACTGAACATTTACAAGAAATCGGAAAAAATCCCGCGCGACATCCAAGACATGTTAACTAATTTTGAAACATATATACCTATATATTTATACGTTACCTCTATATCGATAAAATTTTAAATAATTGATACAAGGATATGGACTATGGATAAGACTTAAATTTTGAACACTAATGAAAACATAATGAATAAACATACATAAGAATTGGCCTTTGGCCTCATCATTTGTTCAAATATGAAGAAGTATAAACGTTGACTAGGCTGTACGGTCTAAGGATCTTTGCCTGTTCCATCACTGAAAAGGAGATGGACGAATATGGAAAAAAAAAAAAAAAAAAAGCAACCAGACTGTTATTGTGAAAATCTGACGGAAAAGCGCGGGAAACGTTCGAAACGCCGGGAGTGTTTTTTGGATTTATTTTTGTTTAATTTAATTTTACTATATATAAGGATTAGTTTTATTTATATATTGTAGACTAGATTAATTGTTTAATTAAATATTTATTAATAGTAGTAGCAGTTGCTGCAAATATTGGTAAGTAACTTTAATATATAATATCTATTGAGAATGGACCCGCCTATAGACCCTGGGGGAACAGTCCCCCAGGTGTCTGCAAATATAAGTATTCCATTTAACAATTCTTTTGATATTTTATGTGAATCTAGTATGGATACTGATGGGTCTAATATTACAACCACAAAACGTAAGCGAGTAAGGGGCGAACGCCGCATTTGCAAACACTGCAATAAAAAACGTAGGAGACATCAAAAAGGTACCGAGACAAAATTAAAAGACAGTGACTGTCAATGTGTCGAAGAGGAAAAAAATAATTTAGAAATAATACCTGTAATTGACAATCAAAATTCAGATGTAATACCAGTAGTTGAAAAATACATCCAAAAAAGCCACTCCTTCACCCACTTCTGTAAATAGGACTTTGTACAATACTGAAGATGTAGCACCTTTTGTAGTTCATGTTAAAAAAAATGAAACAAATCCTACAGATAATGTAACATTACACCCCATCGCATTTGGTCGGTTTTTACATACAAATAAGATTTATAATGTTGTGAATGGCAGCCTCAAAAGAATAGGAAGAAACAGATTGGCTCTTGCTTTTTCAAACTTTTTAGATGCTAACTCTTTTTTAAACCACAGTAGTTTAATTGCCTATAATTATAATGCATTTATTCCTTCTTTTAATGTGACCCGCATGGGTATTGTAAGAGGTATTCCTAAAGACTGGACAGATGATGAAGTAATTAGCAATATTTCAGTACCTATAGGCTGTGGAAAAATTTTAAAAATACGTAGAATAAAAAAAAAGCCTATAAATGAGGGAGAAACGAACTTTATTAACACTGAAACAGTTGTTATAACATTTGATGGGCAAATTTTGCCAAAAAGAGTATTTATGTTTTATACATCATTAACTGTAGATCTATACATTTATCCAACCATACAGTGCTACAATTGTTGTAGATTTGGACATGTTAAGATGCAGTGTCGTTCAAATCCAAGGTGCTATAAGTGCAAACAAAGTCATACTGGTGATAAATGTGAAGCAGATGAAGACAGAATATGCTGTATTCTATGTAATGGTTGTCATTTCGCTATTAGTAAGAAGTGTCCTGAATATTCCCGCCAAAAAGCTATTAAAGAAACCATGGCTCACAGCTGTGTTTCATATGCTGAAGCTATGAAATTTCATCCTCCAACCAGTAAATTATACTCAGATGTATTAACATCGCCACCACCTTCATCTATTAAACCACATATCCAATCTTCTCCACAAAAAGACAAATCAGGCCATATTCAATCTTCTTATAAAAAAACTGTTACACTTAAACCACGTTCTCCACAGAAACCACAACGAGGATATGATCGTTCTGCTCATGAGGCCTTAATTAATGAATATAACATTCCTGCGCCCTCAAATGGCTGTGCACTAAGTAATAATAATAATACTAATAATCAATCTGTTGCTGATATTATATTTATGTTAATTAAATTCTTGACGCAATCTAATATGACACAAACCAATTTTTCACCGTCGAACGCTGCCAACCTGAATGTTATATCTCAAATTTTATCAACTCACAATGGACAACAAAGCCCACATTATTCAGTGGAACTGTCGTAGCATAACAAATAAGAAATCTGATCTATTTTATTTAATAAACAATTTCTCCCCTTTCATTATAGCTCTTCAAGAGACATGGTTAAAACCTGGATATTCATTTAAGATTCCAGGTTACTCATGTTTTCGTGATGATAGAGCTGACGGATATGGCGGTGTTGCCATATTGGTCAAAAACTCCTTTTCATATTTATTATTTTCCCTTCCTTCATTTAATGGAATTAATGCTATTGCATTAATAGTAAATAGTATTTGTTTTGTTAGTTTATATATTCCTACCCCCTCTTCTCAATTATATTCAGAATTAGAAAAAATTATATCTATTTTACCTAAACCTTTTCTTATTATGGGTGATTTTAATGCCCAACATCAATCGTGGGGCAGTACCACCTCCAATTATTACGGTGAGAAAATTATAAGTATAATCGACAGTCATAACTTATGTATAGTTAACTCGGGTGTACCAACACGTAGAACTGGCCCAAATGAAGGTGTTAGCGTCCCTGATATTTCTCTGTGTTCTTCTGATTTAGCTTCTTCGTTTTCGTGGTCTCCTCACTACTCATCCTTCGGAAGTGATCACTTTCCCCTTATTTTATCTTTACCTCATTCCATTCCTCCAAATCGGAAAACCGGTCCTCGTCTTAAATATAACTTAATGAATGCAGATTGGGTGACGTTTAAACAATATGTAGGCAATAGGATTTCAAAACTACCTCCTGTTTCTCACGGAAATGAGCACCAATGTTCGAATAGTTTAGTAATGGTTATGAAGGAAGTTGCTGATATGTTATTTCCTATAAAAAATAGTGCTTCAGGAAAAATTCCATCCCCTCCTTGGTGGGATAAAGAATGTACAGACGTCATTAAACAGCGTAAGGAAGCTGAAAAGAATTATAACAAGTATATGACATCAGAAAACTATGAAATTTATTGTGAAATATCTCGTTCCACCCGGAAACTACTAAAAAAGAAGAAGTTGGAAGGTTGGAGAAAGTTTTGTTCCTCAATCTGTCCCGAAGTTAACCTCTCTGTCGTTTGGAATAATATTAAAAGATTTAGATCTGTATATACCGGACACACATCGCTTTCCATAATGGATTCAAAATTAGCAGACGAATTTTTAGACCGCCTTGCACCTAGTTACGTTCCAGAATATCATAATCAGCTTTCTCCACCAACCCAATTATCGAAACTCGATTCCCCTTTTAGTCTTATTGAATTTAAAGGGGTATTATCACATATTAAAGATTCTGCACCGGGAGAGGACGGTATACCGTACTCATTTTTTAAAAATTCTAATGATACAACACTAGATTACTTTTTAGATTTAATTAATTCAGTAATGATATCCGGTAAGATACCTCCGTCATGGAAATCACAAATTATTATACCTTTTCTGAAACCTAATAAACCACCTTCGGAGCCCTCTTCTTATCGCCCTATAGCACTTTCATCGGTATTACTGAAATTGGCTGAACACTTGGTGAAAAATCGTCTGGAGTGGTTTGTAGAAAGTAATAACTTACTTTCATCAAACCAGTTTGGATTTAGGAAGGGTAGAGGTACGTTAGATAACGTTAGTATTTTAACCTCAGATATTCACATAGCATTTTCGCAAAATGTGTCGATTTTATCAGCTTTCTTGGATATTAGTTCTGCCTATGACAACGTCCTAATTACAATTCTTAGAACTAAATTGATAGCCTTGAATATTCCATTTATGCTTGCTAATTTTATTATTAATATTTTGTCAGAGAGAACAATAAAATTGGATTTAGGTGATGATAACAAACTATCCAGATCAGTATGGAAAGGTCTGCCTCAGGGATCAGTACTTAGTTCAATTTTATTTAATATATATACATATGACCTTGAAACATCTCTTAGCAAATCCGTTAAAGTATTGCAATACGCGGATGACCTATTAATTTATTTAATAGATCATTCAATTCAATCTGCCTGTCAAAAATTGTCTGATAATCTTGACTTGTTGAAATTATGGTTAGACGCAAATGGTCTCGAACTTTCTGTATCGAAAAGTAGTGTAGTACTATTTACAAGAATGCGATCACCACCGCAAGTTAAGGTTTTCTATGATAGTTGTTACATCCCGGTTAAAACAGAGATTAAATTTTTAGGCATCGTCTTAGATAATAAATTAACTGGTTTATCCCACTGTAATTATATTTCTGCTAAATGCGAACGAAATCTAAATATTCTTAGATGTCTAGCAGGTGTATGGTGGGGAGCACATCCGTATTCTTTAAAACTAGCGTATAATGGCCTTATAAGGAGCGTCCTTGATTATGGAACTTTTTTGTTAGCGCCGGGAAGTTCTTTTGCCTTTAAGAAACTGGACCTAATACAATCCAAAGCTTTGAGAATTATATCCGGAGCAATGAAATCAAGCCCAATCAATGCTTTACAGGTTGAAATTGTAGATCCACCTCTAGATTTAAGAAGACAATATCTAGCTGATCGTTTTCATGTTCGCTGCTTACAGTTGTCTAACCATCCACTTATCTTAAAACTTCCACAAATACATCAGTATGTTACCTCATCTTCTTATTGGATACACAAAAAACCTCCATGTTTAATAAAAAGCTTTGAAAAATATAAAGGAATATCTGCACCAATGTTTACTTCCTCTTGTTCTCCAGTCTATAAATGCTCATATGAATCTCTGAATTTATGCCCTAACATTTATTATGACATAGGAATTTACAAAAATGATACGGAACAGGCAGCTAAATTCAAATTTATAATAGACACACAATGGAATGGATGGCATTGCATTTTCACAGACGCCTCAAAATCAAATAATTGTAGTTGTGTAGGTGTTGGTGTATTTCACGTGCAGTATAATATCGTTCAAAAAATTAAACTTCCACCAGAGTCATCAGTGTTTACTGGGGAATGTATGGGTATTTTAAAAGCAATAGAATATGTACATATAATGAAATTACAAAAAGCAATCATTTTTACTGACTCAATGTCTTCACTACAAGCGTTAGCCAAATATCCTTTAAAATCGAAATCACTTCATTCTATTATTTACGATATACGAGAAAAACTTCAACTTTGTACATTAAAAGAATATTCCGTTTCTTTTGCTTGGCTACCGGGACATTCTGGTATTCCAGGAAATAATAGGGCAGACCAAATTGCGAAGGAAGCTGTGCTTTGTGGAGATATGTTTCCTTATAAAAACTATTACAATGACCTAGCGTGTCTTCCAAAGTTGTATCTTAATAAATCTTGGAAGGAATATTGGCAGAACAGTAGTAAAACGAAAGGAAACCTTTACTGTCAGGTACAACCCGACATTCCTATAAAGCCCTGGTTTTGTGGGATAAAGCTCGGAAAGACCGCGACAACTATATTAACTCGTATGCGTCTTGGTCACGTGTGCACACCGTCTCACCTTTATAAACTTGGTATTGTAGAATGTTCCTGTTGTACCTGCGGTACTGAAGTGGCTGATCTAAATCACATTTTTTTCTCATGTCCGGATCTTGATCACTCCTCCTTTTTAAAACATCTCAGATCCATCCGTATCCCTTTCCCTACCTCTATTACAACTCTTCTTTTTTCCAATGATCCTATTATTTATAAAATTTTAGCTGAATTTATATATTTAAATAGTATTAAAATTTAATATAATGTGTTCCGTATTGTATGTATATTATTTGTAAATATCGTATCCTATATAATTTCCTAACCTAATCCTTATCCCTATGCTACAAAATTTTCGTTGCTAGATATAAATTAATGACGTTTCCCCGTTTTGTTTTTGGCGAAATACCCTAAAATCGGGGTGAATGCCATACCACAAGAGAGAAAAAAAAAAAAATCTGACGGATTTTCACAACTACTGTGCGACAGTTCTAGCAAGATTGACGTATATATTTTTTTCTTGATTCATTGACTTGGAAGTACAGTACAAGTTTCATTGTTTACTTTTATGTTCTTCTATTAACATATGTACTTAGAATATAATGAACAAAATGTATGCTTAAATATATAAGAGCTGTAAAAATAGATGTAAGTGTGGAAAAATAAATAAATATAATAATCTGCATAGTACTTTAGTAATGTGGCAACTTATTTGCATGTGATCTCTAAAACATAATCTTAAAGGAAAACCTTAGAGGTACTTGACTTTATACTGGTGCATAGACATTCTATTCACGATGTATAACAAACTGTGCCATATAGTACATTAATTATATAACCATTTAGTTAAAATATAAGATGTTTATTATTTATATTTAGTATCACTGAATATATTATACTGTACAGAGATAATGTATATATATCATACCATACCATAACGTTTAATTTGTAGAGGAACAAAATAATAAATAGACACACTTTATTATAAATTACGTATTTAATGAGATAACAACTGCTAATTATTCACTACCACCGGCTCTTTCATTTTGTCCGGCGTGTGGTTCGTATATATTCTCATCCATTCCTTGCTCCCCATATTTTCCAAGTATCCTCTGGCCTGTAGGATCAAATGGTGACCTCAGATGAAGCTTAGCCTTATATCTCTTTCCCAAGACTTCTATTTCGTAGTTTCCGTCCGTTAAGTAGTTTTCTGTAACCTCTGATCCTTTATTGGTTACATATGCGATACCAATAGATTTGTCAAGGTAATACGCATATTCTCCTCTTCTTAGGTAACCAACTGGCACGCCATTTCTAAATACAGCTTCTTGACCAAATAGAGCAACCTACAAGTAAATATAAACATTTGATAACATTTAAAATAGCATTCGTGAACATACAAATTAAAAGTTAAATACATATAAAAGTACATTATTTTATAAATCAAATATAAACGTTAATTTATTCTTTTACTACACAATGGTGCTGTACCTTGTCATCAAGTGTAAAATATGTATATTTCTTGGTAACTCCATTATTCTTCGCTTTAGTAACTTGTTCATTACCGATGTATTCGCCATCTTTACGACACGTAAAACCTAAGTTGGCTTCTATAGGGTTATCATCTGTCCTCAGATCAGCATTCCATAAATGATACCCTGAAATTTGTATACCACATGTTTATGCGAATAAGAATATAGATAGTCATTACTCCTTTTTGACTTTTTTGTCCCTAGGAGGAATTTAGATAGATTAATAAAACAATGAATGAGTCGAGTTAAAACAAATCATGAATATTCAGCAAGCCTTGTAGCATAAAGTGTTCAGTTGTGTTTTACCGAGGCAAAAAGTTGAGGTTTAAATTACCATAAAGTAAACATTCTTTCCTCCCTCGGTTTTTTTCAATCACAAAAAGCATTAAAATACTACATTAATAGAATCATAACAGACCTTTCTCAGCACTAAGTGAAGTCAACGCCCTCCAACCAGCATTCTGTAAACCTTTAACATTTCTGAGGGCTTTGTAAATTTGTATTGCATGTGATGACGGTATATGTAGCTCCCAGCCCAACTCGCCTGACCAGCCCACGCGCAGCGCTCTGCATGTGTAGGCTTTATACTCTGCGCTGCATGGTGATTTAGAGAACTGGATGCTGCGGTGCGTATGTACGGGGAAAGCGTCGTTTGAAAGGCCCGAATCGGTGTATCGTTGCAGAATGCGTTGACTGTAAAGTAAGAAAAAATATATAGTATATTGTAAATTAGGATATTCTGCTGAGGAAAATCTTGTACAGTCATTTGTGTGGCCATGTTATATTTCTCTTTATTTTTATAAATATAGTATTTCCATCGTAAATGCTACTTATATAGTAAATTTCACGATTGATTGAAATCGTTAGGGCGTGACAGTTTAACAAACAAACAAATTCACTTGCACTTTACTTATATTAGGATAAATAAACGTCATATTTGTAAGATCTTTCAATGCATTAGTCTTATTACTAGCGTCACATGAGAACGTGATATCCGTAGTGCTATATATGTATATATATAGTATGTACTTATACAGGCGATGGCCACCCCTAATCATCAGGTCGGCCGTCAGTTTGTTTGCAATTCCAATTACATTAAAAAGCAGAATACCTGTCAGGTCCTTGTAGACTCAATATACAGAGTTGTTTGGAAACGTCAGTGATGGTCGCCCGCAGCTTGTGGATCTGTATGATGCGTCGCAAATGTGCCAGCGTGTGGTTGGCGTTGAAACCACTCGTGACAACATAGTAACCGCGACCCTACGAAACATAAAGGTATTTTTAGTGATACTAATGGCACACCTGCATGGCATAATAATGACGCACCTGCTTGCGCTAACCCTGGTGGTCCGCCAGTGAAAGACGATAAGATGAGGATGGAGTCAGGTCAATTAGACCATTGTGGCGAATTAATCACGCTAGTTTCTACGGGGACAGACCGAGGAAGGGTTGAGAGGATGTAATTGCTAAAGACAGGATGAAGTGCGATGTCCGGGACAGGATAAAGTGGCGGAGAAAAACAAAGAAAGCTGACCCCACCGCTATGTGGGATATATAGCTAGGAAAAGGGAGAGAGTTTCTAAGGAGAGGTCGACCTGATAATCAGTGCTGGCAATAAGGTACTAATTTTCATTACTAACGAACCCCACATCACGCATGCAAGTATTGTGTAAGCTCAGTTGATTTTCAACTTGTAAATAAAGAGGAATCAACTATTTATTATTCAATTTTACTTTTAATATTATTGCTGCCTTCAGTTATACAATAGTAATAATAAGTAATATATGTACAACTAATTATGTAAGGGATCTGCAAATTTATTCTTTACAATTAGTACCTAAGTATAAATACCTTAAAAATCGGTTCATGTAACTGTCCGCTTCCTCCATCCAAAATACTAACAGTTACATCCGCTTCAACGCCTCCCTTCTCATTCAACAACAAAGAATACACCACTCTGAAAATTAGTAATACAAAAAATAAAATAATAATAATGAACCTACTCATTGCTATTGAAATAGCATTTATTTTATGGAACAATTAGTGGTGCCCGAGACTATATACGCGTGAACATTGTAAATTGCCTTCTATTGATAATAAAATCAAACGATAACAACAAATAAAACACCTATCTAACACCATATATTATTAAATTAATTAACGAATTAATAAAAGCGTGGGTTGAATATTTTTACAAAATTATTATAATTCCCCCTTTGGAGTGTATTTTTTCAGCTTTATGTCGATATGTTGACGATGAAATTTTCACAGAATATTTTATTACTTACCTATAACAAAATATTCTGTGAAAATTTCATCCTACTTCTTCCCACTATTTTTAAGTGAAACATTAAAACAAACAGGTAAACTGCCAGTTTTTGCCATGTCACGATTTCACTGTTTCTCTCTAATAATAATAAAGATAAAAAGATTTTTTATATAGATATATTTATTGCCTAGGTATACAATACCTTTCATAATCTTTAGAAAGGTCAGCAGTAAAAGCCAAATTAGCGGTGCGCTCTGCATCAGGACCGGTCAAATAAAACTTGCCATAGTACGACATATTGAAGAGAGCAGCCGCGTTCCTGCAGCTTAAGGCTTCTTTTCCTATCTGAAAAAAAAAATAGGTCGGAATATATATTTTTTTAGACAATGCTGAATACACTGATTAAACTAAATTAATTGAATTACTCCAGAAATAATCAAACTGCTACTCAAACTTTAATAAATACTAGTCAATATTTTGATGTATATTAGTATTTATTACTAAAGTCTGGAAATCAATTTATTAAACTTTTTATAGTAGATGTATGAAACAAATGTGTCTATGTGGAAGCCAGGCCATGGAGCCAGGGGCGTTCCACACATGCATCTTTAAGGGGCCAAGTTCAAAATCAAAGGAATTCAATAATAATCAGTACATAAAAACTACATACAAGGTTGTGGTGTTCTGAAAAACCAAAAGAGTAATCTCCTTTGAGAACTTCTTCGTAACGCTGATCTACATTCCTGGGATAGTCATGGGTGCCGCCCCAGTCGTACTGCTGAACTCTTATCTGAAAAAATATATTAGGAATATAACTTTATACTTATGGGAAAAATATAAGTTCTTTCGTAAGTGGAAGAAGCACCCACATTATTACAACGCATATTACTCACTAGACTATCAATTAAACAATAAATAGTTCAAAATTTTAAATTATGTAGGTATATGTATTATTGATGATCTTCGTGGTGTAACGGTTTAAAACATTGCCTTACCTTTCTATAGTAGCATGTTAGATCCACGAGCAATAGAAACATTTGTATTAATGTGTATAGTTCTGGATATTTTCTGTATACATACTTATATATATATTTAAAAAAATATCGGTACTAATATCAAATATTTACAAAAACGAATGAATGGATTTTAATGAAACTTTGCAATAAATTTCACCCAAGTGGAACCGAAGGCATAACTATTATATTTATAATGCTGTTGATGTTTCCTATAAAGCATTATCTTGAATTTTATAGAAGAGACGACGAAAATTGACACGTAAATTAATATAATAATGATTTGCATAAGTGGCTACAATGCAAAATGACATGATTAAAAGACTCGAACCTTTGAAAAGTTTAGTTTTACCTTCTCTCCCGGCATGAAGAACCCTGGTCTCTCCCACCCGGCCCTTGTCTGCATGACCGCGCCATCATCGACCAATTCCTGATGTAGGGCGTCATGGCTAGAGTCCCTGCCGGCTAAACGCTCGTCGTGTGGGAACACAATACTATAATTCCGCACATAAGCCTCATGGCTACTCTCACGGCACCAATGGGCGCGCGAAATCTGGCCGGGGGTGAATCGTCGGATGTCAAATGTGAACATGTTGTATTGTGGTCTGCGAGCATAAGAATAAGAAATTACGTTTCTTTTTATGAAATGGTGTACTCGCCTGCGCCAACGGTATACGATGGCGAGGAACCAATGGAGGGTGATAAGATGAGTATGAGGTCAGATCAATTAGTCTATCGTGTGAAATTCATCAGGCATTTAACATTCAGCATTTCAATATTCATTATTTCCAGGATAAACAGCGTCGAGGTCAACCTAACAGTGGTTATTAATCCACATTAGGTACTAACAATCCCCTTCCCCAGAAGAAATATAACGTATAGGTATACTTATACTCTATTTATGGGTGTGGGTATGTTATATAACAATGCTGATATATAACGCAGATTAAGGACGAATTTACGACTAGTCTCGAGAACAGCGTATTACCTTAAAATAACTAGGGTAAATTATATATGTACATCGCTATATGTCTGTCTCGCATACCCTTGTAATAAAAATGAGGTCATTCCTAGAAGGCTGGAAAGATAGCAAAAACTTTTGCGCTTTTGGAAAAAGCCTACTAGTCATTATAGTGCAAATATCTAATGTCGTCTAAGTACGGCAACGACGTCCATTTTAGATTTGTACCTTTCTTTAAGTTACACCTTATAACTTATTCAATACTATTGATTTAGGTAGGTACTATATTATGTTATAAAATAAACAAAGTATTCATTATACTAGCCATTAGACAGCCAGTAACAAACATTATATGAAAATTATACCAGAGTTCAGAGAGTTACGCCTTCAGATAACCTTATGTAGCTTGCAGATTGTACACAAATAAACATTCAAAAAGCTGACCCAACAATAGAATATGATATTCAAGAAACATTACACATCTATTTCTTTATTACTGCGTCCATTAGAAAAAGCAATAATAAGAATGAAGATATAAACAATTCTTATGTAGGCATAGGTATTGAAGTTAGTTAAGTTAACTTCTTTGATTGATTCCTATCGGCCGATAGATACGGTTCTAATACGGTTAGGGACGTTCATACTTATATATATATATATTTGTTTACAGTTTTAGCTGTGGTTGATAATGGACTGATGGAGCCACCTGCGCTAACGGTTTACGCTGGCGGGGTACCAGTGGAGGACGATAAGACGAGAATAACATCAGGTCAGTTTGGTTAAGTAATTTGGAATCACAATGGTTTCCAAGGGGAACCGCGTGGAGTGTGCTAACCTGGTATATTGCTAGCAATGGGTTCCTAGTCCTCAATATTAACAATACCCTTCCCACCATTTGTCCACAATTACAGATTTGAGTAAATCCAAAAATCTAGGTAATTTTAATGAGTAGTAAAAAACATTGCAGTCTAAATATTTTTAGGTAAGATAATAATAGCCTTATCGTTAACTATGTCAATTACCTACACTACGAATTGGATAACTTGTTTATATTTATTTTTATTCATTAGCTATTCTCAGTAAATAAAATGTAAATACTTAATTGCGTAATTTATGATAAACCACATTACTAATAATAAATGTTATGATTACTGTTTATTAATAAATAATGTTCATTTATCGTTTGTGACTATCAACTAACAATGCAATAGGTACGTCACTTTCTCATTAAATGTAATCACTCACCTTCCGGAGATGACCCATTCAGCCATTTGAATTCCGCAGCCAGCAGAGAACATCATACCAGCCGAGTTATAACCGCAGTTATGATATAGACCTAAAACAATAGTGGTGTTCATGATAAAATCGTTAATTGCTACTTTCTTATACCTGACTGTAAATAAATATAATGGCAACAATGCTATGATTTAGCAGTGAAATTGCAAGTCCTGCTTGTTGGCATGGCATGGCATATTAGTCCTCTTGAATAATAATAATAATATATTTGACAATCCACACAGCGCCATCTAGTAGCAAGCTAACCAGGTGCTATCGGTATTGAAGACAACAAGAGAACTGATATAAAAATAATTTTAAAAAATCCTACTCGTTTTTAATATGCGTGGAATCGAAACCGCCCCCATCGGATATAAGGCGGTGTGTTAAACCGCTAGACCACAAAGGCAGTCAATGGAACATGTAATGTTCGTATATATAGGCGAGGGGTGCTGTTTACCATCAAGCTAACAGCATGCTTCTCATTGCAATTATTTGACATAAAAGAAATTCTTTTTCGTCATAATAAAATACGTGCCTGAATATGCATACAAAAACACACATAATATAGGTATCTACTTACCAAATACATTAGGGTCCTCTCCCAAAAGCGGTTTGTGATCAGGCGTGAAGGATTCCGGTCCGCATACCGTACTCTTTATACCAATCTTACCCAGCTTAGGGCACAGGGTGGTAGCGCTAGTCATGTGCACCCCGAATACATCCCAATCTAATTCGTATAGGTGAAATTGCAAATTATTGGGAACCTTCAGGACAATAGAAATGAAATTTTAATTATAAATATTTATATCGATTTCACTAAAATACCAACTGGAATTTTCGTTAGTGCTGTTTAGTGTTGCTGGCAGCTTGTCCACCGTTCTTTTTATAAATATATTTGAATTCTTTTGATACCTCTTTTTTATATGTCAGTTGACTTGTTTGTAAGCCCTATTGGGAGATATATATACATATACAATTATTCCTGGTTTGTATAGTTGTATGATCTCGCTCCAGACATAATTAGAATAATCCAACAATAAGCATGCTACATACTAAGTGTATCCAATTTGGCTCATAGACACTGAATCCAAAAGAATAATATTCCAAAGCATGTAGATTCCCCGTAATTTGTTGATTCTTTTTTATTAGATATCGTATGACTTAAAGGAGGTATAGTGTAATTTTAAGAACAACATTGTATCGACCGGATTTCGTCATAATTACTAATTATTTTTAGGTATTTATGATGTCAATCATTCGTTTTGGTCAAACCATAAATGTTGTATAATAGGATTTAAAACAATAAAATAAATTGCACGTAAACAAAGTTAGTGGTAAAGACGATCGGTTTAGTATAAGCTCTTCTCAATTTGGGACTAGATGGCGCTGAGATATAAATTATCCTGAGTTTTTTTATTCATTAAACTTTCTTACCTGGTCCAACATATGCGGGTTGCCTTCGTATCCTCCAATACTGACAGTTTCGCCTTGCATTTTCAAGTATAAATTAACGTCATGATCTCTGATGTTGGGACAACCGCGTATCTCTGGGATCGCGTCACAGACTACATATGAATGCTTGAATGGCACGAGAGGCAGCGATGGTATCCCAGCGAACCTGGCCACTCTGGGGCCCCACGCACCTGCAATAACAATATATTTAAAGCTAAACAATAGAAAAGGTATTTGTTGTTATTGAATGAACAACAAAAATAATTATAGTACGTTAAATTGTTAATGTAATGTATTTTCGTTATTAATTAATTTTATTTTTTAACACTTTCACATATTTAGACGTATGGTTTTTGGGAAATATTGGTACTTAAAATTTGTATGTTGGACTTAATATTATCTGATTTAAGAATAAAATAAACACCGATTACAACATTCCTCCTTACTGTTTAATTTGTTAATATATATATGTATTATAAAGTCCTAGCGATATATATATATATATTTATTTTAGGTAATAGTTTCGCAATAATAAATAATTGGTAATAGAATCATACAAAATGACATTCAAAAGTGGTTAAAAGTAAGTAGGATTACTTCTATTTCTAAGTATGCTGGGTTGCAACAAAAATTTAATTTATTAATTACCTCCACAATTAACAACACATTTGGTTTTGATAAATCCTTTGTCGGTGTGAACTCCAGTCACTTCTTTGTTTCCAAGCAAGTTGTGAGTGTAATGAATATCTATGACAGGACAGTCCTCATATACCTAAAACAATAATTTATTATTAAAACAATATCAAGTATATTATTTATTAAGCAGTAAACGCCCCAATTTACATGTTAGGTCTACCCACCCTCGAAACCATAGTGGAATTCAATTTGATGTTTTATACTTATCATCTTATAATGACAATCATCTGTTGGCGCACGCGGATGGCCTTAATTCAATGATCAAGTTTTATTTGTTTACAATCGCTTCAGGTTAATTTGATGTTTTATTTGTTCACAATCATCATTAAGGCCTTAATGTGAATTGTTTACAGTATTCCTATCCACCGTATATATATATATTATATATATACAAACAAGAATTTAACGTTGATACTTCTTTTCTCACGGAATTACCGTGAGAAAAGAAGTATGAACGTCAAATTTTCGTATTACATGCTCCAGGTTGTTAAAATATCTTAATAATTATTTTATATTAAAAAGTTACCTTGGCGCCATTTTGCGTTGCAACTTTGATGAGTGCACTGCATGCCATTGCTGGGTCTATAGTTCCATCTTCGGAGACGTACAAAGCCATTTGAAATACGGAAGGGTCTAAAATAGGAACTATTTTCTGAGCATCATTGGGGTCTAAAATTTGACTAGATATACCCATAGCATTTCCTAGAGTGTGTAGTCTCATATATTCTTGAGTGCGAACCTGTATAAAAATAATAACTATATTATTTGCCATAAAATTTAACTATAATCTTATTGTATTACAATTGTAGATATTTGCCACCCTGATTCAGATCAGCGACAACAACAACAAACAAAAATTATATGTATATATTTCTGACTAATTCTTGATTGATTAAAAGACCAATAACAAACCAATTTAAAACGACATTTGCCGTTGCCACATTGTATTTTTATATACCCAAATCTGGGCATATGAGCATTGCTGTCAATAAGAAAATATCATAAAAAACCTTGTTTACATATATTTCACAATAGATGTTACCTTACTTCGCGAAATGAACATTCCGCCATTGTTGATCCACCCGGCGTAGTCCTCAACCTCATTCGCTAAATTGTTGTAAACGTTCCTTGAGTCGCGTAATAGACGAACCTCCAAGTCGCAAGGCCTTAACGACCATACCAGACCTACAAACAAGTAATTCCAATAATTAAAGTAGACAGGTCAATTAATATTAATAGGTGATTTCTGAAATGAAGGGGGATAACATTATAATAATACAATTAATAAATTATTGAAGATAAATATTAGTACTACCCCCTCCGATCGATCCTCCGTTCAATTCAAACGGGGATCGAAACTTATGTATATTGTTAGAGTAGGCGAGTTTACCATTTCATGTTCAACCACCACTCTTCTCTGTCTACCTCGCTCAGTGATAGGTAATATGTGAACGGAACGGGTAAATATATGTGTGATAAACAATAACATACAAACAAGTTATTATCAATGAAAAGAAAACAAGTCAATAGAGTATTTGTCACATAGTGTACCAACGTAAGTGGAGTCTATTAAATAAATTGTATCCACAGAAGGCATTCATCTAAAAGTGTATACACACACGTACATTTTGATTTTCGTCGCGCTTATATAGTTTTTTATTTCAAATTGTATTTCGAAATATTACGATATATTATTACGACTACGATACGATATTTGTTTCATAGGTACCGTACGCCATATTTTTATCAGTCTTTTTTTCTTTTCTTGTATAGCATTCACCTCGACTTTGGGTATTTCGCCAAAAATCTTCATCAGTTAAGAACGGATTTGTATTGATTATTTTTTAATAAAAAATGTTGAGTTTAGTCAAAACAAAATGTCTGTTTTGAAAAATCTAATTGAATTTTTTCTAGCATAAAGCCATTAAAAAAAGATTTCATGCAGATCCTTAGGATAAAGATTTTGGTGTGAATGTCATATTGAAATATAAGTTTGTTGTAACTAATTTGTTAAAGTTGATATGTATTTTGTTATACATAAATTATGTTTACACTGTTAAAATTAAATCATGACATCATTAATCAAAGCTGTTTCTAAATAGAGTAGATTATAATGGAACAAAAAACATATTTACTGGACAAAACGTATAGACGATATGATTCTTTACGTTCCACTGATAGCTGTGATGCAACGATCTACTCTCATGAACGCGTTATTAAATTGATCGTTCAATTGTCCCATTTTATGTGATGCAAACGACAATACGGGTCTACTAGCCCTCATTTGAATCAAGAGCAGAGTGCATATATACTCATAATACCTACATATACATGTATTGAATATATGTATCATTAGTATATAATAGAGATTTATATACTCACCGGCAGTATGCCACGTAGTGCCACTAGTGAGTTTCGATCTCTCCAGTAACACTGCATTCACACCTCTCTTCGTAAGCTGGTATAATGTATTGCACCCTGCTATACCACCACCTTGAAATAATAACAACATGCTTTTAAATACGTAGTGCATTTTTATATTTCACGTAAGCAACCGTGAATATTATTATGCTTATTCTAAAATTTAAAATATTAGATCTATATTATATTTTTTTTATTGGACCAAACTTTCAGTTTCGGACAATTTAAGTAAAAAATATTTATTAATAGAAAATAAAAAGACTGCTTATAACTAGAGGTATAGTAGAGATATTCGCAACGTATAATATGAAAAATTTATGTCACTTATAATAAAATGTCGGTCTTAGGCAAAAGGAAAATTTAGATTGTTTATTTTATTTGTCTTTATTTTTTTTCGGCAATATTATGTACTTTATATCTAGATAACACTACCTCCAAATGGTCCACACAAAAGGTCTACATTTACATCCTGTATGTAAGATAGGATCGAATTGTGTTCTCACCATATTGTTAATATCTAAATTAAACTAAACATTGCATAACTTTATACCTGAAACTATAAATGCATTAAGTAATCATAATATATACGCCTTGCATATATTTTTTACATATACAATTACCTTTACTATATTATACATACTCACCAATAACAACAACATCAGCTGACGCCACGACTTCTGATTTTGTAGTCACCGACCTGTTGCATTTTATATTTTTCCAATACTTGGATGTTTTACATCGGACACCGCCATCTCTAATAAATTTAAACATGTTTTTTGTTATCAAACGCTTAGGTGTTGTTCGTCCCAGTATCAATATATGAATGACGAGATACAAACGCAGGTCATTGCAATGTGTACAAATTCTCGAAGGAAACAAAATGGTGATAAAAGTCTCCTATTGCTGATCGGACAATGGACGGATTAAGTATAATATCATTTGATTAACTATAATATAAATTTCAGACGCAAAAAAACTTGAATTATTTGCCTGTGTCGATTTGTAGGATCATTTAATTTTGGTGTGATAATCTTTACATTAGTGTTGGTTTAATTTGTTCTTATCTGAGATATGACCACCCTCGTACAGTTAGAATTAAATTAATCTGGGTAATTATGCGCATACAATATCTAATACTGCAACAGCGAAACTAGTGTATTTTAGTTACTTAATTAATATAATGAAGTTCGTAGTACACAATATCTAATAATATTTTAAATCAAATTCAATATATATATGAAAATATTATGTATCGCAAAAACTTAAATTTATTTCCAAAAAATAGTACACGCTTTTAATACAAGAATAAAGATTTTAAATCAAATTCGCGGTGGTTTTATGATTTTATGGATGTAGCACGCCCCAAGCATTGAAATACTTACATTTGGAACAAATAATCTAATGTAGATACACCATCTGCATTCATATAGCGCTACTCTACAATAGTCATAAGTAATAAAGTACTTAAGTATCCTCCGTATGTTATAGTATGGCAGCTAAATACTTAAGAACTTTATTATAAAAATAAATGAAGAGAGTACAATTCACTTTTTTCTGAATTTCAATAATTTTAACTGATTATTTTTCGTATAAAAATTGTTTCATATAGTAAAGTGAACCTTCTTAAGTTTCGTCTCTGGGACCTGCTTCTTTTCTGAATTTAATATTAAAATGAATAAATATTGTTATTAAATATATAGGAAATAATAGTAGTCTTGAATACAGCCCTGTCTCACACTATCGTCACAATCCTTTATCAGTCAAAGGTCAAATATAATTTTAACTAGCTTATCAAATTAAGTGTTTACTTACTTTCGATTTGTTGTTGTCATTTAATGTATAAATTGCAAACAGTAGTGCGCGTCAAAATACTATTCTTTTCATTTAGTTGATTTTGGTGACAAATTAAATGAAAATGTTTTAGACAATAAAATATTTAATAATTTTATAACCATAAACCTAAAATGAATGGATGTACAAATAATAATATATCTTGCTTACAGAAAACACAATGATTAGTATACAAAAATATACTATAAAATTTTACTTTGCATCATCTTTACATTTACAAATTTATAACCGTGACCGTTAGCGTATCGAAGGATCAATATTGTTTTACAATTTATCTCTTAAGGTATTAAGATGTAAGTTTAATTTCGTATGATCTATTATTGTCTGTAGAGCGATTTTGAATAAAACATACAATAAAGTATTAATTAACAACTTTAAAAGTACATTAGTTATACGCCGATTTACTTGCGAAGGTCGCGGGTTCGATACCTCGCATTTACAAAAAGTATTTAATTATTTCTATCAGTTGGTTAGTATGTAAAGTACAAGTTAACTTAGTTTGAGACTAGATGACGCTGTGTGAACTTTCTTGGGTTATTATTAATACTATTATTATAATATGAATACAATTTGTTTATAATTTTAGTCACTAGGAGACAATTAAATATCGATAAGTACATCGATTTTAAACGTATTACTATCTACGAATTTTAATGGAAACTATTACAGAATTAAAATGTCGTGATCACAAAAATAAAAATATATTATTTGTGGACGAGAGTTGTTTTGTTAACTGTACAAATGTCGTTTTATTTAACACTAATTAACAAAGAAATTCTGAAATATAATATTGATAAGTAGCGTGTTAAACAAAGGGAGATATTATATGACTATTATAAACAATAATAATACCTACAAGACTGTAAAAAAATATCTATACTTAAGTTTTTTAATATTATACTGCACTATACATTCTCGTAATATCATAGATTATACGATTTCCTACCATATTTGCTTGAAAAAAGTAACCGTTAATACAAATAATTTTCAAGAGAGACAATACTTCAATAAGTCTAATAATAAAGAAAAACACATAATATATTTTTACCTAACAATACAATTTAAAAAACGCGGAACAAGTCCACAGCTCTCTGAATGTCATACATATGGAACTAGATAGATTTTACAGCTGATATATTTATCGTAATTAAATAATAAAAATCTATTAGTTAAGTCACGAGGTGGACTATTAATTTGGCAAGTAATTCTACATATTTTAAACAACGTAAATTATCGCCACACTACTCATACTATTTTAATAAGAAAATTAATCATTTATTTAAATTTAACATATGAAATATAGGCGTATAATAAAACACTAATTACTATATAACTTGTTTACACTATTCCACATTTATATGTAATTATTTTAGTTATATAACTTACTTTTAAGTGTAATGCCGTCTGCACCAGCGCATTAACTTACTAAAGGCAGTGTACCTCTTTCGTTATATATATTTTAAAATATTAGAATTTAATACCGCGTTTATGATTACTTTTCTTATTACTGGATTTTTATCTATTATCCTTTTTGAAAACAATTTGTAATATATTCACATACATATTACAAGTTTTACATGTCTCATATCCAGTATAAAACTGGATGTGTATAATCGAACGCCTCCCCTTCACATTTATAAAAATGTCAACCATCTAAAAAACTTGTTTTACGTATTGAACTATTTTGACATTTTCTAAAAGCTATTAATTCTTCTTATATATAAAATTCTTCATTGGAATATTTTTGTGTATAATTTTTATCTCTACAATAGTACAAATTGCAAGAGATGTATTTATTTTGGTACAATGTATAAAGATAATACTACAATATACAGACATTTACTCCATGGCCCAAGGTAAACAATTGCAACACACTAAATGTACCTGAAATAAAATAAATCAATTATTCCATTGTTACTTGTGTATTAAACCACACAAGATTAATAAATTTATTTTTATAACGGCAATAGAAATAGAGGTAGACAGAATATAAGATGGGAAGATGGAAGATGATATTAGGAAAATAGCCGGTCCAGTATGGACTCGTAAAACAAAGGGACAGGACAGAATGATCTTCTTGATGAGATGAATCTTGAGAGGATCTTGCCTATGTCGGAAGACAAGCTGTACCGTTTATAGATTAGTTACATTTTATATAATATTACTATCTGACTCAGCAAACATTGTTTTGCCTTATAAATTAAAATCGCTATTAAAAAATAGGGGTTACTGATAGAATGGTGAAAATTTAGGGTTGTATGTATTTTCAAATAATAATTTAATGAAATAAAGTTCAAAAATGTACAACACAATTGTGGTAAATCACCCTTAACACTGAGAGGTATAAAAATTTGTTATAAACCTATTCTCAGACCTACTGAATATACATATAAAATTTCATCAATGTCGGTCAAGTCATTTCGGAGGAGTATAAACACGAAACCTGTGACATGAGTAACTGAGTATAGCAATAAAAGCATTTTATTTATTATAGATACTTACATTTCTCAGACGTGATGAGGACTGGCAACTCTGGGCGGGGTGAGTCCTAGTCTTTGTTGGCGCGCCGCGTGGTCGCCTGCGGCTGCGGCAGCCGCTGCTTCTAGTTGAGCTCGTAACGCCACCAGCTCGCGGGTACGTTGGTAAATTGGATCCTAGAAGGGAATCTATTTAGCATCAACAGTATTTTTAATGAGGGTTTTGGACTATTGTCAGTTGCTACGGCATGTAGCACTGTGACCTGCATAGATCTATTGTGCTCGACATTTTTTAATGTTCGCTACCTAGACTCGTCAGGGACAAGCATTATAGGATATTCTTATAACAGATATCAAATATAGAAACATATATACTGAGTATTTTTTTCGATTATTAAGTAGATATCTTTATAATATTGTAACAGAAACCTAGTTGATTAGTTTTCTAACAAAACTTCATTTGTAGAAATCGTGTTTTATACATGTTTCAAATTTAAAAAAAATCTGTGTGCACATTCTGAATATATAAATGTGTAATACAAAAAAACATGACATTATTTTTTCTTTATTTTTCATACATATATCGTCTTCATACAGAGCGCGAAGTATAATAGAAATACCAAAACCCTGTTACATTTAATAGTATTTATAACATAATAATATTCGAACCTGTTGCCTCATTGTAGGATTCCATCGGCAATAAAGCGCTTTCCATAACTTAATAAGCCTTAGCGAAGCTACAGGCACTAGGACGCCCTGCGGCCGGGAATACGGCGATGGCGGCGAACCGGCGCCGAAAGTAGAAGGTCCCCAATATAGCGGATTTAGATACAAATCCTGATTGCTATTTATATATGACCATAGCGACACCGTCTTTGTTTTCACCTCTGCAATAATAATAAAAGTTAGGTAACCTTATGACACACAAGTCTATTATATATAAATGTAAAAATTTAAGGTCATTAATGTATATAAATTTGCTCTAATTAATCAATGAATTCTAAATAAATGCTTTATTCTTATAAAAGAAAGAATTTGTTAGCTAGTTTGTTCTTTATTTCAAGTCATTATCTACATTTGAATGAATATGCCGATAATAGAAGTTGATATGGATTTGTAGGATTTTAGTCATTATAATATAATTGAAGGCTCTATTGGATATACTGGCTGACGAACTATATGGACTAGCCTTTAAACACACAACTATAATTTACAGTTTTGAATATTCTTACTCTGGCTGGGACGAGATAGTCCCAAACATAGTAATGAAATTTAACGGAAGTCTGTAGATTCGTCGACATTCTCCCTATGTATATAAGCCACAACTTATGTACCTTCTTTAACTCGCTCCCGTTCAGTGTTGAAGAGGAATGTTCCAAATCGACATGAGTAGAGATGATCGACAATAGTGATGAGCAGTCTCTCGGTGAATTCGAATGCGGTGGGGAATTGTTGCTGGAGTTGCCACACGCAATCCACCCATTGAACGAAAACGGGCGAACGATCCGCATCTGAATGACGCTCATCGCCGTGCCCAATACGCTGTGACAACAGTAAATACATTATTACTAGCTGACCCCGCAAACGTTGTTTTGCCGTATACATTACAATCCCTATTAAAAAATAGGGGTTGATGATAGATGAACATTTAGGGTTGTACGTATTTTTAACGCCACATTATAAAAAAAAAAATTTTGTCCAAAAGTAAAAAAAATATGTTAGGGGGGGACAAACCCCCCCTTACTTAGGGGTATGAAAGGTAGATAGTATCCGATTCTCCGACCTACTGATTACGCATATAAAATATCATAAAAATATGTCAAGGCGTTTTCGTTTTACATGCATATAATTTTTTTTTTAAATAATATTTATTCCCGGATATTAAATTCCATGCTTGTTACCTTAATTGATTAATATAGTTATCAGGACTTAACAGAATAACTTTAAGGTATTTAGTATAAGTAAACTGTTCGAATCTGGCAGATATTAAATCAATTTGCGAGAGACAACAATACTCGCCCTCTGCTATTTTGCATTCTATTATACCTCGCTAGGTAAATAAATGTTGGCCTGTCAAGAATTCCTTGCAATGGCCCCAATCACACCATCTAGATTACCGATTTTTTTTTATTTCAATCAGAATGCTGAATATACTTGCCAATTGAAACTTGTGTCCAAATGACAGCCACTCCTTCTCAATAAGTACTTCGAATCCTCTGAGGGTGCGGTAGTAAGGGTCTAACATAAGCATGGCGAGTGCGGTGAGCTGAGCGGTGCGATCCCATCCGTCCGAACAGTGTACCAGTACTGATGTTTTGTGATTCTCCACCTGTGGAATATATCACACAATAATATACAAACAACAACTCGCCCCGACTTAAAGACAAGAGCAATTATTAAATAAATAAATAAAATACTAAACAAATACTAAATAAAAAACTACTAGCGAATTGCCATGGCACACAGAGTATTAAAAAAATATACATAAAATTTTTCTTCAGACATCACTATTAAATAGTTGTAGAGATTATCGCGAACATATAGACAGACGCGGCTAGACTTTATTTTATAATCTGAACTTCCTGGTTGACAACATTTTTATCGATATTTTTATGTATGTGAAGGTAATTTAATATTTTATATTTTATAAAAATTAAATCTGACTTAAAATACATATGTTTATTGTAATAATACATATTATTATTGTAACAATACTGGATATTTTGTAATGTACTGGATATTTTTTTAAACAGTGCTATAATTTGGCAAGCTTATATTTCTATGATATCATCATAACAGTTCAATCTCTATCTCCATACCTTGTCTACAATGCGAACAGCTCCGGCTAATATACATTTGATGTGTTTCAGCCAACAACTAGCTTCAATTCCACTGAACCATCTAAAACAAGATTACATTAGAGTCAAGATTTAACTATGTTGAATAGTTAAATGAAACTACATTACAACCACTAAGAAAACGAAAATACAACTGAGTAGCGATGTGTACAATACACCTATTTTACATTACCGACTCGCACGGATCCTATTTAAAAAGGAATCTTTTTGTAATAGAAACACGGCCTGTGTTATTCGCTGATATTTCAGCTTTCTATATGTGAAACAATTAACATTAAAATGAGTTACACATTTTCGCGTTTGTTCATTACAAACAAAAAATCATAAGTAATCGGCCTCAGTGGTTCACCGGGTTAGCACACAGCCGTATTTCCGATGGTCGCAGGTTCGATTCCTCGCACGATACAAAATTGTATTCACGAGTATGATTGCCTGTATTGGCGTGTGTTAAAAAATCGTATTTATGAATTTCTATCCATTGTTTAGAAACTATAACACAAGTTCTGCTTAAATTGACAATAGATGGAGCTGTGTGAAATTATTGCTATTATTTCTTTTCTCTTTATAATATAGTATTTGATGACATTATGTGTTTAAAATTCTTATATCTATTTAGTTTATTGTTTTATTTTATGTAAGCACGTTACCATGTGACAACCGTGATATCACTCACACATTACCATCCCAGAAGACTACAATGACATAAATCTTAACTTGTAATTTGTTTGGCGAAACACTTTGGTACTGTCATAATAATACTTTGTAGTTATATTTAAAACTCATTATTCGATACCTGGTCTGATCAATTTGTGGGAAACACAACTCCTTCAGTTTCCGTAAACTCTCTCTCATGACGTGAATGTTGTGGATGTCCAAGAACACTAGTTCAGCATTTTGGTATGCATCTTCTGACTCGTAACTGAAATACAACATTTAAAGGTATAGCTCATACTTATGCAATGAGGTATGTTAAATCCTTCTCCCTCCTACGCAAATCAGGGTCATTAGAAAAGGAGGGGGAAGGTGTATGTACTGTGTCTGATGTCAAGCAGCTACTCAACCCTTTTAGAAAACAATTTCGTATGTGAAATGGAAGGTCCATGCCAAAAGCACTTTACCTTAGTGTCCAATTTTTTAATGGATGACAACAAATTGGTGCATCCGCCTGTACTACTCGTGACACCAATGGATTTTTTGGAGTATGATAATGGAATGGTGCTCCCGCCTGCGCTAAGGGTTGAGAATGATTAACGCACCAGTAGAGGATGATAAGATGAATATGAGGTCAGGTCAGTTAGCCCAACGTGGCAAATTCACCGGGAATTTTATCACGATGGTTTCCAGGGGGACCGCGTGGAGGTCGACCTGATTAGCTATTATCGCGTGGAGGTCGGACTAATAATCCCCTTGCTAGCAATGTACCATACATTGCTAGCAATGGGATTATTAGTCCACATTACTAACAATAACCTTACCCTCACCAATGGATTATAGGCTGAAGTCAGGTCAGTTAACCCATCGTGGTGAATTCAGTAACAATTAATCAATCAATTAATTAACCAGGTTAGATCGAGAACTACGCCCACATACTACTAAGTAAAAAATAAATGGAAACATACCCTCCTCCTTTGGCTTTGTTCGCGATGGCGTTAGCACTTGGTCTCGCGTCCATTATGAAAAGTTTATTTCCTTGTGCATTCGCGTCCATAATAAGTTGCACATAGCGTTCATCCTCGCGGCTTCGTTTGCCGCTTACCTAATAAGTATAGCAATGAAATATATTAAATTCAAATAAGTGAACTAAACCATAAGCGCTTTTAATCCTAACAGTTGTTTTTATTATTACTTATAAATTACATAATACTTTCTATAATTCAGAATGAATTTCTCAAATTACATGTTAAGTTTCAGATGTCTACGTGTTTTTTCCATATGAAACATGTAATATGGGTTATTATTCGTCGTCAGTGCAGTAAATAGAAATGCAATACAATAGTACTATATTACAAATTTATGACAGTTGTGTAAGTTCATTGCCTATATATATTTTCGGTAGATGCTAAAAAAAATACATATATCTATATCATATTCATATAGAAAGCACTTGATGTAGTCTGACCAATACAGAACCTGAGACTAACTTAGTCACCAACTAAGCTAAGCTACTAAAATATGGTCAGTACATTATTACAGTAGATCATTACTAAGTAAACAACAATGCAACTGTGTCATTGTTTCTCACATTATGTTAATTATTAACGTCATTTAGTATCCTTCCATGGTATGACTAATGATTATGAGCTAAACAAGACAAGCCAACATTTCCAAATAAAATTCTTATAACATGAGTAATATTGCACGCTTAAAATAAATGAAGTATGCTACTTTATTCATATTAACATTACAGAACTAACGGACTATACATCTTTTTAATCAAGATTCGCGCAATAACAAAATCTGTTGAAATATGCCAAATACCTTATTCATTTAAAAACTCTTTATAAACAAAGAATGTCTGAATGTTAACAACTATTGTATTAATACACTTTTGAGAACTAATATAGAAGGCTGATCCAAAAGGTAACCAATCTATAGATATGCAATAAAAATATTGTAAAGCAACAATAAGATCTAAATCATATGGTCATGATATTATATTAGAAATAATGGAAAAGACAAGATGAGATATTTTAAATGGGTAGCTATAGAACTTGTCTACACAAACAGCTTATGCTGACAAAAATGATAGAATGAGCGTAAAATCAGGTGACAAGCCCATTATAGTTAAATCACCAGGTTCTAAAGATGATGGCTACTGAGAGAGACTGACAGTTGCTCGACCCAACATAATATATTACTAGCAACAAGAAAAAATACTTCTCATTACAACAATCCTCTCTCACACAGAAAGAGATATTACAATGAATTGATTTAAATTACCCCAACTAAAGGTTGGCTACACCGAGTGATTGTAGCCTGCGAACTGGGATGTATCCAAGATAGCACCGGGATACGACCCCGGGAGCGGAACGCTGCCACAGATCGAATCAAATCGTCGGTGGCCGCAGTAGGCACCGCCCACACGGCAGGGTAGCTGTCACAAACTTCGTACTTATCATTAATACGAGTTATTCGCCACATATCATTGTTTACACCCTGAAAAAAATAACAAGCATTTAACACTAATATAATGTTACATTACATATTATTTTCTTTACTATTTTATGGCCTTTCGTTCATGTTTGTTATGTTAGTGTCATAGTATTTTAATGTATAATATAAATAAGAAATATATATTTAGCCATAAAGAAAATAACAACTCGAAAACAATCAGTCAGTTCCATCTAGTCCCAAGCTAAACAGCTGTTTTGGATCTAAAAAACTGATACAAACACTAAAAAACATTTCTTGTAACATAACTTGTGTCATGCAAGGATTGAACCCGCGACCATCGAAAGTAAGGTGATATGTTAAACAACTAGACCACTGAGGCTGAGAAAACATGAGTAATGTTACACATTATTGTATAGTAACATTTTTGTAGTAAAAATTAACAGAACAGTTGACATATTTGTATGGTTCACGGTGTAAACTCACTTTTTAAAAAGTTTGTGTGTGTAGAAGAGAATTTTAAGGTTATAAGTTAATTAATCGTACAGAGGTTGTTAGACCAATTTTAGTACCTATAAAAACTTAATAATATTTTTAGAATTTCATATATTTCGAAAACTGAGGACCTACCATTCTCCTCAGTTCTCCAATAGCATCATAAACATGCCATCCATCTTCTTGGAATGTCTCGGAGTAACTAAATGCAAAAAGTTGTAAACCATGAGACAGAGGGAATGCTAATTGCTGTAAATAGGTGAATATGCCACGCCTTGAGTGATTTTCCTGTTTGTGTGCAAACCGCAAATTTCTCATGTCCTGAAAAATACATATTTATATTCTTCTACTGTTCAGCATTATATGATTTGAAGTAATTAGATAAAGGTACCATCCAACTGCACTTGAAATAGGTGATGTTGGAAAAAGAAATTTATACCACAATGTAATGTAATATAACAAACCAAAATGTTGAATCTTAATCACATACTTATATTAATTACCTTACAAAATATTTCAATCCCATATGAGTTCTCTCCTTTAGATGTGGCACCACCAACCTTTTCGATACGAGATATCTATAAGAAAATATTTAAATGTACATAAATTTTAACTTAAAGATGAACAAAATTTTTTTTTTTATATTTTACCAATCTACAAAATCTACATATACAAAATCAATCCACAACATGATGAAAAGAAATCAAAATAAAAAAAAATACTTACTACACCGAGTGGAACACTCAGTGTGCTATGCAATGATGAGGGTTCAATCGGGCGAAAATGCAACTGGTAATTGGTAATTTGTAGCACACCACGTATTGGACCATTAAATGGACATAAATATGTAACATCCTGAGCCATTCTCTTTGACTTCTCACTATTCAAAAATTGAATATCACCCAACACATGGGGCTGTAAACAATACAAAATAATAAAATTAAGGATTGTATTAAAAGCAACTTTAATAACGACATTATTATTAGACAGTAGCATAGTGGTAGTTATATATGCCAATTAATTAACTATTCCAGTAATAACAGAATAACAGAGGGTTGGACTCACTTCCCTCCTGTGTTTTAAACTGTTTTGTCTTGTTTAATACTTTTAAATTCTTTCAAATAAAGAAGAATATTATTATAGAAACTATTTCTTTCATTCATTGTCATAAAAGTATTTAGGAGAAACAAATTTAAGATATTCATTTATTTTAAATATAAAATCTAACAAAACAAAGTTATTCTTACTTCAATTCAGAATCAATTAATTATACAGATTCAACTATTATCTGTGTATTTTTTCTGTAGATAGTGATGGAAAGGTACTCCTGCCTGCATTATGATTTTTATGCCCTGCCAGGGCATGAGTGAAAGATAAACAATTGAAAATAAGATTTATAAGAAATAATGTCTCAAATACTTTCAACTGATTAGCATATAATTAAAAATTATCATTACGCTTTAAATGCATATATTGTCTTTAAGGGTCAATAGTTTTGTTTCTCATATATCGTAACAATAGAAAAGATTTTATATTTAACAAGATCTTGGCCAATACTGCTTAGAAAGACAATGTTTATCAATTTAAGAATACAAGCCTTTGATAATTCAGACATCCTGTAATTATGAATATGATTCACAAACAAGCAAAAATGAACTGTTTTGACACTCATTATAATATGGAAAACTAACAGAGGCTAAATATCTTAGAGAACAGTGAAGACTAAGAAGTTTAAAACACAATAAACCCACAGGAAGCAACGAGGGACTGCTATCGAACTTGATACGAATAAATTAATCCATTTAGGAAACTTACGGAGTCTTGTCCGTGTTTAGAATTCAATGAACTTGATTTAGAATCTGAATCCAGGGAGTCGGAGCTAGCATTTTTGGACAGTGAGTAGTCCGAATTTAATATCTCAGAACTATTATGTTTATCCATATTAATTTATAGTAATACTGTATCTGCTAAAAATTAAATAAGTCAATTATTTCTTTTCTGAATTGATGAAGATATTTGATTATTAAATATAGAAGGAAATATGGAATGAAATTAAATATAAACAAACGTCATGAAATAAAATTTGACAGTTGACATACAACTGACAGCAAAAATGTCACACAGTGTTGCCAGATGACTATCTGCTATTCCCCTAAATTGATCCCAAACAGCGACCGTCAAAATCTAGCATATTTGCAGCAAAACCATTGTCCATGTGCAACTAAACTCTAAGTTATTCATTTAATTTCTAACGTATTTTGTGCTTAAATTATTTGTTTGATGATTTATTTTATATATAGTCATTATTAGAAATATTGTGTTAAATAGATTTCAGATAAATTGTGACATGAAATTTATGTCCACGGTCACCACCTAATCTAAAGTAGATAGGCAAAGATAGTATTAAAATTATGCCGTTAACAAATTTTTAAACAAGTACGTCATCGTCAACATTATTAAGCATTTATGTTCATTAACATTAGAACATTACTAATGATATTGTAGTAATATTATAATATTATTCGAATTGATAAATTAACCAAAACGCCTTTTTGCAAATCTACATTTGCAAGCCATTTTGGTGATAACAAAATATTTAAAGAAAATTATATTGATAACTATATTGCTCGACTCAATTTATTTACTGTAATTATCTTGTTTAATCATTATTTGTTTGTGTATAGTATTTATTCAATGATCCTAGTTACCAGTATTTAATCAATAGTCCTAGGCAACATAGAATGTGTGTATTGAACAAAACGTACGCAGATAATACACATTAACACGACTTCAATAGGCCACCAAAAATTCTTTTATGTTCTAAGTCCCGCTGTAATATTTGATTGTATACATCAAATGAAGTAGGTATTTTGGAATCTGGTAATTTTCACATCGATAGAAATTACCTAACATTAACGTGCTATGAAATTTAACAGTAGTATACCCTTAAATACACTTTTAGCATATAAAAACAATGAAAACTTGGAACGGAACCGAAAAATTAAATCAGAAGATTTCGACTGGGATTCTAATCATCCACTTTCTCTAGTGTGTATATGTATACAAAAATTAAGTGAAAATTGGCTTGGTGAGTGAACAGTTATTAAGTTCTTATAGTAACTACCTCCATATTCCCCATACCATAACTTACCATAGAAATAGATTGCCTTTGTTTATCCCCTGTAAGTAAGCTTAAATGTCTTTATATAGGTATAGCTGGAATTGAACTCTTAACTCTTAACTGGAGTTATAAATATGTGAAGAAGGTTACGAAATGTGCAAAATACTAATTCTCAAACTAAATTTTATTTTAATGACAATTTTACAATTTTAGGTGCACCGCAATTGGAACAACTAGTTGCTAAAGATCGCGAATTCTTTCTAGAAATTTTGAATACTGACGTACCGCTGCAGATTTTAGTTGACAATATCAAAAGTGATATCTTTTGGAAAAGATGCTATAATTCAAAATGGTCAGATTCTCCTGTAATAACAGTGGAAAAGAAATGGATAAACATTTTCATGGAACGTCATTATGCAGACATATTAGAAAATTTGAATCCTCGTCTATATGATCCTGAGAAGGTCATTGTTATTATTTCTCTGTCCTTATTATAAATCATTTTAGCTGCCTGTAATATTTTTTATACCTCTTCAATTTGCAATTGTACAAATATTTCGAGCCATTATTTTCCAAAGTTTAATCGTATACTTTTTCCAGTACCTACTCTTACAAGTATCTAATTCAGTAATTAATACTTTCTAATCTTTATGTATATGGCTATATAAAATAAGCTAATGTAATAATAATATTTCGAAAGGAATGTTATTGGTATCTAATTACTATGCTCGTAAGTGATATATATTTCTGTTTATTGACCGTTTTATTCAAATATATTTTTTTTATTCTTGGCTATTTTACAGATAACTACCTTAGTAAAATTATGTGGACCCTACATACAATCGTTGGCAATTCGCAGCTTAGTTCCATCTGATATTCCAGTACAAAGAATCACGTCTCCTGAAATGGCTGATTTAATTACTAGTCAAAGAGTTAAAAGCGACAAGCCTTTACTAAAAAAGGGGGAAGCGCTATCAAGAGGTAAATATAAATTATGTGTATATATCATTACATAAGCAACATATTTTTTTTACCAAACTTTATTGCAAATAGCTAAGCGCTTTTAATGGAACTTTAATTAAAATAAAGGAGATAAATTGTTTCAGACCATATATCTCTACATGCAGCCATAGGGAGTTTAACAAGTTTAATCGAACTACATATCACATATCAATTGAAATATACAGGAACAGATTATCGTAGAGATCAATTCCAGTTTACTAACAATGATGCTAAAAATCTAGCACGCGGTTTAGAAAAATCTAACCAGTTAAAAGTCTTAAGGTAAGTGAAATCATAATAAGTGGTTATTAATTAAATAAGTACATGCTACTTATATATCAGTATCAATATACAGACTATTTTTCTCCTATATGATAAAACAAACTGTGCTAGATACCTATTAGATATGGTGGAAAACGGTTGCAATTAAACATAAATTTATGACATATCTATCACTTTTATGATTTCTAATGTACTGCTACGCCTGGCTACAGTATGCATTTAAAAAATACACATGAATAATTTTCCACAGAATCACCAGAACTGATATGAATTGTCATAGAGTAAAATATATTCTTCGCGGTTTATCTGATAACCAGAATATAGAAACTATAGACTTCAGTCATTGTAAAATTGGAGACGATGGATCATGTTCCTTAGGAAAATTTATAGCTCGACATAATAAACTAAGGAATCTAATACTAATAGATAATAATTTTGGTACGTACCTGCTTAGCATTTATGAATGATATGTATTTGCGTCCGATTTAATTGTTTAAACTGTAGACTCATTAATGTCGACCCAACAGATACAATGAACCTTTTCACGAGCCTATTTGTTAAGATTTGAAAATTCTGCATTACTGACTGGGTGGTAAATCATATCATACATAGACGCAGCAAAATCATAAAATTTGCTTCTTTATAATTTATAACTTTTAATCATTCCTTTATGTAAAACAGGGCCAGCTGGAGCTGAACATATTTCACATGCTCTTAATCACCCTACCTGTGGAATTCGGAATCTGGACCTTAGACTCAATAATAAATTAGGTTCTGAGGGAATAGCACATATAGCTGTATCTATAGCAAGAGGATGCAATTTAATCTCGTAATATAATTTTCTTAATAATTTCTCAAAAATTTTTAGCAGTAGCGTAATTGTAATTACTTGCTGTATTTCCCCAAACCCACATAATAAACGAAATTAATCCGAGAGAAGGCGATAAGCACCCCAACGGCCACGTTGGATACAAATGACCGAAAATATACATATAATACAGCTGTACACGCGACTTCGTCCGCGTGTAATTTATCTTTAATTTTCTAACATATTTTGTTTTCTAAAATAAATGTAGTCTAAGTTACTCCTTTTTACATCAGCTACCTGCCAAAAAAAGTCCCGTCAAAAGCGATCCAGCCATTTTAGTGATTAGCCAAAACAAACGGACAGACAGAAAAAAAATAGTAAAAAATGTTATTTTGGTGTATGTTCCGTATTTATATTCATATGTATGTGGTAAAAACGATTATTTCAATATTACAAACAGACATTCTAATTTTATTTATATGTATGATATGTTTATAATATACGATTAAAATACTTATACCCGTCGAAATACATGAAGAATGTAGATATGTAAATTTTTTTAACAACGACCTCAGCAATTGGTAATTCCTCTATCTATATCATCTCATCAGTATATATCATCTATATCACGGTCATAAAGTTATATGTTACAATTATACAAAGCAAAATCGAAAGTTATCTTTTTTACAGATTGAATATTTCTGGTTGTGGTATTAAATCAGGGCCACTATCAAAAGCACCCGCAGGTGTCTGGTCAGCTACAAGTGCTGAAAATCCACCAAGTTGTGGAGACTTATTAGCAAGAGCTATTGGATTAGTGAAGACACCATTAAGATCTTTGGATATCAGTGTAAATGATATTGGTTCGGTGTGTATATTATACTCAAGTAGTCGTGGGTGCCCATAAAAATATATTTTAGACGTCAACTGGTATTAAAAGTAACAGCTGTTTTTCTCGACTAACCTTACATTCTTATAAAAACTTTAATCTCGTTTGTAAAGGCTTTGGTTCTAGTGGTGGTGGTATGTTGATGAGTAATCTAAGTACTACTTTATTAATTCAAGCGACTTCAAACTTATACGAGATATAAAAATAATAACAGCTTCAAGAGACTCTCAAGTTTATTTTTAAATTTAATTTTGACACGGCTGGTATTTATTTTAATTTGAATTATTATTTACTGTTTACTTTACAGCCCAGTGATAGTACTCTATCCAATGCAATTTGCTTAAGCTATATAGTAGATATTAATTTAAAAAGATCAGGCATGGGACCTATCGCAATGGCTATTGCAGAAGCAGCCGCTGCAGCTCAGAGACTTAGACGGGAAGCGGAAAAAGGAATTAGATTTCGTCGAAGTGCCAGTAGAGTATTACAAGCTCGCAGAGTAGCTAAATGCATGAATATTGGTTAGTCATTTGTAAATAATATTTTATACTGTAATTATGACTGCGTTGTTAATTCAATGTTCTGTATGTACTTTGGTTCAGATGCAGATCCAATATTGTTAGCTCAACAATTGTCAGCGCGACCTTCAATTGTTTCTGTTGCATCAGAAGAAGGTGTTTACAGTGTACAAACACAACCTTTACCTTCGGATTTTGGTTTCGTACCTGCTATAAAAGTAAGTTTAGCAAATCCATAATACGTAACTAATGGTACTATTAAATTATTTTATTATTTTTATTCAAAATTTTTTAACTTTATATTTTTGTACAAACACATACAACATGATTAAGTCTGCCTTGTTATAATTGTAATTTGTATATTGTGGAATCTTGTGGTATCCATTCTTGATTCTACATAGTACCTAAGAATATGTTATATCTCCCCTTTTCTGAAACGAAATTTACTATATGCAATTTGCATATGTATTAAGTTGATATTTTCGAAAAGAGATACTTAGCGGATCCTTAAGATGTGATATAAATGTATGCATATTCCAAATTTCAGTCTTTAAGTTAGTAATTTTAGCGATAACAACAGTTAGGATCAGAATAAACGGTTTCATAATTAAATCTAAAAACAATTTATTGTTTTAGTAAACGTCAGTCGATATTTAACTTTGGTTTAAGTAATTAATGATTTTATTATGAACTGTTATAAAATTAACTTACAGAGCCCTCTGCAATCATCTCGTGCTTCATCTACTACTGGGCCTCCAACATCCCGACGATCTAGTCACCACATGATTTTAGAACCTGTGAAGGTATTCCAATTACCTAATCTAATAATAATAATAATAAATATTTACGTATTTACCTCATTTTGTGATAAGATAATGTTAGTAGATATCAGTTAAATTCTGTAAATTACATAATTATATATGTTATATGTTACTTTACTGTATATTTGTGTCTTAAGTGCCTAATTTCATATTTTTATTTCAGGAAATACGTCGAACCGCTCTAGTGAGACGAGGATCCGATGGTTCTTTACTAAAATCTCGCAGAGCAACCTTTGAAAGACATATCAAAATTTTTGTTTCTACCGAGAATGACGATTTGGAAGATATATAATATAATATTACTTGCACATAACATAAATATTGTGACTAACCCCCATCTCGGCTTTGGCCTTTCGTTGTTTGGACGATAGTCTTGTACCCCTGAGACTGCCGCCCACATAGAGCCGCGCTAAGCTCGTGACTATAAAACAGGCAGAGCTGCGGCAGCCAACAACGCGATGCTTAACGGCCGGTCGGGCTCTACTGAACCCTTATTCCAACCTACGCTGCCTCTCTCGTCGGGCTATTTGCCATCATTGCCCAGACTCTACCAGCCCCAATCATTCCCAAGAATGAAGAGGAGTCTAGAAAAGGCTGGGACCAACGTAGAGGTTACCCAACTCACACTCCACAACTTAAATCAAAATTTATTTTATAATTGCAATACAAAATTATTTCACAACATCCTTTTTATTTCATTACTATATTTATTACTTAAATAATATAAGTACAAGATGTAAAAAAAATAATTAATATAAATACATTTCTTTTATGATTCAAATACTGTAAAATTACCTAAATAAAAGTAAATTGTAATATAAGGGCAATATTTTCAACGTAGTGACCACAAACTATATAGAGGTTCGAAAGCTCGTCTGACGGTTCTTTTACAACTATTATTAATCTGTGGTGGCAGCCACTTAAGTGTTTCGTAGACTGAAATCTATGTTTCCAGACTTAAAACTATTATTTTAACTTGTCTTTTATGTACATGTAAGGCTAATTTTCAATGTAACCAATTTGAGTAGGTACTATGATCTACTTTTGTTGGCCGAAGACATCTTATCGATCATGATAAATAAAAAAAATGGTTCCAGGATGATGTAACATGAAAAGGACATCAGAGAGCTCCGTATCGTATGTGCTTTAAGGACTTTTTTTGGTAAAGTAAATTATATTGGTAAATAAAATTTATTGTACTGTCAACCCTAGATTATATGTGGCAACACTGTAAGATTGCACTTTAAAAGAAACTTTTTGGCGGGAAGTCAAATTGAGAAAAGGGCGGGAAATTTTGGTTTGACCGGACGCGTTTTTTAATTCAGGAAATATTATTTCAATAACATATAGATTAAGGATTGGTTTTTAGTAATTTTAGTTGTATTTAGTGTTATTATTATATTTATTTTTAGTGTGTAATTTGGTGTGTACATATCATATTGGTAAGTTAGATTTTATTTCTATATGGGCGAACCGCCCGACGATCCTGGGGGAACTACGACTATAGTTCCTCCAGGATTTGAAAATGAGATTCCAAACACTCCAATGGACATCTTAATTACGGCTTTAGAGTCGTCTATGGATACTGACTGTTCAGTATCTGATTCTGGAAAATTAAAAAGGAAAAGAATTGCTCGTGCAACTTGTAGTACATGTCTAGGTAAGAAAAGGAGACACGGTTCAAAAAGGATGGGACCAAATGTTTGTGCATGCATAACAAATGAAACAACAATAATAGATCAATATAATAATAAAGATTCTGAAGTCAATTCCAAATCTCAAAATGCAGTTTCTAATGCTCTTAACAATAATATTACACAAAACACTGAAATCACTCGAACACCTATTGCTCGCACTAGGTATCAGCCATCAGATGCAGCACCATATATAATTCATGTCCAGAGGGAATTCTCAGATGATAACAGCAACACAACATTGCATCCCGTCACATTTGGTCGCTTTCTGAAACGTAAAGAAATTAATGGTATTGTGAATGGTAGTCTTAAACGAATTGGTCGTAATAGAATTAGTTTGTCTTTCTCAAATTTCACAGCAGCAAATTCATTCTTATGCAATCAAAGTTTAACAACTGAAAAATACAAAGCTTTTATTCCTACTTTTAACATTACACGTATGGGTGTAATAAGGGGTGTCCCCACTGATTGGTCTGATGAAGACATTTTACAAAATATAAGTGTCCCAATAGGTTGCGGTACAATACTTAAATTGAGAAGGCTTAAAAGGAAAGTTAATATCGATAATACAAATACATTTGAAAATATAGGCACTGTTGTTCTTACTTTTGATGGACAAGTACTGCCAACCCGAGTTTATATGTGTTATACTGCATTACCTGTAACCCTTTATATATATCCCACAGTACAATGTTACAACTGTTGTAGGTATGGCCATGTTAAAAGCCAATGTAGGGCCACTCCAAGGTGTTTTAAATGTGGACAGGGACATTCAGGGGAGAATTGCAATATTGATGAAAATGACTATTGGTGCTGCTTGTGCAAGGGTTCTCACCAAGCAAATAGTAAAAAATGTTTAGAATTTGACCGGCAAAAAGCAATTAAAGAGACTATGAGTAAGAGTTGTATTTCATATATGGAAGCCGTCAAATTACATCCACCAGTTAATAAAATGTCTTATGCAGATGCTTTACTTACAGCTCCTTCCTCCCCATCTAATATAAATAATGACAAATCTCCAAACTATACTACATTAAATACAGTTCCTGTAAATAACCAAAATAGGTCATATAAAAAGACAGTGTTTCTGAAACCAAAAGCCCTACCAAAATTCTCAAGAGGATATGATCAATATGCACACAATGAGATCATAAAAAGTCCCACACTCCCTCCATCTCAACCCATTTTTAATAATAATAATCATGATAAAAATATTCAGATTTCAGCAATTATAAAAACATTATTAGACCTTTTACAACAATCGAATTCAAATATATCACCGTCCAACGTAGCTTTACTTATTGATACTATATATAAGATCACAGATAATGGATCAAGCTCAGGCCATACAGTGGAACTGCCGGAGCCTCATCAATAAAAAACATGATGTTATACACATCATTAATAAATATGATCCCTTCATAATTTGTTTACAAGAAACTTGGTTAAAACCGGGATCTATTTTTAAGATCCCTGGTTATTCCTGTTTAAGGAATGACAGACCTGATGGGTATGGAGGAGTCGCCATACTCATCAGGAATTCTTTATCCTATAATATTCTTCCTTTGCCTTCACACAGTGATGATATCTCTGTTATTGCTATTATAGTGAATAGTATTTGTTATGTGTCTATATATTTCTCCCGCCCAAGTAATGCCATTTTCAATGAAGTCAATAATTTATTCAACATCCTACCAAAACCATTTATATGCTTAGGAGATTTTAACTCTCACCATCAGACTTGGGGTTCCTCTTCATCCAATAGTTATGGTGACCAATTATTGGAGTTAATTGACTCCCATAACTTATGTATTTTAAATAATGTATTTTAAATACTGGTATGCCAACACGCATCACAAGACCCACTGAAGGTCTCAGCTCACCAGACTTATCTATATGTACACCAGATCTCGCTTCATCTCTTGTTTGGTGTCCGCTAAACTATAGTTATAATAGTGATCATTATCCATTATTAATTACTTTTCCTTTTTCAAAACCCTTGCAGCAGATGAAACAGCCCCGTATGAGGTATAAATTAAGTAATGCCAACTGGTACAACTACAAACAGAAAGTACATGAAAAATTATCAACTTTACCCAAAATATCCCATGACAATGTGTCAGAGTGTTCTCTGTCATTAGCTAAATTATTAATTGAGGCAGCTGATTCAACATTTCCAACCAAAAATAGTGGTCCTAGTACAATACCCTCTCCACCTTGGTGGGATGAAGAGTGTACTATTGCAGTAAAACAAAGGAAAATAGCTGAAAGACAGTACTGTGTCTGTATGTCTGAAGATAACTATAAAAATTATCAAGAAGTAGCTTATAATACTAAAAACTTATTAAAACAAAAAAAGATTGAAGGTTGGAGTAAATTTTGTACCTCATTATGTCCTAATGTCAATCCATCTATTATCTGGCAAAATATACGTAGATTTAGATCGGCCTTTAATGTATCTCAACAACAAAAGATTTCTCCCACTCTTGCAGAACAAATATTAGATAGATTAGCCCCACCTTTCGTTCCAGAACAGCTCCATGTAAATCCTTTAACTATTAATACAGAAATAGTTAATAATAATGATTCTACATTTGATCTCAATTCATCCTTCACTGTCAATGAATTAAAAGGTGTACTTTCTGTTATTAAAGACTCGGCGCCTGGTGAAGACGGCATTCCATACTCTTTTATAGTACATTTAGACGAAGAAGCTCTTAATTATTATCTCTCTTTAATCAACACAGCTATGACATCAGGTAATATTCCCAGTTCTTGGAGAACACAAACTTTAATCTTGTTATTAAAGCCAGATAAACCAAGTTCCGAACCTTCATCATATCGTCCCATAGCTCTATCTACTGTATTGGCGAAAATATCGGAACATTTAATAAAAAATCGCCTCGAATGGTTTTTGGAACACAATGGATTATTCTCAGATAGTCAGCTATGTTTTAGGAAATGTAAGAGCACTTTTGACAGTTTGGGGATTTTTGTCACAGATATTAGATTAGCGTTTTCTAGAAATGACTCTGTAATAGCTGGTTTTCTAGACATAACCGCAGCTTATGATAATGTTAATATCCTGATACTGAAACATAAATTAGAGATGTTGAATGTACCTAGACATTTAATGAATTTTATTATAAATATGTTAACAGAAAGATTTATTAAATATCCTTTAGATAATAATGATTGTATATATAGGACGGTATGGAAGGGGCTACCTCAGGGTTCCGTAATGAGTCCAATTCTTTACAACATTTATACTATTGATTTAGAAGTATCCATAAATAAATGTGTAAAAGTTCTGCAATATGCGGACGATTTGCTTTTCTATGTTGCCGGCCGATTAATTAACGAGATTAGCGATTCCCTTTCTGCAGCATTAAAATTTCTTAAAAAATGGCTAGATAATAATGGTCTAGATCTATCCCCATCTAAAAGCACTGTAGTTGTATACTCTAGAAAAAGGATTCCATTAGTAGTTAATGTTTTATATGATGATTCCCCCTTATCAGTTAAGGATCAGGCAAAGTTTTTGGGACTTGTATTGGACTCAAAACTCACAGGTGTATCACATTGTGAATCCGTTGTAGTGAGATGTGAACGCAACCTAAATATTTTAAGGTGTCTTAGTGGTGTATGGTGGGGCGCCCATCCTTCTATTATGAAACTCCTATATAATGCCTTAATTAGAAGCATTATAGACTACGGCTCGGTTTTATTAAATCCAGCAAACGCAGCAGCTTTTAAAAAATTGGATTGTATTCAATATAAGGCACTACGACTTATCACTGGATCAATGAAATCCAGCCCAATAAATTCGTTACAAATAGAGTGTTGTGAACCACCGCTAAAACTGCGAAGACAGTACCTGAGTGATACATTTTTTTTCCGTAGCCTAGCATTAAAAAAAAATCTCTTAATTTCTAGAGTCAAGGAATTGGCTGAGGTGATAGCCTCTTCGAAGTATTGGACTCATAAAGACCAACCTTGTTTAGTGAAAAGTTTCCAAAAATTTAAAGACATTACATCTCCAACATATCAGACTCAATATCTTCCCCTGTACCAACATAGTTACACTTCGCTAATACTTAATCCCCAAATATTATATAATATAGGTATAAATAAAGATGAAATTAACGCCAATGACAAATTTAACTATATTATGGATAATGAATGGAAAGATTGGCACTACATTTTTACGGACGCCTCGAAACATTCTAACGGCGAATGTGTAGGTGTTGGGGTCTACCATTCACAATACAAAATTCATCAAAAAATTAAGCTTCCGCCAGAGACGTCCGTCTATACTGGAGAATGCTACGGACTTCTTAAGGCGATTGAATATGTACTCCTTGCTAAACTATGTAAAACAATAATATTCTCCGATTCACTTAGTAGTTTGCAGGCTTTATCACATTTTCCCTTTAAATCCCACAAACAATCTCCGATAATTTTTAAAATTCGTGATCTACTTTCTCAATGCTTATCATTACAATTAAATGTTCACTTCGCTTGGATACCAAGCCATCTTGGTATATCTGGTAATAAAAAAGCTGATCAACTGGCTAATGATGCTGTTCGCGATGGCGATTTATTCCCATATGTCAATTACTGTAATGACCTAGCTTTGTTGTCAAAAATATACTTGTATGAGGATTGGAATCGGCTTTGGACAATTGAAACTCACAAGGGGAAGAATTACAGACTAGTACAAGAAACTATTCCTTATAAACCTTGGTTTAGTAAATTTAAATTTAATAAAAAAACCACATCAATTATTTGCAGACTTCGATTGGGACATGTATGTACACCAGCAAATCTATACAAATTTAATATTGTTTCTGACCCTACATGTGCTTGTGGAGCGTACGGAGATGTTAATCATGTGTTCTTCTCCTGCCCTCTATATGATCGCTCTGAATTTATTTCCCAACTCCTTCTGATCCGTGTCCCACTTCCTACATCTATTAATTGTTTGTTACATAATAGCGATACCAATGTATATAAAATATTAGCCACATTTATTTTATATAATAATATAAAATTGTAAATATATACATATATATATATATATAATATATATACATTGTAAACATCATAAACCTGACCAATCCTTTATCCTACAAAATTCCGTTCTATTCCATATATTTCTGTGTATATTTCCCTAACTTTGATATTGGCTAAATGCGAAGGCAAAGCCAAAGATGGAGGAGGAGAAAAAAAAAAAAAAAAGTCAAATTGAGCGGGTGTTTTAAATTTTCTCCTTTTTGATTTTTTTATTTTAATTGTAATTTTATTGTAAATATTGTATATCTTATTGTAAATACCTAAATAATAAATCAAGCAAAGAAAATGAGTGATAGTAGCGACGGGGGAAACCCCGTCGACCGTGGAAAAAGTCAACACGGCAAAAAACGGAAGATGTCGCCGAATCATTTAATTATATCCGAGGACTATAAAATGTATACAAAACCCAATTACAAAAGACAGTTTCCTGAAAATCATAGTGTAGATTGTGTTGTCTATGTAGAATCTACAGAAAATGAAAAAGTAGGGAATAAAAACCCCATTACTTTAACAAAGTTATACACCGAAAATGTGAAAGGCATTGCAGGTGTACACAAGTAAACGCCTATAAAATAGGTGTGACCTTTCGAAAGCCCGCACCAGCCAATAATTTTTTAAAAATGGATAATTTTTTAAACAAGTATAAATTCAAGGCTTTTGTACCAGCATATATCACAGAAAAAACTGGTATCATAAGATACGTACCGACAGACATGTCCAACGAAGATATTTATAAAAGTATTAGTTGTGATACCGAAGTGATATCCATCAAACGTTTTATGAAAAAAGTAGAGGGAAAACTATCTCCATTGGGCACTGTAGCCGTCACATTTGCAGCTACCACTTTACCACAATATGCCTACATACAATTATTTAGATATCCTGTACACACTTATATTCCACCATTAGTCCAATGTTACAAATGTCTGAAGTTTAACCATTCAGCTAAAGTATGCCGTAGCTCACAGATGTGCTCATCATGTGCTGGTCAACACTCATACAAAGAATGTGATGTAGAAGAAATCGTTTGTATCAATTGTAGTGGTAACCACTTAGCAATTTCGAGAGATTGTCCCATTAAAAAGAAGAAAATTGAAGAAAAAAGAAGTAAATATGTCAATCACTCCTATGCCGCTGTTGTGAGTATGCCCTCAAGTAGTACAACCCCAAAAGTATATCCCACTTTAGAGAAATCTTTAAATGTATATAATTCACAATTTAAACAAAATGTAAATAATAATAATACTGCATTCAATGCAGATCAAATTGTAAATAATGAAATTATAATTAATGCATTAGTTAAATCTCTTGTTGCTCTCGGTAACAACAAAGAGAAAATGTCAATAACTAATAAGACAATAAAAGAAATATTGTTGTCAAATTTAATTTAATGAATACATACTTAAATATAGCCCAGTTTAATATACAAAGCTTACAGAGTAAAAAAGCTCTGTTGCAAAAATACATGAATGAACAAAATATTGATATCTGTCTCATTAATGAGACATGGCTTAAAAGTAACAGTAAAATTCCTAAATTTACATCCTATAATTTCATATTCAAAAACTCAGTAAATACACACAATGGAGTGGGTATTTTAATAAAAGAAAATTTTAAATATAATATCATAACTACTACTTTTTATGAATCAGTTCAGAATATATGTATTGCAATAGAAACATCCATAGGCAAATTAAACATACTATGTGTGTATTGTCCTCCTAATGGAAGATTTGATACCAACAAACTGAAAAAAGTTCTACTTAGTACTCCTAAGCCATGTCTCATTATGGGTGATTTTAATGCACATCATATTTTGTTTGGTTGTCATACAAACAATAGTAGAGGTAATAACATATACAATCTCATAGATGAACTTGACTTATGTGTGTTAAATGATGGTAGTCCAACCACCATTCAATCACCAAACAGGCAGGCATCAGCAATAGATATAACATTAGTTAGTCCCCGAATAGCTCCTCTCTGTGAGTGGAAAGTCCATGATGACCCGATGGGCAGCTATCACTATCCAACTCAGGTCAGTGTAAATGTGAGGCCATCAGTGTATGAGGTCCGACCTGTAGAAGAAAAATTTTTATATAATAAAGCAGACTGGTCGAAATATTTTTCTTTATCAGAAAGTATTTTTTCCCACTTAAATGTACATAATAATGTAAATAATGACACACCATTACAATTTTATAATAATTTTGTTAATATTTTATATGACATCAGAGACAAGACAGTACCAAAATCAAAGTTTAAACAAACTATACACACTTTAAGAAAACCAGTGCCTTGGTGGAACAAAACATGTGATGATGCTGTTCAACAGTCTAAGAGAGCCCTTTTACAATATAGAGTTACCCCAACAATTGTTAACTTCATAAATTATAAAAAAGTTGATGCTAAAAAAAAAAGAATTCTAAAGGAACAACGCATAGATTCCTGGCAAGAGTTGTGTAGTAGCTTCAATAGAATGACACCTATTTCAAAAATATGGAGTTCCATTAAAAAGTTTAAAAGGATAGGTACATCTTCCAACAAAAATTTTAATGATGACTGGGTACAAAGTTTCTTAGATATGTTGACAGCTCCATCACAATGCAATGATGCAAATTTAGTTGATATATTGAATCAATCTGATAAAAATGACAGTGACTCCTTTCTCAACAGACCCTTTACACTGGCCGAGCTTCATATTTCGCTTAAGAGTAGGAAAGATACAACACCAGGTTTGGACAATATTACATATAAATTAATAAAACAGCTACATCCAAATGCAATTAAAATACTATTAGATATATACAATAAACTTTGGGAGAATTTAATAATACCGGAATCCTGGAAAACCCAGTGTGTTATTCCAATTTTGAAACCAAATAAGGATATTAACTGTGCATCATCATATAGGCCCATTTCCTTGTCATCGTGTCTAGGCAAACTATTTGAAAACATGTTAAAATTACGTTTGGACTACTTTACTGAAACACAGAATAAGTTGCCAGATATTCAGTTTGGATTCAGAAAAGGCAAAAGTTGTTCTGAAAGCTTTGTAACTCTTATATCCCTATTAAAAAAAGCAAAATTAAGTCATTCCAATGTTGTGTGTGTATTTTTAGATGTTAAAGGTGCTTTCGATAATGTAAATATAGAATCCTTAATTCATGTGCTACATAATTTAAATTTCCCCTGCAAAATATTAAACTGGATTTTTAATTTTTTAAAAAACAGAACTGTTTATGTTAAGTATAATAATATCCTACATGGACCTAAATATGTTAACAGGGGAACAATGCAGGGAGCAACCCTGTCCCCTCTATTGTATGGCTTGTATACATCTGAAATCCTCAATTATGTGGATACTACAAAAGTTAACATACTACAGTTTGCAGATGATTTGCTTTTATACACTGAGAGTCAAAGTTTGCCTTTGGCTATAAATAATATAAATACTGCACTAAATCAATTACAAAAGTATTATTCAAATATTCTAAAACTAGAAATCAGTTCAGAAAAAAGCTCTGTGTTAGTATTTAGTAGAGATACATTCACACAAACTAATCTTAAAATTATGTATAATAACAAAATAATACCCATTGTCCATCAACACAAATTTTTAGGTATAGTTTTGGACAATAAATTAAAATTTGATAAACATATAGATTACATTTGTCAAAATGCAATGAGGAGCATAAATATTTTGAGATGTTTAGCAGGAACTTACTGGGGCTCTGATCCCAAAACACTCAATATACTGTATAAAAGCATAGTCAGAAGTCATTTTGATTATAGTAGTTTAGCCTATATGACTGCTAGTGCCACATTGTTGAGGAAATTAGATGTTATACAAAATATAGGGTTGAGAATCATTAGTGGAGCTATGCGTTCCACACCTATAAATAGTATGGAAGTTGAAAATTGTATACCTCCATTGTCTCTAAGACGTTTGCAACTGGCAGAAAGATTTTGTATAAAGGAATTATCTTCCAGTAATAGTATTGTGCTTAAAAATATTTTATATCCTGCACAGCTTTCTCAGTTAGTTGTAGGTTCCCCCATATCAGCATCTGTTATTATTTCAGGATCATTACCTGAAATTTCAATAATAATGACACATGTTAAAAATGCTACAGGTGGAATATATATAAATGACAAATGGCCAGTATACAAATGTCCATATGATTCACTAATCTGTTTCCTTGACTCTACATTTCATTTAGATTTAATATATAACAAATATGACTTTGCAGAATTTTTAAATAAGAAATCAGAATTTTATGTTATTTATACTGATGGTTCAAAAAATTTAAATGATGTTAAAGCAGCTTATTATGATCCACAAAAGAAATATACTAAATGTATTAAACTCGAAAGTAATTGCAGCATCTTTACAGCCGAAAGTTATGCTATATTAAGTGCCTTGTTATATGTTAATAACCTTGTAAATAATGTACATATACTAATAGTTACTGATTCGAAGAGTGTATTGGAGACTTTATCCAGTGGCAATTGTACATATAAACAAAATTATATTATATATGAAATAAAAAATAGGTTAATAACTTTAAGTAAAAATAAGAATGTAGAATTTGTATGGGTACCCTCACACAGTGGCATACCTGGAAATGAGGTCGTAGACTTGGCAACTCGTCAACAATATGATGAAGATCACACAGACATTTTGAAAGTGCCATTTACCGACTACTACCAATATTTTAAAAGTAACTCACGAAGAGTGTGGAAAGAGTACTGGAACATAAGCACAGAAAATAAAGGAAAATGGTATGCAGAATTACAGCCAGACTTACCAGTGACACCTTGGTACAGCAAATTCAAATATTACAATAGAAAATTTATCACTATCATCAATCGTCTACGTTTCGGTCATTGTTTAGTTCCATCCCATCTCAACAGAATTAAAATCACAAATGACAACAGATGCAACCACTGTTTCAAGATAAATGCTGACATAAACCATATTATATTTGAATGCCAAGTTTTCAACATACAACGGTTGATTCTTGTCAGTGACATTAGTGACATCGCAAAGGAACACTCACAAAGTATTCCCCGCCGCGTTCAAGATTTGCTATCTCACTTTGCATATTTTATTCCAATATATAACTACATTGTACATACTGTGGAAAAAATTTAATATTAATGAATAATTACTAAAATTGTACTGTCTAAGCTTATATAATAGTTTATTTCTTATGTTTTGTATTAAATTCATTATAAAAATGTATTCGACTGAAGGACTTGTATCCATGGTCATGAATAAAGCATTATTAAAAAAAAAAAAAAGCACTTTAAAAAATGTCATGCTGCCGTAAAGCTTCACTGTGTAATATAAAATAAAAACTTTTGTGTCCTAATCGTAATAAAACCACTGCTAACTTTAAAATAAAATTGTGTTTGATATATTTCAAACACACTCACCAACAAATTATGCTCAAAGAAACAAGAAAAATTTAACTAAAAATAAGTTTCAAGGGGATTCATCGAAATATAAACAGAAACAAGTTTTGTGGAACATATGGCTTGAAAATAAAATTAACAATCAATAAAATAAACAAGAATAACTATATTATTTATTACATTAAGAAATGGTTACTTAATTGTTGGAAGCTTATTTATTGGTTAGCATTTTTTTCTGAAAGTCCAGTTTTGGGAGATTTCAAACAAAATTTAGACCAATATAAATCAGGTACCTGGCAACATTGTCACCGACACGTCCAGTAGAGATGGGCAACAACAACAGTAAAAAGTCGTTAACTTGGAGTAATTTGAATTGAAATCGAGTTACACAACTCGATTTAGCAGGCAGGAAATGATTTTGAGATCTGTTACAAATTATTTTTTTATTATAATATATAATTATTATGTCCTTCCGTCCAACTTTTTATTATAACGATTCCTGTTGCTAATCTTTATAGGTAGGATTGAACTAAAAAGGTTTTTAGGGTTCACGTATATAATATATCCCCGTCTAATACAGTTATTGCTAATTTATATTTAGTTTTAGTCGTAGTTTAGTGATAGTACTCATATTTAAAAACAAAACTACTAAATATTAATAAAGCATTTTTTAGAAAATAATATCAGTCTAACTTTATAATGTTAGTACGAATACTATAGTTTAATGATCACATTGAAAGTATATATAAATAACTTTGTTATTTTAAATAACAAATATGTAATATCATAATACAAATAATCTACTAAATAATACTTTTACAGAGCTTGTTTATTTGTTGCCGCAACCAATTGCTGCAATCAAACCTTTTCTTAAATTATAATACTATTCAAATCAGAATATTATTTATCTCATTAATAAGCTACAGGCATTACACAAAAAGTGAAACACTTATTAAGTAAAATTTTACGTTACGTCTACATTTTTAGTCGGTTTTCAATAATAAAATTCTGTAAATGAACAAATCGCGCCCTCGCTTCTTTTATTCAGTTACCGTCAGCCCAAACGCGAGGAAGGCAGAATTCAACTCGAGTTATCTCGAATTTAGCACTACTCGAGTTAATACATCGAGTTGACACATCTCTATCAGCCAGTAGTTAGCCAGTCACAGACGTATTTTGAAGTAAATGTCATGCCAGTCAGTTCGCTTAAGTTCCGATCAGATTTTTAGTCAGCCATGTTTATTTCTTTGGAATGTGTTTGGAAATGGTGGTAGTGCTAAAAAAATTGTATTTGTGAAAATATCATAATAATTTTGTTGTTAACTACTGTGTAAGTGAAGTTTAAATGTGTTATTTGTGCAAGTGAGGTGAAAGATTTGCGAAAATGAATTGGGGCACAGAGCTTTGGGTAAGTGTTCACGATTTACTTATTTAATAATTGTTAATTAGTAATATAGTTTATGTACCTTTCTTTAATACTTAAATTATTTTCCGTATAATATACTCAGTTCATAAGCGAGTTAGTGATTCATGGATAAATACTTATTTCTCTTTTACTGTATCATATATGTAAACACTACTTCGCATTTGTTTTAAAGTAAATATTATGTTATTACTGTTAGGTGAAAAATATTTTATTCCAGTGTTAATAAATATATTGTAAATACTTTATTTACAATTTTACAAACAGGACTTTACCATCATGTTTAATCACAGTGGTGAATAAACATAATGGCAAAGTCCTGTTTGTTAGGTAATAAAATAATTAAAAGTTAAAATAAAAATACTCTCAGTTGTTAATATTATGGTTGTCTAATAAGTAACCTTATACATTAATTTGTTCTATGATTATAACATATTCTTCTACTAAAATGTAAAAGCATGGTATTAATTTTAAAACTTTTGTTATGACAATTGTAGGTAGTCAAATAGCTTTTAATATTATATCAATTAAGAATATATGAGTTTGTTATGATTAATTAAATATCTAATAATTCTAAATCAGAATGACAGAGTACAAAATACTATTGTATTATTCAAAATTAAATTCATAACCAACACTACACTATCACCAAACATATGTTAAGTAAAATGTTAACATTAATTGCATGTATACTTATTATTATCTTTACAACATCCTTTAAACATGTGTATTTGTTCAAGACAAATACACACATAAAAAAATATAATCTCGACACCCACTTCCAGAAAATACATTTTAACACATGAAAATGTCATGGTTTTATTATGTATTTAATATAAAAGTATTAGTGTCTCTATTTATATATAGTATCTTCCCTATGTATTTATTACTTTACAAACATGCAAATACAAAATCATTCATCTTATTTTAAATAGACTTGCATTTATAAGTATCATTAATACTACATATTGCATGGTAATTTTTTTAAATTACAAACTGTCAAGAGCCTGTATTTCTGCCAAATATAACATTAAAGTCTTAAATAATTGTGTTTTTGTGCAAATAACCATTTTTTAGTTAAACACACATCAGCATTAATAAATAATTTCTGATGAATGTTTTTTAGTGATTTTATTTTTTTATAAGCAGTATATAGTATTGTATCAACTCATTTTACATGTGTAATATTAAATTATCAGTCAAATTAAATTTCATCATCATTAAAAAGTTATTAATGGATGATATTCAAGTAAATATGTAATTAGTTAATTGGTAAGTAATGTTTGTGTTATGCAGAATAAAATTATAATAATACATATCATGAAATGTTTTCAAATAGGTATGTAATAGTTTATTTAAGCCCAATATTTACTTATCCTCAATCTACAATGGCATCTAAGTGCAATCTATAGTTTTATAATAAATAATGACAACACCGATTGTTGAATACAGGCCACTTATTTAGTCTATGTTCTATTTTATAAGCTTCATATTCTAAATGTTATTCTAAATTATTATTTTCTATTGTTCCCCTTCCGTTTTCCCTTCCTGGGCCTAGTTAGTAGTGTTTCTTTGTATAATATATTATATACATATTACAACAATTCCCTGGTTTCCTTTATCACCCACACCAATTTTATCAGGGAGGGTAGTAAATTGGTAGTACTAATTATTTAGGTGATTTATCTTCATTAGTAATTTCCCATAATATCTAATATATTCCTACAGTTCAATTACAAATAATTAATATGGAGTGATATAACTTAGTGGTCAAATAGGGGAGAATATCAGTAAATATGGGCATGCAACAAAATAATTTGTTTGTTTACAGTTGATAAAGTCACTAGCTATCCTATCTAGGATAACAGCAATGAAAATGTAAAGGTTACTCACCTATTTAAAAAATTTGGAAACATTAGTATTTTTTTATATATTAACCTACTTTTCCATAACAATATTCTGCTGCTTACTAATCAATGACTCATATGGAAAAATAATTTGTTGTTATTATTACACAATGAAATAAATTTATGATACTATTTACAATATGACGATACTATTCAAGCGAATTTATTATGACAGTATTCTAAATTATATACATGTATTGTGGATTAAAATAAAAATAGCTGAATATGTACTTTGTACTGTTCTCTGTGTAATGTGTGTATACATATTCATTTATATTTTAAAGAAAATCTGTATGAAATAAGTGAATAATAATAAATAATATTATTTAAACAAAATAATGTTGATAAATATTTGGAATAAATAATAAAATCAGTGTTTTTGTTTCCGTTGCATATCTCCACAAACATTGATTCCTCATCCTCACTTGGTAAACAATGGACTAAAGTACTTCCAACAATTCAATGGTAGCTGCTACCGACATATTGTGTGCTAATCAATGGAACAACAGTATGATCAACAACATAAGTATATGCTGGCCACATATTGCAGTTTGATAACAGAACTGTAGATCACTTCGTTCCATAAAATTTCTGACACAGGGCTATGTTTAAAATTGTTTTACAATTACATGTATATACATTTTTCATTTTTTGGAGATTCCAAGCATATTGTCATTACAATATTATATCAAATCATAAACTGTAGAGCCATCTGTAACTGTTGATGAGGAATTAAGGTTCAAAATATGATCATTATCTTTAAAAATACATTGCAGTCTTATTATATCATTTGAAGTCATTTTTATAGATTCGAGATAATTAAGTACCAATTATTTGTCTTTCTTTTTAAACTATAACATGATTTTTATCCAACCAATTTTACTAAAAACTGAAATTTTTTTTAGACATAATACTGTTTTTCAACAGTTATCCCTGATGAAGTATTCAGAGTCATTATTAACTATCTACATCATGATGAATTTAATGTGTGAAAAAGTGAGCTTACTGCTTTCTCTTAGATTAATTTTTAGTTTGTTATTAGTGTTTCCATCATCAAAGTCAGTATAATAGTAGTCTGTGTGAAAATTGAATTATTAGGATGTTGTTATGCCCTATATATGGGTGTTTGATAATAAAATGTAAATAATAAGGAGTGACACATAGTATTAATATATGAAGTTATATTACTAAATAAGTTTTAGTACATACTATATTTAGTTATTACTTTAAGTTGGTATGTACCATAAATAATTGATTAGTACAACCAAATGTAAGAAGGAAAATTCATTACAACCAGTATATTGTTAATATTATAAATTACAGAACATTATGATAAAACGTCGGAGAATGCAACCATACTGTATAAAAGCGACAGATCGTACCATCACACAATACCTTTAGTTACAAAATCTGTATTGTAGACCATTTGCTTTTGATAGTAGAATTATTGTATTTGGCTACTGTGAGGCAACGGTCATTGCCCTGTATACACGCACATACGTAAACGCCTCGTATTTACTATTGCAGTGTCCATTTTGATCTAGAAGTGCGCGAGAGTGGTCAGCGTTGGCAAGCTGCAAGGCCGGTGGCGACCCGCATTCCATACTCGACTTGTTACTTGTGAAATGAGCCCATTTCGTACTCCCCATCTACATACATATTACTTACGTAATAAATCCCTGTCATAAGCAATTCGATCATCATAGTAATCTCTTAATCTATTAACGGTATAAAGATATTATATGGTAAACTTGAACACAATAACTAAATTACAGCTGAGAGCAGGTGTTACGCCGTCAAATTATCGAGTTCTGTCCCTGAACTAGTTTGCTATGCATTTTGTAATGCGACCTGGATAGTGGCTTCAGTTGGATGATACTGTACGTCAACCATGAAATAAATACAGTACGTCTAACAATGTTACTTTCGCAGCCGAGCTCCTCTGTGTTTTCATTTTATGATTTATAGCACACTAACTGTTTTTCGCGACTTCGTCTGGTTTTTTGAGGAAATACATACAGTCCATCATAACGTTAAATTTCATGACATCCCCTCAGCCACTTAGTCGTGGATATCAGACAAAGATAAACTTTCGTTTTGTTTTTAATATTAGTATAGTTTAGGTTTTCTTTTCTCTTTTTTATCCCAATCGTTGTTCTTTATGTGGCATAAGAAATTAGAGAACAACTGCAACTTTAGTTTGTAATACTAAAAATATTAGCGGTCATTGTGAACCATTTACTACATCCCAAGACAAAAAAATAGTGAACAGCAGTCAAATTGTTTTATTTAGCGCAATATCGTAATTCTTAACTTGGTATAATAATTACATGGCCACTAACAATTACAAGGTTTGCACTTTTACATTCTTGAGAGTTTTTTATACGACAATAGAACATAAAATCCCTTCTCTTTCAATGTAATTTGTTAGCAGGTGTCTAACCTGTAGGAAAGTTTAAATTATGTAATAAAATATCTCTCTCTACATTACAGTTGATTTGTATAAGTACTACTTAATAATCGTTATATTGTGGTGAATCACCCAGGAGTTAACCACGATGGTTTCCAGGACTATATCCCGATGTAATATATTATTAGCCACGGGGTCACTATTCCCTATTACTAATAATCCCCTATACCCTACCCCATCTATAATATTATGCAGGCCAGAGTTATGAGAGTTTGAAATACAACGGAACACTTAGAGAAAAGGTGGCGATCTTTTTTAGCTCATCTTGGCGGGTCAGATGTGTGACCTAGTATTTAGTTTTTATTGTATTAGTTTAATAGCATAACCATCAATCATATTTAATAATATGCCCTTTCATCGCTTTCGAAATACGGAAGAACAGTTACAATGATTACTTTACAACTTTTTAGTATATAGTGGCCTTAACCGGCTTTTACTGGCAATGATTAGGCGGATCTACCTACTTTCCTAATAAATAAAACACAGCGGTTGAAAATATATGATTTTATTATTTGTCAATTGGTATTTTACGAAAAGCTTATGCACAATTTTATAATGTCGGCAACTTGACTGATTGTGTACAGTCATCTTCAAAATACACAGCAACA